CCCCCCCCCCTTCAAAAAGTTAGATCGGGGGGGGGGCCTCCCGCCCTGAGCCCTGGAACATATATGACCTCGAGACGGAGCATCGTGTTTCTCGAGCGAAACACGTAGCCTGGCGCGCAGAGCCGGACTGTACAGACGCTGGACAACGAACACAAGTTAAGGACGGGGACATAGGAAATGAGGGTACTGCTTTACATCGATGAAATAGATGCTACGTCATCTCCAGGCGAGCTTCAACGGGTAGAGCCATAGCGTGTTTTTCTTCATGAAGCTGACCAGTGATCAATCCGCAGACCATACAAGAGAAGAAGTTCTTACTTCATCACTTGCAGCCAACCAATACGCATATAATGACAGGAGGATCCGGAACCACGTCTGTCGTTGCAAGGAACAACAAGCTGACTGGTCTAGTCAGTTGCACTCTTGTGATGGAAGAGACGATTGAGACCGGTCAAGATATCAGAGAAAGACAGCAGTACGATCGCGTGGCCGCTGACATGGTGTCTCATGAAAAGCCATCGAGAACGCAGTGTTACGCATACAATTGACTTGAATAATAAGTGACGTGGTTGTTGAGTTGTGTTACAAACGTCATGTCGTAGATTGTGGCCCATGGAGTAAGCGTCTTACCTCCCAATTTTTATAATGATGGACGGAATTTTAGAGTAGTTGCTTCCGCTTTGAAAATTCTAACATTGGAGACTGGGACTCAAAACGGCAAATGAAAAGGCGATATCAGCTGCCCGACGAGGACGACAAAAGCGACAGAGACGGGAAAGTCTAGTCAATAGAGTCAAAAAGGACAACGACAAGAGCCGAAATGCTGGAAGCAATCGCGAAGCACTGACATCAAGAATAGGTGGGTCAAACGACAGCGAGTCTCCAGACGGACCCGAAGCTGTTGGGAGTAGTGTTGCAAGCTCGAGCGCCGATGCTATATCCGAAGCTCACGGGAGGTTTGTGTCACAGCAAGCGATATCTGCTGCTCGCAGGACTGCAGCTTTTCGAGACCCCGCGATCGATAAAGGAACAGTTATTCGCCTCGGAGAAATGGGATTGGACATAGATGTGCAGGGCAGAAATGCCGTCCGAATTTACACTCTGCCGCCTCGTCCCTTCAAGCGAAATACGAGTAGCGCAAATACTAGTAGTAACAAATCCAAGATTAGCAATTCAGATGAAAATGGTCTGACTGATGGTAATAAAGAGAACATGCATCCTGCAGGTCGCAGCGACAGTTCTAGTTCTAGTTCAGCATCTCAACGGTCACAAAGTGCGCTCATCAATGATCAGGAAGACGATCTCTTAGCGGGCGACGATGACAGAGACGACAGCACCAAGAAGAAGAGAAAAATGGTCATTCCAGGCATCGCTGCGTCGTGCGTGTCTCTGCTAGGAAATAAGCAGAAAAGCGATAACGTAGGGCCTAGTGCGGCAGTGACGGACAACGCAGTAGACCAAAGCATGTGCCCTAGGAGTTCATCGCACAAAGAAGCGGATCGGAGACCACAGATGAGACGCGTGCCATCGCTACTCTCAGCGAAAGGCAAGACAACCGCAGAACACGTCGCTGATCAGTCTGGCAAGAGCCGCGTGGCCGTTGAAGGAAAGCCGAATCATATTACTAATACTAGTACTAGCAGCAGTGCTGGCGCTAGTAGTTCGAAGAAGAATCCGGTGATATCGACGTCATCTTCACAGATTGGCGACAAAAGGTCATGCCCCTCTTCCACTTCCTCCTCCTCGTCGTCATCGAAGGCTACTACACAAGCAAAGCACCGAAGCGCAGCTATTGGAGAGCTTCTAGACGACGAAGTCTATGTGACGACAAGAATACGTGAATATTGGCGAACGCATCCGTGCAAACGCCTGCAGTCCGATGAGCTGCAGGCCGTGATGCCCGAAGGCGAGGGTTGCGGATATAAGGAAACGGACAGCGTCAGGATCGCGACGGTCGTGTGTGGCGAAATACACAAGGTCATCCGAGCGGCGATGCGGCACGGTATCACAGAGTCACTCTACATCCAAGTTTGCGCTGATAAGGGATGCGCTTTGGCACAGTATTACATAGCGTCTTGGGTACACGGAATTTCGCAGTGTATACGTTCGCGAGGGAATGCGTACAAGCTGATCATCGATGTCGACTGTCCATGGTGTCGCGCTCATGGCCAAGCAACGGCAGTGAAAGAATCAGTAGAGAGAAACGTGCTGTACAGCGGTCTGTACAGTAGCATAGGAAAGCTGGAAGAAGATCTCCGTAAGTGGACAGGAGCAGTGCGCAACCGAGTGTACTAGCTTGATAAGAAGAATATTTAGACGCTTTATGTTGGTAGCTTCAAGTTATTGCTTGTCTCCTTTGTGTTCGTTGTTCATCTTCAATCACGAGGAGCAGTTTGATTCTTTCGCGCATCTTGTCTTTTCCAGGAACAAAGCTGATATGTTGCGCTTCTCCGATACTTTTCAGATTATTTTTGTCTAATAGCCACCAGGTCAGAGGTCCTAGGACCAGCCGTCAAAATGGCGAAGTCTGCGGTTTTTTCATCGTCTATCTGGAACACGGACTACAAAGTGTCTACTGCGACGCCCGATGGTGCAGTCAACTGCTCCACTTCAGTGGTGAGCAGCAGCGTGCGGAATTTCTTGGACCGACTGATTGGGGATTGGCTTTTTCACGTGTTTTATGAAACACCGCTGAAGCACGAAAAAGTGAACTTTGTTGCGTGTACGAAAAAGGACGGGCAGCGGTTTTTCGGAGTACATGGCGCGGCTGACTTACCACTTCTCGTTATTTAATGTTATGATTTGTGGCTTGATGATACTAAGTTCTTCTTACTAGAAAAATGCCAAAACACTACTTTATTTAAGTAACGACGTGCTGAAGAATCTTGTTCACATCTATAATAAGCCTTTTTTCCACAATTACAGACTTATTGGGCGAAGGTGCCGCGGAATCAATACGAAAAGCTGCTGTCGAGCGCTTAGTCTGGGTGGCAAGAGTTTTATACTGCACGCAAAACGCGTGGGCCACGCCGCAGTTTACCAGATGGTTCTGAGTTATCAGGGTTTTCCAATCGGTGTGCGCGAGTGGGTTTCTAGGAAAGTGTCCTCTGTCCAGTCAGACGAGTTACCACATTGGCTGGGGCGAGAAAGCGATCTTTTCAAAGCGGCAAGTCACTAGTGTCCATGGGATCGCTCCTGGCGCAATCGTTTCAGCGAAGCCCGTTCATTGTTTGCAAGCAGTCTCTTACAGGTTTAAAACTTTGACGACGCGTGCGATGGTCGCTTTCAATAACGGAATGCGGGATAGCCTCTGCCGTATCAAGTATCACTTTTTTGGAGATGTTTCGCGTGTCGCAGGTCGGGATGAGGTGGACGCAGTCTGTCCTGCTGAGCGTCTTCGAGTAGCGTCGTTAGTTGGTCTTCTCGCAAGTGGGTCTGTATTGCAGCGGATGAGGGCCTTGTCTGCACTTGAAAGGTGGAGGGCAAAGTACGACTCATGTTCCGACGCAGCACGCAGCGCTATGATTCTGCTTCTTCGTGTGGCGTTACCGTTAAAACCGAATAAGGAGGGAAATAAGACTCCTCCAACAAAGCAGGAGGTGGAGAATCACATTCTTCATCGATGTCTCAGTAGTCAAGACTCGCGCGCGTCGTTTGTGTGCTTCTTGAATCACATGTACAACATACAACACATGTCGCCGCACCGCGCCAAGGATCATTGCGACAGGATGGCGGTGTTTCATAAAGTATTGCGGGACGCTTCGTGGGAAGTAGAAGCAAACTTCCGAAACTTCAAGTCGGTGCATCGTCGACTCAAGCAAGCGAACTGGCAGACAGGAGCACTCATCTCGTGTGGCGGACAGAGTAAAGCATTTTCGAAAGAAGTCAACGCTGTTGCAACTGCACGGCATAACTTCCAAAGCAAGGACGACGAAATCGTGAGTCTGGCTCTTCACAAAGCTCGCCGCGCAGCTGTTGATAAATTCAAAAATGAGAAGCAGTTTTTTGGTGGTAAGCAGGCAACAATAGTAGTAGATGGAGAGGAGCGCGTTGATCCAAACAAGCCTCACCCCTTCGCGCCATGGCGTAACGCCACCGCCGAGGAAAGAAAGCAGTTCTCCGATGCAGCAGCCCAGGATAAGTTGGAGTATGGAGACAACACCAAACTGCTAGTAGATTTGGCGCAGGAGCGGCGACATTCGTGGAGTGGCCTTTTGTTAAGAGGTTCTTACATAACATCATACACGGACATGCCTGATAATTCCTCCCTCAGTAAGGAAGAAATCAGGGATGTTCTCAGGATTCTTTTTTCCAGCCTCTAACTTTCGAAGCTGATCGCGAAGTTCAAGCACGGCTAGAAGCCATTCGGACACTAGGTGAGTCCGTGCTTGCTACGGAAAAGCTAGCAGAGAAAGCAGCCGATAAACTGTTTACGCAGAGAGCAACGACACTGCTCGGGTTATCGATGACCAGCGTTAGCTTCGATTTCAGATTAAGGCAGAAGTAGAGCGTTACAGCTTATTGTTTTCAGTGGAATCGTTTTCAGCTGTTTATTACCTCTGAGGGGCATAAAGTATACTCAGTGGCTGAGCTCTAATCAGATTGCCAGACTGGCTTGCTTTTGCGCTGCGCAGGCATGAGAATCTTTACTGGTATTATGTTATGGCTGGAGCGAGTAATCCATCTGGTGTGGCTGCGTCATCGAAAAGTGGGGAAGAGTTGCTCTCCCATGTTTTTCAATAATACAGCTAAGAGATGGACTAAAAACGCTTCGAATTATGGGAAGCGCGTGTCCATGTTGTCACAGAGCCTCGGTGTCATGCGGGAGCTTCGGCTCGCTTCGAGGCGTAAGAAACGAACAAAAGCGGAGCGAGAAGCTGTTGATGAGATTTTGAACCAGGAGCCTCTAGATGCTGATACTATGTTACGCGGAGCGGGCATCGAATGCGAGAAAGCAAAAAAGAGAGCAGGGCAGCGTCTTGGTATAGCAGGCGCAAGGGAAAATGCAGATGACGAGTCAGCGTTCGCATTTCACGGCGGCGTAGACGAAAATAGTGGTGGCGCTGCGGCTTCGAATGCAGAAGTCGCGCGGTCTAGTAACAATAGAGAACATGGCATCGCGTCAGCGTTACGAGATCACCAAAACAGCAGTTCAGGAGCAGACGGCGACTTAGTAGAGACGCGTATGGTGGTGGAAGACGCGGAATTAGATGCGTTCTTCTGTGAGGAGAAGGACGAGCAACCACATCAACAGCCGAGCGCGAGGCTCGATGCAGATCGAAGGTCTACGAGCTCCGTTGCAAGAATGCCGCCGCCGCCAATTCCTAAGAAGCTTGCGCAGAAGAAGACGAAAGGGAAAACAACTACTGCAGCTACAACAATTCCAAAAGACCGCTTGCTATGTAGTGCTGGCCGTCTCCCTGAAGATCATCGTGGATTTGGTGGAGTGGAGGAACCGACCCCAGGCGGATCATCATCTTCTTCAAGAAGATGCAACATATTAGCTGCAGGCGAGCAGACTTCTGCTCAGAATCGTCCGAGCAGCGGACAGACCATGAAGAAACGACAAGACGAGAACCACGAGCCAGGTAGCAGCACTACTCGCGACAATACCAACGTCGACGCGGCACCGGGCGCGGATGGGAGGAAGATTGAAGTAGGGCTGAACAAGAAAACCAGCCGGCTCCTTTGTGCAGCAGCGGCACAGGTGCAGCACATGACAGAAGAATCTGCGAAGCGTGCGCCTCTGGCTAAGAATGTGGAGCCTGCAGAAGATAAGAAAAAGCGTACAGCTGAAGCACTGACGCGAGAGTATGTGGACGCGGTCCTGAGCGATGTTAGTCGCTTGCCTGTTGTAACCGTTCTGAACCGGAATGGCTCAACTTCGGCGTACTATGTGTGCTGGGATCTTCTGCAACCGGATAGAAACATACTCCTTGAAGTAAGCGAGTACGAGTTGAGCACGGGGCGCCTCTATCGCGATAAAGGACCTGCATGGAAATTATTGCTAGACGAAAGCGTCATCAATAGTACTACATTCCTACAGGCCGACGAGCTACCAAATTGCGAATCGAAGGGCGTCGAGCACTACTATTGTCTCGCGGAAATTGTCCACTGTCGTCCTACTGATCTGGAAGTTGAAGCGAAGGCTTTCGAGAGGTTGATGTTTAAACAAACACCAGAACAGGCCGAAGCCTCTGGATGTACTGAGGCGCAGCAGACTGGTGAGGCGTCTCGTCTGCCTCCTGATCTAGTGCGGCGAGAGAAGAACAGAATCCACAGCGAGTACTATGACAAGCACTTTCTTGTTCTGAAGAATGGCAAGCAGGTTGCGCCATTGCGTCGCCGTCATGAGTTTCATGCCGCACACGTCAAAAGGGCGGACTCGCATCAGCGAAGTCTTCTAGTTCGGCCGAGGTACTGGACACGGCACGACAGCGCATACATGTCGGAGGATAGGGCGGCCCACATCCTGGCAGAAGTGCAGAAAGCTGACACCGCTGCGGACCATCTGCCGGAGATGGCGCCTGCAGAGAAGAAGCGCCGACTCGCAGAGCAGAGCCAAGCTCTTCAAGCTTTTTCGCAACCGGCTCATCAAGAGTGGAAGCTCGAGACTGGGCCGTGGCGCGGAAAGGCAACGCAGGCACTTTTCGACGCGGGTAAGCTGGAAGTCGACAGAATTCTTGCGGGGCCCGTTTCAGAGCATTCGCCAGAAGGACGCCAGTACTTCTGGTGCCTCCGAGGCGGTCGAAGTGTCATGCGTGTCATTCCAGCGGCAGAACTGGCGATGGAGCCTAACGTCAGAAAGGGGCAGACACCAAAATACGAACCGAAGTGCGTCAGAGTCTTCCAGTGCAACTTTAGCGCCGGACAACACCAGCGACGCGTCGCAGGCGCACGCCTCTGGCAGCAGCAATCGCAGAACCTATTCGACACCACGTATTTCGAAATAAGTTAGTTAAGTTCTGCTGCTTGTGTTAATATAGCCGAAGCCGTTGCGATTGTTCTAGAGTATAGCAGAGCCAGGGCGTTGGCTTTTTAAACTTAAAGTTCGCTTGCAAATCGTGCGTTTCTTCTATTCTTTTCCGGTCATTGAATTCGCTAGCTTGTCGCTCGACGTGTGGCCGTGTAATTCACTAAATTCGTCAAACAGGTTACATTCTTACGTGTGGATATTGCGTGCCCGGTTTCTCATTGCGCATTGGAACCTGATGAACGGCCACCCGGTGCGGCAGGTCTCGGCAGCAGATCGCACGAAGATCCAAGAGCGATACCAGGAATTCATTGCGGCGGCTGTTGCGACTCACGACGAAGTGGTTACTGATGCTGATGATATCGCTGAGATGGATACCATGAGGGTGCTCAATGATGAAGCACTAGACTGCGTCGCACTCGAGTGCTCTTTCATGTTGACGCCTACCGACGGCGACGATGGTGACGGTGGATCTGATTAAAGGAAACGACGTCAAGAGTGTAGATGGTTTAGCGGCTTACTTAGGGGCTCGAAAGGACTTGCATGGAATGCCATTGAGTATGACTAGGCAACTAGCTACTAGCACTAGCTTCCATATTGATGCGTTAGCTTCTGACGCTATATCTTCTGTCAGGGTCAACGTGTTTCGTAGTCTGTCGCTCTTAAGAGAACGAAGGTAGGGCCGTTTATCTCCTCGGCATTTGCTTCGTGTCCACAACGCTTATCAAAATGCAGCGCCAGCGCGCCGTTAGCTTAATCGAGGGCCCCAGCAGGTGAGCGCCATGCAGAGGCAAAAGCGTGAACCAGCGCGGAACATTCCGCGTGGGTCCCCGACTGACTGAGTAAGGCGCCAGGCTTGCCGACGTTGCCACGCTTTTGCTCAGGTAGTGCAACGTCTGGCACTGGCTTCGAGTCTTGCGCCGCTGCTCTCGCTGGAGAGAAGGTAGAGCACGAACTCCCGCCGGTGTGGTTTGCGTCTGAGTGACACACTGACGAAAGTAGAGCCCCTGCTCGCCTTCGAAGGTTTCCCATGCTTTTGGTGCGCCTCACTCTCGAGCCCAGGCGCACCCTTCCGACCTGGCTCAAAGTAGAGCACGCACTGCCCCGCATGTGCGTGGCTGGCATTTGATGGACACACTGACGAAAGTAGAACACCAGCTCCCCCTGAGGGGTTTTCGAATGGAAGCAGAGCGCGGCTCCTCCTCGATATGGTTCCCATTTCACCACTGCCACGCTGACGAAAGTAGAGCCCCTGCTCACCTTCGAGGGTTTGCCCATGCTTTTGGGCAGCCTTAGTCATTCCGGAGCCCAGGCACACCATTCGCGCCCGGCTCCAAGTAGAGCGCAGAGCTTTCCAGTATGCACATGGCTGGCATTTACCTAGTGGACACATTGACGAAAGTGGAGCCCAGGCTCTTCGTCTAAGGTTTGCCCTTGGCCTGCGTTTGAGTGACACACTGACAAAAGTAGAGCCCCTTCTCACCTTCGAAGGTAGGTTTGCGCAGGCTTTTGGTCAAGAGCCTCGCCCTCGAGCACCGGCACGCCCTTCCCACCTGGCTAAAAGTAGAGCGCAGATTCTCCCGCATATGGTTGACATTTGATGAACACATTGAGAAAAGTAGAGCCCAGGCTCTCCTTCGAAGATTTTCAGGTGCGACGCTCACCAATATGGTTCCCATCTTCTGAGTGCCACACCGACGAAAGTAGAACCCCTGCTCTTCTCGAAAGTAAGGGCTTCAGTCTCCCCGAGTTCGAGTTGCTTCGTTCGAGCAGTGAAGAAAGAACACCCTGGCGCAATCCTTCGACTTTGATGAGGTCACGACCTTGAATGAAGCTCGAAGATGTCACGACTTGAATTTCGAAGAAGTCACCGACTTCATGCGTGCAATTCTGCGTCTCTTTTTCATACGCTTGCAGATCTTTAGCACGACTAAGCCCCAGAGATAGAAAGCCACGCTTTTGCTTGGCCTCACTCTCGGACCCAGACTTGCTCCTCTCGCCTGGCCTGAAGTAGAGGGCGAACGCTCCCCAGTGTGGTTTGCGTTTGAGCGACGCACTCACGTGACGAAAGTAGAGCCCCTGCCCACCTTCGAAGGTTTGGCCATGCAGCTGTTGGCCAGCCTCACGCTCGAGCCCCGACACACCCTGCCGACCTGGCTCAAAGTAGAGCGCAGACTCTCCCTAATCTGGTTCGCATTTGGTGAGCACATTGATGAAAGTAGAACCCAGGCTCCTCTTCGAAGGTTTTCGCATGGAAGTAGAGCCGCATCTCTCACCAGTATGGTCCTCATCTTCTGAGTGCCGCACTCACGAAAGTAGAGCCTCTGCTCTTCTCGAAAGTAAGAGCTTCAGTCTCCCTGAGTTCGAGTCGCTTCGTTCGAGGAGTGAAGAAGGACTGTTCTGGCGCAATCCTTGAACTTAGATGAGGTCGCGACCTTGAAGCTCGAAGATGTCACGACTTGAATTGTGAAGAAGTCACCGACTTCATGCGTGCAATTACGCGCCTCTTTTTCATACACTTGCAAATCCTTATCACGACTAAGCTCCAGAGAAAGCCACGCCGGCCTTTGCTTGGCCTCACTCTCAGCCCCAGGCTTGCTCCTCTCGCCTGGCCTAAAGTAGAGGGCGAACGCTCCCCAATGCGGTTTGCGTTTGAGTGACGCACTCACGTGACGAAAGTAGAGCCCCTGCTCACCTTCGAAGGTTTGCCCATTCTGTTGGCCAGCCTCACGCTCGAGCCCCGGCACACCCTGCCCACTTGGCTCAAAGTAGAGCACAGACTCTCCCTAATATTGTCCGCATTTGGTGGGCAGATTGATGAAAGTAGAACCCAGGCTCCTCTTCGAAGGTTTTCGCATGGAAGTAGAGCGCCAACGCTCGCCGGTATGGTGCCCATCTGAGTGCCACAGTGATGAAAGTAGAGCCCTGGCTCTCCTTGAGAGTAAAGGCCCCAGCTTCCAGGAGCGAGCTGCGGCGTTTGAACGGTGAAGATGAAGAAAGGACATCTTGGCGCAATCGTTGGACTTTGGTGAGGCCATGGCCTGAATTTCGAAGATGGCACGGGCTTGAATTTCGAAGAAGTCATCGACTTCATGCATGCAATTACACGCCCCTTTTTCATACACTTGCAAATCCTTAGCATGACGAAGCTCCAGAGAAAGCCACGTCTTTGCTTGGCCTCACTCTCAGCCCCAAGCTTGCTCCTCTCGCTTGGCCTGAAGTAGAGGGCGAACGCCCCCCAGTGTGGTTTGCGTTTGAGTGACGCACGCATGTGACCAAAGTAGAGCCCCTGCTCACCTTCGAAGGTTTGCCCATGCTGTTGGCCAGCCTCACGCTCGAACCCCGGCACACCCTGCCCACCTGGCTCAAAGTAGAGCACAGGCTCTCCCTAATATGGTTCGCGGCATTTGGTGGGCACATTGATGAAAGTAGAACCCAGGCTCCTCTTCAAAGGTTTTCGCATGGAAGTAGAGCGCCAACTCTCGCCGGTATGGCACCCATCTGAGTGCCACACTGACGAAAGTAGAGCCCTGACTCTCCTTGAGAGTAAAAGCCCCAGCTTCCAGGAGCGAGCTGCGGCGTTTGAACGGTGAAGAAGGGACATCTTGGCGCAATCGTTGGACTTTGACGAGGTCATGGCCTGAATTTCGAAGAAGTCATGGGCTTGAATTTCGAAGAAATCATCGATTTGGAGCAGCCAAATCTGGCACGTTTTTTGTGGCCGTTTTTTTCGCCGTGTAGTCGTGCTAAGGATTTGCAAGTGTATGAAAAAGAGGTGCATAATTGCATGCATGAAATCGATGATTTCTTCGAAATTCAGGCCCATGCCATCTTCGAAATTCAGGCCATGACCTCATCAAAGTCCAACGATTGCGCCAAGATGTCCACTCTTCACCGTTCAAACGCCGCAGCTCGCTCCTGGAAGCTGGGGCTTTTACTCTCAAGGAGAGCCAGGGCTCTACTTTCGTCAGTGTGGCACTCAGATGGGTGCCATACCGGCGAGAGTTGGCGCTCTACTTCCATGCGAAAACCTTTGAAGAGGAGCCTGGGTTCTACTTTCATCAATGTGCCCACCAAATGCGAACCATATTAGGGAGAGCCTGTGCTCTACTTTGAGCCAGGTGGGCAGGGTGTGCCGGGGTTCGAGCGTGAGGCTGGCCAACAGCATGGGCAAACCTTCGAAGGTGAGCAGGGGCTCTACTTTGGTCACGTGCGTGCGTCACTCAAACGCAAACCACACTGGGGGGCGTTCGCCCTCTACTTCAGGCCATGCGAGAGGAGCAAGCTTGGGGCTGAGAGTGAGGCCAAGCAAAGACGTGGCTTTCTCTGGAGCTTCGTCTTGCTAAGGATTTGCAAGTGTATGAAAAAGAGGCGTGTAATTGCATGCATGAAATCGATGACTTCTTTGAAATTCAAGCCCGTGCCATCTTCGAAATTCAGGCCATGGCCTCACCAAAGTCCAACGATTACGCCAAGATGTCCTTTCTTCATCTTCACCGTTCAAACGCCGCAGCTCGCTCCTGGAAGCTGGGGCCTTTACTCTCAAGGAGAGCCAGGGCTCTACTTTCATCAGTGTGGCACTCAGATGGGCACCATACCGGCGAGCGTTGGCGCTCTACTTCCATGCGAAAACCTTCGAAGAGGAGCCTGGGTTCTACTTTCATCAATCTGCCCACCAAATGCGGACAATATTTGGGAGAGTCTGTGCTCTACTTTGAGCCAGGTGGGCAGGGTGTGCCGGGGCTCGAGCGTGAGGCTGGCCAACAGAATGGGCAAACCTTCGAAGGTGAGCAGGGGCTCTACTTTCGTCACGTGAGTGCGTCACTCAAACGCAAACCGCACTGGGGAGCGTTCGCCCTCTACTTTAGGCCAGGCGAGAGGAGCAAGCCTGGGGCTGAGAGTGAGGCCAAGCAAAGGCGTGGCTTTCTCTGGAGCTTAGTCGTGCTAAGGATTTGCAAGTGTATGAAAAAGAGGCGCGTAATTGCATGCATGAAGTCGATGATTTATTCGAAATTCAAGCCCGTGCCATCTTCGAAATTCAGGCCATGACCTCACTAAAGTCCAACGATTGCGCCAGGTTGTCCTTTCTTCACCGTTCAAACGCCGCAGCTCGCTCCTGGAAGCTGGGGCCTTTACTCTCAAGGAGAGCCAGGGCTCTACTTTCATCACTGTGGCACTCAGATGGGCACCATACCGGCGAGCGTTGGCGCTCTACTTCCATGCGAAAACCTTTGAAGAGGAGCCTGGGTTCTACTTTCATCAATCTGCCCACCAAATGCGAACCATATCAGGGAGCGCCTGCGCTCTACTTTTAGCCAAGTGGGCAGGGTGTGCCGGGGCTCGAGCGTGAGGCTGGCCAACAGCATGGGCAAACCTTCGAAGGTGAGCAGGGGCTCTACTTTCGTCAGTGTGTCACTCAAACGCAGGCCGCGCCTGGGAGGGTTAGTGCTCTACTTCGGGCCAGGTGGGAAGGGTGGGCTTTGGCTTGAGGGTGAGGCTGGGCAAAATCATGACCAAGGGCAAACCTTAGACGAATGGCCTGAGCTCTACTTTCGTCAATGTGTCCACTACTAGGTAAATGCCAGCCATGTGCATACTGGGAAGCTCTGTGCTCTACTTGGAGCCGGGTGGGAATGGTGTGCCTGGGCTCCGGGGTAGGGCTGCCGAAAAGCATGGGCAAACCCTCGAAGGTGAGGAGGGGCTCTACTTTCGTCAGCGTGGCAGTGGTGAAATGGAAACCATATCGAGAAGATTTCGCGCTCTACTTCCATTCGAAAACCCCTCGGGGGGAGCTGGTGTTCTACTTTCGTCAGTGTGTCCATCATATGCCAGCCATGCATATGCGGGGCAGTGTGTGCTCTACTTTGAGCCAGGTCGGAACGGTGCGCCTGGGCTCGGGAGTGAGGCTCACCAAAAGCATGGGAAACTTTCGAAGGCGAGCAGGGGCTCCACTTTCGTCAGTGTGTCACTCAGACGCAAACCACACCGGGGGGAGTTCGTGCTCTACTTCGGGTCAGGTGGGAGTGCTGCGCTTGGGCTCGAGGTCGAGGGTGAGGCTGAGCAAAAACATGGGCAAACCTTCGAGGGCGAGCCTCGGTTCTACTTTTGTCAGTGTGTCTGGCAAATGTCGGCCATGTTGGGGAGGTTCTGCGCGTTGCTTTCAGCTGGGTGGAGGAAGGGCGTGCCTGCGCCTGGGCTCGAGAGTAAAGTTAGGGAAAAGCGTGAACAAGCCTTCGAAGGTGATGCGGGGCTCTACTTTCGTCAGCGTGGCACTGGTGAAATGGGAACCATATCGGGGAGGGTCAGCCTCTTACTTCCATTCGAAAACCCTCGAGGGGGAGACGGGGTTCTACTTTCATCAATGTCCCCACCAAATGCCGGCCATATCTGGAAGGCTGTGTGGTCCGTCTACTTTGAGCCAGGTGGGAAGGGTGTGCTTGGGCTCGAGGGTGAGACTGACCAACAGCATGGGCCAACCTTCTAGGGAGAGCCTGGGTTCTACTTTCGTCAGTGTGTCCACCGAATGCCAACCATATTGGGGCGAGTCTTTTCTCCACTTTGGGCACGGTGGGAAGGGTAGGCTTGGGCTCGAGAGTGAGGCTGGCCAAAAGCGTGGGCAAAGCTTCGAAGGTGAGCAGGGGCTCTACTTTCGTCAGTGTGTCCGCCAAATGATCGCCATACTGGGGAGAGTGTGTGCGCTGTCAGTAAAGGCGGGAGACCTTCGAGGACGAGAGTAGGGGCTCTACTTCCGTTCAAAATGTGTCACACAAGGGGGAACCGTACTGGGAACAGTGGCGGGGCTAGTTATTGTGGTTCAGGTTAGCGCAATGATTGGGCAGGTTGCCATTCGCCGCGGCATCCTCGAGGAGACTCGGGGCGCCGCTTCTTTTCTTCTGTTGTGGCCACATGAAAAGCATGCTGAGGAGATACGTCACTGATTTTGGCCTCCTTTGTTCTATGTTGTAGCATTGCTTGCGACTGATAGACCTTATTTGCTCTGCGAGCTTTATTGATCTTGAAGAAATCATAAGTAAAATAATTCATGACTTTAATCGAGAGTGAAAATGGAAACGGCATGGCTTAGCTTCTTCTTAAGAGGAGCAGACACGCGCAAAGTTCTTATGAGTATAGTTTCTGTTCTGTGAGTATCAGACTGAGAGTGAGCCTTAGGCGCGCGCTATGCGTGTGCGTCTCTATGAGTTCTTTGCCCGTAATATCTTTTTTCGGATTCTTTAGTGGTAGTATTTGCTGGAAGCACGAAGTCGCTCATAACCATTAGAAAAAGCAACTCGTCACTTAATGAGTAGTGTTACAGGATCGCGCGTAGTAGGTGGATCCTTTAACTTTCAAGGTTATACTCATACAAGAAAGCCATAGAAGCTAATTATTCTAGTTCTCCGCCAGGTTATCCCGAGTTCACTCACCAAAAAAAACGTCAGGCAGAGACATTCAGCATCTGGTGGGATTATCTGCATCTTGCTACTTCTATGCTAGACAGGCAGTCGCTTTGCTCTAGCTCATCTCAACGGTGAGACCAATGCTCTACATGCTTGTGGTTGTGCAGCCTACTGCTACTTAGTCAGCGTTTTACTTTGAATGTGATCTGATGCGCGCTACAAGTGCAACGTTTGCGCCACTACCTTCTTCTTTCCCGACGCAGTAAATGACATTCAATAACTTCAATTTAGGGCCAGGCTCTCTGATAGTAGATCTGGTTTTCAAATGACCTTGGCGCTTTTTGTTTAACATTTTACTAGGCGCTTTGCCTTCATGTGATAGCGATTCTTCTGCAGCATCGGCAAGGTCCTCGCCAAGTCTCGGGCAGGAGATAGACCTCCGGCTGCTTATTTGCAGCGCGCACGTTTTCTGATAGGTTGATAGACTTAAAGGTCAGCCACGTTATCGGTCAAAAGAAGTCCCAGTCTCAAATGCGTCAAAGAGTTGCAAAGGAACGAATGAAATTTTTTCAGCATCGAAATAGAAGCAGAAAATCGCTTCATCCTATCCAAAAAGCGCACCATGATCGCCAACCACTAGCAAAAACGTTCCAGCGCCTCAACTAAGTACTAGTAAGTGCGCACTTTTTTCCCCTAGAGTTCTAGCGCTAATGTCCTCCATGTCGCCCTTTCTAGGTAAGTTTTCGTACAGTTTCAGCATTGATTTGACCTTCGTCATGTAGTTTACAATCATGCCGCTACATCTTCTCTGTGGTCCGAATGACGCGCGGGCCTTATCCGCGTGCCGGATACAAGATTAAGACTACTTCCTAAGGGAATCCATCGTCGCCTGCATTCTGTTTTAGCTCTTAACGATCGAGGGCAATATGTAGTCGAGAATGCAGGTCAGAAGAATTTCTACTTTGTCTAATAACACACAATAACGAGAAAGACTTGCGTGGGACTGCCCCCAACACCAAACTACAACATGCCTCTTAAGTGGGTGCGTGGTTCGACGTATATCATGCGCCCTTGTCTCGATATTCTTATGGGATTTAGTTTTCCTGCTCTTTGAAAAATTTGAATTGGCTGTATTTGCGACTGCTTTGGGTGCTTCAGGATTTGAATGATTTAGAGCTTCAAGTTAAAAGTAACGCGTAAGCCTTAACGATGAACTCTATACGCTCCTAATGAATGCGCGGCGCTTGACATGGATGAGGCAACGGGGCTGGCGAGTGTGCTTCCGCACTGGCGACAGTTACGGTCTTCGCTGTGGATCATTCGTCTTGCGATATATCTAGATGAAGAAGCAAGTCGATAACTTTTTCTTTCATCATAGGTATCTTATTGAAGGTCGGGGCAACATGTATAAGAACATCCTCTAAAACAAGTGTCGAAACTGCACGAGCATCCGAAAAAGGAAAAGCCTAACGATGCAGAGAGAATGGGAATGCATGTATTCGAAATTATAACTGAGTACGATGCTTTTCTGGTTCCCTTGTTAATACAATAGTGCCGAATAGAGAAGATTTGCGTCGTTAACGAAAAACCCAGGCCGTTTCAAAGTCCATGCTTGTTCTTTGTCTTCAGGTACACCAGGTGACCGCCAAAAATATCACTCTGCTTAAGCTGGATTCTGACGCTTTATATTTTAGACGAATGGGGCTCCCGGTAGCTGCTGGCAAGCTGAAGCCAGACCCCCTTTTGAAGAAGGTGGCTGATTAAGGGCTACAGTGTAATATAAAAGTAGGATCATGGCGCAGCGCTGATGTTCATATGCATTGCCTTTATTTTTCGTAGAGATTGAGATACAGACTGGACGGACCAAGTACAGGCGCTCCAATTGAGTAGCCTTCGGATGCATTACCTTTCTAAACCCTGAATATCATCCTGCCGGGAGATCTATTCCTACTCGATCGAGCTCTCGGCGACAGGGTGACAAAAGATGAGGCCTACAAGCTACAAATCGGAAGAGTGCCGGTTGCAGCTCTCGCTACCGCCGAGTACAATTATGATGAGAAAAAGTGTTTTCTTTATTTATTTACTTCACTCAATCTCAAAATTGTACGAAGATGCTTCAATTTCACATAGCCTTAACCTCTAAAGTTTGACGATTACAAGGAGGCTCAGAGAGGTCGCGCAAAACTGCGTCCTTCAAACGCTTGCGAAGCCGGACGCAACTGCTGACGTTTCTTCACCACCAAGACGGCTTGTGAAACCCATTTTCACTCCTATAAAGGACCAGAAGAACGTGGCTCCGGAGCCAACCGGAAGATTATTTTTAAGGCCATTAGTAGTTTTGTCGCAATTGGAGTTCTATTGCTGGGTTCTATCTTGATTACATGAAGCTTCACATCTCTAAAGTACCCAAGTCCTCGCCTGGATAAACCGAAGAAGGGCGCGCATGATCGCATCCGCTGGGACTATTGCCCTGGTCCGTTTCGTTTACCGATTAAGGCTATAAATGAAAAATCTCTGTTGTTGATATTATAGCGGTACATGCACAATGGAAAACGATAGAAAACACACTTTGGCCAAATGTCCTCTACAGAGTCTCCACCTTCCCTAGTTCGAGCACGTTGTAGAGTGACTAAGTCTTAATTTGCAACTTGGAGCTGTGTCGTCGTCTCTAAGCAGAAACCTCGCTTCGCCAGAAAAAAAGGCAAGCAGGCAGACGCGTCGCCAGAAAAAAAGCCAAGCCCGAGCAGCGTCCCTATCACACCGGGACCGCCGCGGAGATGGCGACTAAAAGCAGAATCTTTGGGAGGCTGCATGAAGCGTAGAGGAAATCGAGCGAGTTTGGTTTTACCAAAGGCCAAAGTGCTACTATGCGAGCCTCCAAAGCCGAGGCCGAAAGTGGTAATACCACCCGCCGCAGCATCTACTGCGATGAAGACAGCGCCAGCAGTGAAGACGAATAAAACTGCTGGCGCTCCTACAACGATGAAGACAACATCAACGTTGAGGAAGGCAGCTCCTACCATAACTACAGCCATGAAGACAGACGCAACTACGTCAGCAATGAAGAAAACTACTACTGCCACAACTACAAGCTGCGTGAAGACAGCTCCTACCACTACGTCTATAACCATGAAAACAGCTCTCCCGTCAGCAATGAAAGCAGCTACTTCTACAACAACTTCAACAGCAATGAAGACAGCAATGAAGACAGCAATGAAGACAGCAATGAAGACAGCTACAAAATCACCAATGAAAGCAGCCACTTGCTCTACGACAACTACTACAGCAATGAAGGCAGGGGCTACAACGTCAGTAATGAAAACGGCGATGAAATCGATGCAGAAAGATGCTGAGGCTCCGAATTCAAAGGCCGCCGTAGCTTCTCCCAGTCGTGCTCACAATAAACAACAAAAGCCATCATCTATGAAACGAGCTGCCGCTTCCCCCAAATTAGTTTTGCATGATGAGAATGTTTTTGGTGATGGCCACGAAGATTTTCTCACGCTTACAACGTCCAGCTGCAACAAGAAGAGAGCAAAGAAACTGATCGGCAAGCAGCAGTACCACGTTGGATCTAAGTTTGCTCCTGCCTCGAGAGCAGTTTCCACGATAAAGGACCCTTGTTCCGATTATGCATCTCCACAAGTGGGCGCCAATGTTACGAGCGCCGGTAGCTCGTGTCTTTCTGTTGGAACACCTTTTAGAAGATAGGAGGCTATTTCTTGGAACAAGCTAAAAGGAGTTCTCTAAGGAATGAGCTGTCGGCACCTCTAAGGATACTAAATGGGAGAAGCTGAAGGAGAAGCAGAACGCTGATGCAGTGAGTAGCAAGCAGAAAGAAACCAACAAGAAGATGAATCATCCTCCTGGTGTTGGTGTTGCAGCAGGTGGAAAGCAAATGGAGAATGCAGATGAGGATGGTCGTTTTGGTGGTGTTGGGAAGACCGATAGTAAAGACGACGAGAACCAAGACCCATCTTCTTCTTCTTCTTCTTCTTCTTCTTCTGACGCAGATAAGAGCAAGCAGAACGAAGCTGATGGTGAAGAGATGAAGCCTACTCTAGTCTCCATTGCGCGACTGCCTGCATTTCGAGCCTTAGCCGAGCTTCAGTATCCGGAGAGAGCTGCGGATCGTACGCTGACGGAAATCACCAGCAGAGTGTTGATTTGGTCCAAGGTAGCAGATCAAGCACGCCTAGAGAGGCAGGTCTTAGCCAACAAGTTCTCTTAAGGGTTTCTGTAACATGCTTCACCAGCATCCTCGGATCTTTTCCAAGTGAAAAAATTAGCCAAGTACTAGATGAACGATGCAATGAAGCATGCCAATTGGCAACCTCTAAACCTCAGCTCCACACAATAGCATCTTTGCACCCTGGGCACAGGATGTTAGTACTAAGTTAGACTCGCTGCAAATTTGGCAAAATTAAGGCTGCTATCTTTTGATGCATACTCAGTGCCATCCCTGCCACTTTTTCTACTTGAGTTTGAAACTCGAGGCAGGGTAGATACTCTCGGGGATGCGAAGAGTCTTGTTCTAATTTCAAAGGTACCGCAAACGGAAAAGAGAACTAGAAGAGAAAGAGAAAGCTGCAGGCCAGGGAGCGGACGACGATCGACAGGAAATCAATAACAAAGAAGCGTCTTCATCAAAGCGCCCAGCACCAGCATCTTCTTCGAAAAAGCCCGCAGGTATTTCCGCACCGGAAAAAAAGCGGCATAAGAAAAAGTACTTATGTTTGTTCTTCTGTTTACGTTTAGGTAGCCCGGTTTTTTATTACTGTGTCTGATTCTTGTGCTATTAAAGCACTACTTTACTTTTTCTCTGTCTTTATTATTGTGTAGCATTCTTCTGCTCCATTCATTTTTCACTGCGTCAACCAGCGATCACTTACGACGCACACACATTTCAGATGACTTACGAGATTACGAGTTATCCCAGGGGTTTCCAATCAGCAGCTTCATTCCATGATCGTATCGCAGAGGTGTGGCGAGGTATATGGTTTAATCGATCATAATGATGACGATGATGATGATGGTTCTCTTTTTACTTCTTGATTGTTCTTCGCTGCGTATAGTCGTGATTATAGAACTGCAATCTTCTCGGACTCTAATTACAAATCTTGAATCACTATTGCACTCATATGAATAAAGGTTGCTGCCCTATGAACGGACAAAAAATAAACGTGGCCAGGAATTTGAAACAATTGGCGTCAGAGCGAATAGCTGCAGCAACGACCTTGGACTTTATACAGAGCTTCACTTTCAATATCGTCAGCATGGCGCGAATTTTGTTGAGGAGTCCCATTTATATGAAGGATTTAATCGTTGCAATATGGCAGACTCAACCAGTGCAAATAAATTGCCATTCATCGTGCACATGCTTTGTTGTTCATTTATGTTCTTGAAGTTTAACAATGCTGAGGCCGGTTCGGCGGCCAATGTCTAACAAACTTCAAATGTGTACGTCGTTGTTCTTAGAGATTATTTACGTTTCTACAAAAAGAAAAATTGCCAGAGAGCCGATGCGTCGTGCGTACTTCCGTAGAACTAGAGTTAGCATTTCGTAGATCGCGCATAGAAGATTATGTTGCTTGTCTTGTTTTATAGTAATTCTCAATAGTATTGATCAACCGGTGGCCTAGCATCTCCTTTCTTGTCGATCAATATTACCGAAGCTTTTAATCAATCTGACCAAAAAGCCTCCCCACTTCTGTTGGCGGAGACTCTTGTTTGTAAGAATGCCGACATTTATCAGTCATGACATGCATAAAAGTGAAAACATCTTTGGGAACCCAAAGGAGGCTTGTGCGCTTAAGATATTCGCTCCAAATTATCAAAGAGCCGTGCCAAGATGTGCCTCTCTGCAATTCCACTGTGAGGACTAGCACAGAGGCGTGCGCTGCCACTGCTCCTGCAATAAACTCCACGGACTGTCAGTGTGATTCATGAGTGCTGAGCGACGATGCAAAACAGGCACCAGCCACTTTTGAGTATCAAAGCAGTACAATGAAGATAATTTTTAGAAAAGACAGAGAAAATAGACTCACTGAGGGACATCGCTACTTGTAGAAACAAATAGCGAAGTTGTTGTTTCTTATTTCTAGAAGATCATGAATCACAAAAAAATAAATGTTGGCGTTGCAGCGGATGATATGAGTAGTGCTCACACAGCCAAACCCTTTGAACCACGTGTGCGCGCGATCGGCTTTCCGTAAACACTGACGGCGCGTCCGCTCTGTGTGTCGCGAGTTTCAGAAGCAGGCACTTATGTTATTAGCTGGTACATCGAGCTATCGACTTTACTAGCTCCTCGCGCAAGAATTGCAAGGCGTCCTTACCAAGTATTATCTTGTTCTTGTTCGACCATTTTTTCCTAACGTTGACATTGAACGTTGTCTATTTGCTGAGACGTAAAACTTTTTTCCAGAAGTCTCAAAGTACCTTTACTAGAGGCACAGCCGACGAAAGTGGTGGAGCAGAGGCAGGAGGCGCCAACGCAGGAGATGGCCTTTCGTAAGCAGAGCAACATCGGAATGGCGTGCGACACTCCGTGCCCCCGTGAAACCGTCCTCGAGATCTCCACCCGAACGGTTGCAAGACTACACACGAGTGACTTCTGGCCTTGCAGCCGCGAAAAGGCGATGTGCTGCGCTTCTTCCAGGAGATTATCGATAAAGAAAAAGAGGATCGCAAATGGTAGAATGGCGTGTAATGCCCACACTCAATTGTAGCTGGGCGGCTGGGAAGCAACGCGTGGCTTCGCTATCTTCTGCATTAAAGCGTTGCCACTCTATTTGATGTCGTCCTGCGAAGTTGAAGTCGAGCTGCGCTCTTTATAGTGTCTCACTGACAGTGAGGCTGTAACTCATGGAGCGAAGACAGTATCAGTAAAGCTAACGTCAGCCATTATCTTCTCGTCTCTGTCGGAGAAACGCGAATGCTTCTGCAGCTTGTCAATACCCATCAACCACTATCCGCAAGAAGGGATGTGAGATGATAAGAAGGTGACTCAAGAAGTGGGGAATACTTTATATCTTGCGATCAACGACGAGGATAACAGATCTTGAGAGTGTTCTCCCCTGCCCGCGGTCATGATTTTTGCAAAGAGATGATCTTGGTGCAGGTGTTGTTGGTGTGTCAGAGTTGTGTAATAAGAAAGATGTTGAAGCTACCATAAGAAAACTGTCCTGGAGCTGGAATGTGAGCACTACGCCCAGCTGCATCTGACTGCTCCACTCAAAACCTGAGGAGAGCTCGAGGCTTCTTTTGTTTCGAACACGACTTGCGCATAAGTGCTGAGGTGAAGACTTGTCTGGTCAAATGGGGTTCAGCAAAGCTATGAACTCGTTCTATTTTTCTCTATTGGCCTTTCTATCTTCCATTGCACTGACTAATAGATACATGACTAAACAAGATACGAGGTATGAAAGACTGATAGATACGTGGCACGAAAAATTCTTACGTGACTAAACAAGACTAGCACTCAAGACAACCACAACATCAAGATGTCGGGCGCTAAAGCTCCCCCAGAGTACAACAACACTTATGGCTCTTTAGTCCATCTCCAGAAACATCCCTCAAGCATATGCGCCAGTATGAGTGGGTGCGTGCACTTGCTTGAGGGATTTTCACAAGGATGAACTCGGGAGAGGTCTAAGGCACCCAAATGGGGGTGATGTTACAGAGAATCAGCATCGTTTTCAATTATGAAAGACAATCAAAAGCTGTGCACTCCTGTTGCAGTGCAGGCTTCTTCTTCAACAACTTCAAAAAAGAAGTATCTCCACTAGAATCCTGCGCGAAGTGATCAGGGGTGTACTCTCATACCTCTAATATTATGCTGAGACGGATAAAAAGGTGTGCCAGCCGATCTGGGTGGCGAAGGTGCATTATATTTCTTGCTTTGTTCGCATCGCGTAGTAGTATCTCTCTCTCCGTGTAGAATTTGTAAAAGTAGGACTTTACTTGCACTTGGCAAACTGAAACACCACCAGCACCATTCCACTACCTCCAACCACCATACATTTCCATTACCTCCATTGTTTTCATTACAGAAAGGAAAGCCAAACGATATCCTGCAGTGTATTCTCTTTTCCGCCGATGCGGAATGTACGAAACTTAGAGGGCGATCGACGGAGCGAGATGGTATTATCATCACAAAACCGATCAGCAGTCGATGTCGATGACTACCTTTTTTTCTCATATTCATTTTAGTCAGATGATTGCTCCTCAAGAACATATAATATCGCTTTTGACTGCATGCAACGCCACCCATAGCGACACTCCAAGGTCAACCCATGAATCCACACCATCACAGAATACGTACGCTATTGCAGTAGCTACGCATACGCGGACGACATTTAAGGCCGCTCTTCTTGTCTTTTGATTAGTTTTAGTTTGCAACTTTGTAAACAAAAAGATCATGAGCAAGTCATTAGTTGACAGCTCCACGGTCATGCTGATTAACCACAAGTTCGACGGCGGCGGCGTCCTCTAATCATCGTGGAGAAACGCTTCCAAATGCGAACTTCCAGCAATTGGCCTCGTCAAGGGCCAGGAAAGACCGGTGACGTTAACGCTTACGAGACTACAAAAACTACAGGTACTAGATCCTAACTCTAAATCTATAATATTAATACTTGCGAAAAAAAGTGATAAACCACACAAGGACGATATATCTTTTCTTACGCGTGGTCATATTAAAGTAAACGCTACGCAGTCCTTTGTTTATGATCGATAGTCATGCCTCGCCGAGGAACTGCAGATACTTCAGCCTTTCACTCTCCAGGTACTCTCGAAGCTGAGACTGAAAAGTTGCCGAAATAAAATTACCGTGGACAAGTGTCGTGATGCGTTTTTTGCGCTTATCGAGAAAGCTTGCCCGGGAGGCAAAGTTGCAAACGAGTCGCTGCACCGCAAGCGAATTTTCATCGAAATGGGATACAATATCTTTGCGGAGTCCCTCAACATCGGCGCAACTGGCTCGGAGCATTGGAAAAAAGTGAAGAGTGTACTCAGTAATCTGTCTTGGCTGGTCTAGACTAGTTCATTTGGTGTAAGAAAGTATCGCCGTGCTGGTAAATTGTGCTCTTGTTCATCAATTGTCTTGATGAAAAGTGCTTTCCTGTAACAGTTTTTGTCCTTTGGTTATTTTTTCAACAATGTATGAAACTCAGGAATTTGCACTCCGTCAGCATGAATTTGGGGAAAAGTTGGACTTAAGGCCTTGCTCTATAGCCCATCTTTAGAAGCATTCTGGCAGTGCCGTCAAGCACGATATAGACCTCACCAGAATGCTTTTCAAGGTGTACCGCCATCACTTCTAATATATGTGTCGTTCACTCATCTGGCAGAGGCAATGGCTAACACCTACTTTATGGAGGGAACGTAGTGACAGTCTCTATCATTGATAATCATGCTGTAGTTCATCTACGACCATTTTGCACAGGTAAAACAAGAAAAGGCCTCGTGCTTTATTTCTTCCGTTAGTAGTATCTGCACTTAGTCTGACGCATTATATTTTTATATATTAATCTCTTCGCATTTCACACCGTATATTATATATTATTCTCCTTTCATTTTTTGTAACCACGACTTCGCCTTGATAGCGAAAGGCCTACAGGGCCGCCTGAAAAGCGATGTGCACGCCGAAGAGGAAGACGCCGTGCGTTTTTACCACCTAAACGTGGTGGGGAGCAAAAACTAAGACTAAAAGTAATCCATCCACCTTTCCATCGTCTTGGTGTTATTTACGAAAAGTTGCACCAAGATGCTGGACGAAATGGATTTCTTCTACTTCGAAAAAAATCTATTTGCAAAGTATACAGCATGGAAACAACGAGAAACAGAAAAGCAGGCGGCAAAACTGCGACGCGATTATGATGCTTTGTCTGTGACTTACACTTAGTATCCTAACATACGTGCGCCACGATTTAATCCAACTACTTACTCATCTTTATTTTATCAGCGACGACGTCGTGTAGAGAGTAGAGTAGTGCTCTCCAATTTTACATTTCTAATACTCAATGGAGCTGCGACGATTGGCCGAGGGTGGCCTGGGAGGTGGCGAATCTAATGGATTCAATGGAGAAGAGCAGCAAGCGGATTACGAAGACTACGAGTATGAGTACCCTACGCATCATTCGATGATGGTTGAAGGATCTCACACAGTTAAGGCCCTCCTCGTCGCTAGTTCGTCTTTCTTGGGTAAGTCCGTCATAAGCATATGGGAGCTGTACTATTCGGGCTGATCAGGAGACACCTCTCAACAAGGTCCTTAATAGAGTTAATCAATAACAGTGGCCATTTCTAAAACACCTCCCCCGAAAGCTGGATCCTCCAGCCGCAAGACGCCTACATCTTCCTCTTCTGCTTCTACTTCTCGAACAACTGAAGCGTCTTCATCTTCCTCGTCGGTAACTCCGACTGCAAAATTGCAGGCAGCGATGGATCGCATCACGAATGCCGCAAACAAGGGAAAAGAAGGAACCAAAGGTAAAGGACGTGGCAAAAAACAAGCAGCAGATAAAGGAGCCAGCGGTCGTTCCCGTAGTGCGTCGCCTGTGAAAAACAAAACTACAACTACCGTTTCCGAAGATATGGATCAGGACAAGAAGACGACCACTACCACATCCAGTGGCAAAATGCTGCCACCTGCTTTGCCGGCTACTGCTAAGGTGAATCCTGCTCCTGCTGTTGCGAATGAGCAGAAGACGACCGCAACCACTACTGCTAAGATGAATCGTGCTCCTGCTGTTGCGAGTAAGCGAATGACGACCACATCCACTGCCAAAATGGGTGATGCTCCTGCTGCTTCGACTACCACGACTTCGCCTGCCAAGCCCCTTCCTACCAAGATCACGGACAATGAGACGCTCCTTCCGTACTACATTTTTCATCTTGCTATCTCTCGTTCTCTATGTTGATATCGATCCTTAAAGAGTAGCTCTTACTAATATCTTTCAGAAGCGTGACTTTCTCATCGTGATGGAAATAGGAATTAATCAAAAAATTAATGATCATCTTCCATTTTTTTGGTCTTCGCTATCACAGGAAACTCAGCGAAGAACATGGTCAGCAAGCTTCTGCTCTCAAGGCTGCTACGACCACTACGACGGAGACCACCGGCGCGAAGGGCTCTCGCGGTGGTAAAGCCGTGAGTCAAGCGGCATCAACTGGCAAAGGTACAGCCAAGACTGCTACTGCGAAGCAAGGCAGCACCACGACGATGATCCCCAACACTGCTACTACCAAGGATGTAACTGCCGCCGGTCGCAAAGCTTCGACCACTACTGCTACTACTACTACTACTACTAACACTGGCAACACGAAGGGCCATGAAGACAAAGCTATTCCGGCAGGCGCTCGCCTCAAGGATTTGAAGCCGCCGACTCTCAAGCGAGGAGGAAGTGTGATCCTGGGGCCGGATTCGAAGCGGTATCATAAAAGACGCCCACTTGTATTCCAAAACCAAAACTGTTGCTGTTGGTTGATTGGGTCGCTGAGTGATCGACGACTTAAGGTTTCCTGACTTTGGAGAATATTAGCCTGCAACTTTTTTTCACCCCGAGTTCTGCTATCTAGAATTGATCCAATTATTTTACTTTCACTGAATACCTTCAGATCTCACGCAGAAGACGCCGCTGCTTGTGAAATTGATTTTTTTGCACAGTTTTGCAGTCCGGAAAAAGATTCGTCTGCCAAGTTTTGTATGCCGGGAAAAACGAAAGCTGACCTGCCTCAACAAGTCAGCGAAGGCCTCGCTGGTGATTCTGACGAGTATTATTACCCTTACTATTGACTAGAAGATGATCCGTTAGCATCTTCATATCTGAATTCTTTCCATAGATCCATATATGTAGATCAAAGTACATGTTCACTCTACAAGTACTCCCTCTTCCATATGGCACAGGTTGGATACCTCAGCTGCAGCTACGGACTTCTGTGGAGCTACGGACTTTAGCAGCGCCACCGATGCCGGCAACCATCAAGAGGGAAGCGGCATGTCTCCGCAAAAAGCTACCCGCGCCGATGTGCAGCCGCTTCCCAGTTCTATCTTATCTGGTTTACTGCAGGCGAAGCATCCCATTGCGACACTGCTGCAGGACATGCTGCCGGTAATAAGTCGCTACTTCTATAATCAAGATGGAAATACTCAGGCTAATAAAGAGATGCTCTACAAAATTAAACGTGTGCTAGAAAATATAAATAGTCATATCCCAGCTAGCTTTCTAGTTGTGGCAGCTATGGTTTATTGCCAAGACTTATATCAATGAATAACGAACCCCTTTGCTCTGCAGGCTCTTAACGCAATGGCTGCTTACGGCGATCAGCTCTTGCGAGCCTATCGACTCATCACAGTGAAGCACTTTGAAGACGAGGCTTTGCCGAATCAGTACGAAATCGATTTAGTGGACTTTGAAACTGCGTGCATCATGTGCCGCATTTGCGGCTCCGACGTCCCTAAAGTCTGTAGCGAGGAGACTTCGCAACTGCGCCAGATTCTTCTGAATTCTTAAGGCTGCTCTTGTTTCACTTCGTCGCTTCTACACGTTTGGCCACACACTGATAGCATGGCATATGATTTTCTCGAGTCGCGTATTCCGTGTGACAGTAGGGTGCGTAGTCTTATAATCCAAAGTCATGAACTTACTGTAGCAGCCTCTAACAACAGGAAACGGACGCTGCTGATATCTGGTCGCACAAAGAAGAAAATCTTGGAGATCTGCTAGACGGCTTCCTGAGCCACTACCTTGACGTCCGGGACCTCTTGCCGTCCAAAGTGAGGGCTCGAATGGATGTTTTTTTATGGATAGATGGCTGATTTCTAGAGTGCGTTGCCTCTAGTGGAAGTCTCTTATTTTTCGACGAGAAAGATTCTTGGACTTCGAGCTTTATACTAGTTCGATCGATGAATTGGGTATCAATATCAAAACTGGCGCAGCATTAGGTCCTGTAGCGAATCTTAGTCCTGGAGTGCGTATCTTGATTCTAATGAGGCGCGCGACCACCTCAACGGATATGCAGACTGCCAGGGCACAAAAAGGAATTGAAAAAGGGCCGGCGTTGCATTTTTTCCTGGTCTCCAACAAATCCACATCGAACTTAAAGTTACGCGTTGTTCACTAAGCATGCTTAGCCATGGGTCTATAGGTTACTTAGGATAGACGTCAGAGTCAGCGTTTAGGGTAAGCGTCTTCAGGGTTAAGGCCTATTATCTCTATCTGTTATCGAGAGTCTGCCCCCCCCGAGGTAGCCCCTAGCGCCTTTTTCTAATCGAGGAGCTCAGTCCGCTTTTAACGGAAAAAGCTGTGGTCGAACGGATGGGAGACATCATGGACAAGGGGGCGAACTATGTAATTTTGTATTCGATAGCGTGACGCTTAAGCTTATGCTTCTTTTCTGTATACTTTAAACATAGTTGACTAATATGGCAACAAACTTTTTTCAGTGAAGTGCTTGTAATCCTTTCTGCGTTTCCACGCTTTTTTCTCGTTTAGAAGATTCTTATACCAATGATTCCAATATCTCCAGGTTCCCAAGCTGGACATGCTGCTGGATATCACGTGGGAGACCTTTCGCAGAGACATCGACTATCTGAGACACGCGATCTCAACTCAGAACACAATCAACACTGGCCAGGCGGGAGCGAAGCTGTTGTTTGTCAATGATTGCTGTGCAGCTGCGGCGGCAGTTTTGAGATTTCTTGGCGCTTACCGATCGACGAAAAGTGATCAAGTGGCGAGAAAGGATATCGTTGACAAGGTACTAGGCTAGCTCTCTATCGCATACCGTCACAGATAGATCTGCAGGCTCTTGAGACTACCCATTCTCAATCTTATTGGTGACATCGTCTCTTCTCATAGAGCAGCATGCCCATTCGCGCACTTTCTCATAGACTTCTGCGAATCGCCTGTGCGGTGGTCTCATTTCGCTCAGAGACGAAGCAACGATGGAAAAATCTGTGCAACAAGACATCAATGTGCAGGGGATGTTCGGGAAGCTCAATAATCTTTGCGCCGTTGTTTGGAGAAAAATTATGGATCATCGTTCGTATCAGTATCACCCGTCTCATCTATCTCGTATCTTCTCAGTGAGGAGGAGCATTACCTCCGCTGTAAACGTTTCTAATTTGATCTTGGTGCCGGTTTTTATCGAAAAACTTGATAAAGACGTGTTTGAGGAGGCTCCGAACCGGGTTAGTGCAGAGCTCCTGGTAACGTCCCACAGAATGGCTGAATTTGTTAAGGCTCGCGATCATTCATCTTAACAGCATCTTCACCCCGTTCTTTAATCGGAAAAGGCGGCGAAGATGCACTTGGAGATGATTACGCGCGAGGTCTAAAGTCACGCTCATGGACAAGGCCTTGGGATTGCAGCTAGTATTGAATTATGGCGACACTTAGTGCAATGTGTTTCATCTACTCAATAGCAAAAGCTTACTTTATAGGTGGCTGCGGGGATTAGTAGCTGTAGCTGGATCATGGGATACTTCTATGTAGGCTTTAGGCCGGCTGAATATTACTACTCCTACTACTTCTCCTACAACTAGTCCTGCTAGTTCCTCTAACAGCTTGAAGTTAACCTTTTTTATGCCCGAGGCGATGCAGTTGCCGAAGAGCAAGCTGGGGACTGCGATTTCATGTCCGACGATGGAGCTGGTGAAATCAATGAAGACATGCTGAATGTCGAGGAAGGCGACTTGCTTGACGCTATGGATGATCTTGAGGAGCAAATGCAAGACATCGACTGCTGAGCGGTAGTGCATTAATATTCTACAGATTCTCTATTGGTTTTGCTTTTCTTTGATGAGTTTGAAAATGACTGCTGATAGGTTTTATTTGATTTTTCCAGGTCGTTGTTCTTGTCTTCCTCAGAATCATCCGCTCAAGGAAGTTGATAACCGAAGGACTGCGAACTCCTGACTTTCTTAATTGCAAGGCTCTTCCATTCTACTGATATGATGAAAAAAGTGCTGAGTCCTAGAAAGCTGTGATGAACATAAACAACGAACGTGTGGCATACATCTAGAACAAGCGAATAATGCTCATCCAATTATTTACGGAACTACTTTGAGTGCACTAGATTTACTTTCCACTAGAGCTGCTCGCTTTTATGTTTATAGTCGTGCTCGTTATCATTTCGTTACTTTTAGCACTATGAGCGGCCTCGTCTGAACTTATTCGATTTTAGTTGTTTGATGAAGAAAGTGGTCCTTGTTGTTCGTAATCGTATTGAGATAGTACTACCGTAAGCCTTTTCTTAGACTACTTATATGCATATTTGAGAACGCCGCTCCTGAGATGCGTCTCACCTATTATTTATTTCATACTAAAAGGACCAAAATAATGAAAGCGGTTTACTTTGAATTATTTGACGTAGTAGCTGATGGCGATGCTTTGCTACACAGTAGCAATTATGTTCCTTGCGGTTTTCGAATTATTATCGTGTCTCTCACCATGCTAGACCTTCGAGCTCTATTTCGTTTGAAATCTATGAGGTATTGCCTGAAGCACATTCGTTGCGTTTTCTGTTCTTATAAGTTCGTACTAAGCCTTGAATGTTGGCAATGGATATAGTATCTCACTGGACAACAGAACTCACCGCCTTCGCCCTCTCACAAAAATGATAAGATTAAAAACACATTACAACTCACCTTTTCGGATGTATTTCTTATGATCTTACTGCAAGGTACTCCAGTTTGAAAGAGCTGCTGTCTTGGTTGGTGTTTTGAACGAGTGATGGAAGACCAAGAGTAACAGACTTTGAGGCGAAGTTTTACCGCGAGGATTCGAATCTGAGAACTTGGCTGCCGAGAATGAGCACGTTGAGAATTGAACTGAGTCATATCATTTTTATCGACGAAGAGAAACGACAGACTATAAGAGTATCATCGTTTGCTGTGCAACAATATAGAAAAAAAAATCTGGCTACAACTCAGATCTGGAATTCAAATTGATGGAGGGAAAGTTTTAATTGAGCTGCCGGCTTATCAGTTTCGTTATGAGCATTGTGCTTGCTCGTCCAAGTTATAACGTACTAGATCGGTAATTTCGCTCGTCCACGTTTCTAGTCGTGATCTCTCGAATTATATTCAACTACAGTGGTTCTTGATCATCTCAACGAGCTTCCCTCAGCCCTTTTTTTTTACCTTTCAATATTGGACTGCTGTTGATCTTCTTTCTACCTAAGTTATCGGAATTGTTCTTCATCATCGTCTTGCTGTTGTAGTACATGAGTATAGTTCTTTTCGATCTGTTCTCTTTGCTGTTCTTTTTGTTCTCCATGTAGTTCTTGATCTTCCTTCCGAATACGAATGATTCAAGTTCCCAGTTTGTCTCCACTGCTGCTAATCACCGCAACAGACACGACCAAAAACTTTCGCAGGAGAGGGAATACATTTTGAACTGCAACGACAAGCCAAAGGTCATGACTTCAATCACCATGACACCCCAGCGCTACACAAATGATGAACCTTAGAGCAGGAACTTCACCGAAAAACTATGACCCTGCTAGTTCTTACTTTCGTAGAAAAAATGAAGCACTATCACTTGGGAGGTATTTGTGTCCCGCTCTCTTGCTGGTGACATGTTTTGTCCGATGGAGTTCCCTTCGCAGAGATGATAGACCTGAGGGGCTTACGTGGGTCCTGCTCAGATGACGTTGATGAAGTGATAAATTCTGCATGTTCTATACCTTAAAAACAAGCAAGAAATTTTAACGAATCCTTCAATGCCTCCGAGTCTTGGAGTCCTTCAATTTCTTGCGACGGAGACTCTGATATGAATTGCCTTATCACGATGGCAAGACCTCAGAAAGAAAACCAATTTTACTGCTGGGCCGCTCGTGATTCGTGTTCGCATTTCCAACGCTTCCCTCAAGCGATTTTTTTTTTACTTTTCAGCTCTTCATAATAACTAATTTGAGTTTGCAGTTGAGGGTATGTAGAATTTCTATTTTTTAGGAGGGTGTTTTTTAAATTCTGGCGTTGTGCAGCTAAATTCTGGGACCGCGTAGAATCAATGCTGAATTTCCTAAAAGATATATCTTCGGTTTATCTAATTAAGTCACTTCTACTAGGTAAACGAGGTTGTAAGGCTTACTGTTAGCAATGTCCACCGACTGAATACCGACCAAACATCTACACCACTAGAATGAACACACTGGAAACCACTACCACACGCATGCAAGTCAGGGAAATTACTCGGGTCACTATTACCAGCCTGCGGGTGAGAAAGATGACACGATTACCACTAGGATACGCATGAAGATGGTGACTACTACTAGGATGATGATGATGATGATGAAACTACTCGGGGAACCTTGGAACCTGGGAACCGTTGGGACCTTGGTGCGGTTTGTCATTCTGGTGGGGATCTTCATACCATGGGAGGAACATACGAAGGACCAGGAACATAGGCGGGAACGACTGAAATCAGAACCAGCAACATAGGGACTCGGGTGGATCCTTATGGTGATTCGTCACAAACTCGATCAGTGTCTTGGTTGATCTTGATCTTGCCTACATTCCCCCTCCCAAAGTAAGGACCACCACACAAAACTACACACACCAAGTGTTACACACGACTCTCGATTACAACTTCGAGAAAGTGACAAAATGCGCTCTGGCTACGGACCTCAACTTTTCGTCGTCTTGCGCACGAAATAGCTGTAGATATTTGACACTACTCAGACCTTTCGTGAGAGGGTCTGCACGGTTCAAGTCCGTTGGACAATAACACAGGTTCTTGACATGGTCGCGAACTGCGTGATACCGAAGATCGATATGCTTCGATCGCTTCGTCGTTACTGTAGACTTACTGAGACCTAGAGCAGACTGACTATCCACGAACACAAGTGGAACACCTCCTGAGCCTTCTGTCTCTAGATACCAATCAAGAAAGCCTTGGGCCGTACACATCTTGATAGTGTCATATACAGCGACATACTCAGCCTCACAAGTGCTATGTGCTCTGACTGTTTGTCGTTTGACGGACCACGCAGCGGGAACTCCGCGAAAGTACAAGATACTACCACTGGTTGACTTCAAGGTTACCGTACAACCAGCAAAGTCAGAATCGCTGAACGCAACTGACTTACCTACCTCTTTACCAGCTTCCGCTGCTACCTTTCTGTATACTTTGTTGAAACCAGTCTCGATCTCGGGGGAGTATTCGAGACCTACGTCTTTTGTACCTTTTAAGTATTGAAGAATGCGCTTTGCTCGCTTCTTCGTGTTCTCAGTGGGGTTAGCCACTTCACGGGCCACGCGTTGTACTGCGAATACTATGTCCACTCTACACAGGGTTGCGATATACATCAAACCTCCGACCAGACTACGCAACGGGAAGTCGCCAGTCATAGGGGTATCGGATTCAGGACTGTACAACACGGGCGAGGACACAGCTCGACACTCGGTCATGTTGAATTTTCGCAATAGACGATCGACTGCTTCACGCATGTGAATCTTGCACCACCGTCGGGTAGAGTTATACTCTAATACTGCTCCCAACATGTCCCAAACTTTAGTGCCGTCGTCTTTTACATCGGGATCGATCACCTTACCGGGGTACTTAGCGAGAATTTTACCCATCTCACTTTTCACAATTTCAACAGACGCACCACTGATTATGTTGTCGTCAACATAAACACTCAATGTGAGGACACTACCTCAGACTTCTTTTCGAAATAGGCCGGGTTCACGGGGACACATCTCCCAACCAAGTTCTTCTAAACACTTTCGATAACAATCGAACCACCTTCGGGGGGCGATTCGAAGTCCATACAGAGACTTCATTAACCTTACCAAGTCACCTTTTGGATTGTCACTCCAATGCTTGGGAAGTCGTACTATGACTTTCTCGTCGCCTAGAGCTGCACTAATGAGCGCATTGCTTATGTCGAAAAATTCAACATAGTGTCCTTTTGCAGCTGCGTCATAGAGAAGCACTCTGTTAGCGGCGTGGGAGATCGTTGGGGAGTAGATCTCACCACACATCGACGCTTTCTGCCGATTACCTAACGCAACAAGTCGGGCTTTATACCTACCACACCTCTTACGAGTATAGATGACCACACTAGGCACGATTTCATCTCCTGGCTGAAGCTCTCCTTCTTCTAAAGGTCGCCAGCACTTCTTCGCCTCGAGTGCTAAACGCTCCTTGTCGTCTGCTTCCAACCATTTGACGGCATCGGGACCTTCGTGGGCCTCGGACCTTGTCACCGTTACTGTGTACAAGTAGGACTCTTCCTCTGTTTCATCAAAGTACTTTTGGCACATCTCTGGCACATCTTTACCAATGTCAGGCAGGTTGCTTTGCATTTCGTCTATAGCGTCTACTGTCTGAGCATAGGCGAAGCTATCTGCTACCAACATGCACGACAAGAGGGCACTTGCTCTACAAAATGCTGCTACAGAAGTCGGCTTGGGGCCAGGCTTCTTCCACCATGGTTTTGCTTTACAACCTTTTGGACGACCGCGCTTACGCTTCGTAACACCAGGGGGGGAATCAGCAGGAGTTTCTTCTTGCTGATCGTTACTACTACTAGCGGGAGAAGGGGAAGACGGATTATTTACTTCGGGGGGTACTGACGCATCCGAATCACCATTCACCGCACCCACCTGGGGAAGATCCACTGGGGGATCGCTATCGACGACATTATCACCTACAGACTGTTCAGGCGCACTCTCGTCACCCTTGTCACCAGGAGCCACACTATCCAGGTGATCAGATCCGGTAGGAGCCACACTAGGATCGTCAGGCACCCGAGGAGCAACACCAAGAACATCTTCAGGGGATATATTTACTTCTTCAAGTTGCTTGTAGTCGGGATACTTTACAAATACTCCTTCCTAGTCGGGTTTTAGGTCGTCGATGTTGGAAATCTATCAAGACAGACTCATCAAATCGAACAGTTCTGCTTTCAATGGCGGCAAACTTCATGCCGAGGGCTGTTCGATTATCCTCCCTCCAGACACCTACCAAGAAACACGAATTATATTACGCGAATACCCTAGAAATATACCGCGCTCGGCTCTGGGGGCCAACTTGCTCGAAGTTGCTACGTGAATCTTTGCAAAACACAAACACCCAAAACGACGGAAGTGCTTCGTAGAAGGCTTCCTGCCGTAACGTTTCTCAAAGACGCTCACTCCGTCCCTTCTAGGTAGTCTTTGATAAACGTGAGGCACGTAGTCTTCTGCACACCAAGACCAGACTCTGTTGTCGACTCCGATGAGGTTTGTACGGATCGCGTTTTGCGAAGTCTGATTCCATCTTTCTACGATGCCATTACGCCATGGGGTGTATACTGCACTATACTCAGCGCGAATTGGTGGGACTTGCTTTGCACAAAACAGACGCCAGCGAGACCTTTCACCCTTGAAAGCAGGCTCGTTGTCACTACGAACGGTTTCCATCTGTTTGCTGTCTCTGATCCACCTTCGGAGACCAAGATGACCCTCATCTTTAGCTTTCAATGCGTAGTTTTCTGGCCAGCCTGAGTGCTGATCTATCATAGACAGACACCAGATTTCACCAGTAACAGCACGGGGGTACTGTCCTGTAAAGTCACAGTCTACTTTCTCATTGAATTTGGTCACCACCGTGTGAGCAGGCCGCTCACCAGCGCCGGAAGCCCTAACTTTTGACATGTTGCACTCGTGACAGTTATCGATTACTAGACCTGGGACGAAAAGATGTCCACATTGCTGATGGACCCTAAGCTTAGCCGCAGTGGAGAGTGAAGCCGAAGCCCCCTCCTGAACCTTAACTGGGCTAGCCGAAGTTGACTCTGTCTTCTTGTAAAAGTCAACGTCTACCACAGGTAGACCTGTTTGGGTTTCGTTGTATACGGGGACACACCAACCAGAAGCCTTATGCAGGATATGCGACTCTGGTTTATCGAGAACTACTTTGTAACCGTCCTCGTTTAGTGCATCAGCACTGACTAACATCCGAGTAAGCTCCGGATGGAAAAGGCCAACCGTGAGCCCCAAGGAATTCTCTTTGAAGATACCTCTCACAGCGGGGCGCGAAAGTGCTCTGTCCGCCACATTTAGCTTGACGCGCTGTGCGGGGTACACACACTTAAAAAGACTTTTATCACCACTCATGTGGTGCGAGGCACCACTGTCACAAACACAGGGGACCACAGTGCTTACTTTCCTTTTCTTGTAAACACCACCAAGAAAACAACTACCATCATCTTCATCATCATTACCATTACCTTCACCGTCATCATTACTCTTACTATCTATCTCACCACTTAAATGCAGACGATAATCTTTATTCTTTGAAAACAGTACAGAGTCTCCTTTGTTTTGTTGTTGTTGTTTTTCTTCTTTGCCATCGTCTTGAATATGCAGGATCGATGTGTGCGTTGCTGTTGCTGTTTCGTTCGTGACAACAGCAGCGCCATCCGCCTTCTTTTCTTCTGAAGTGGATGCCCGGCCACCTTCTTGGGTGCCGCTGAAAACCGAGCACAAACTCGTTACTTTTCTTTGTTCTTGTTCTGGTTGCAAGTTACTTAAGTTACTCCTTTTACGGTCTGAATGCAAATTACTTACTTTACTTTCTTGCTGCAAATACTTACTTACGGTCTTTTGTTGTTCTTTGGATGCAGGATAATACTCATTCAAATGCAAGCTAAAACGGACTCTCTTCTTCAGAGCAACTGTTTCTTCACGATGCTCTGTGTCTTCTTCTTCTTCCTCCTCTTTGCTTTGGTCTTCTCCTCTTTGACCTTCTTGTTCAGCACTGCCTAAAGCAGCATCTTTACCAAGATTTTCATCTTGTTCTACCAAGAAAGAAGTTGCTCACTTCTTTCCTCCCGCCTGGGGACATGCTGCGCGCGTGTGCCCCTTCTTGCCACATAAGTGACAAGTTCGCTGTGCTGGTTCTACCCATCCTCCGGTGGATGTGTTGTTGTCTTTGCCGTGCTTTCCTTTACCTTTGCCTTTGCCTTTCTTCTTTTCAAAGGGCTTACGTACCTGCCAAGGGTTACCACCGGAAAGCAAAGCTTTCGCGTTTTGCTTCTGCATCTGAGTATTGATAGCACCACATACCAAACTTTTCAACTCAGCCCTTGACACAAAAGCGCCACCAGCTTCTTCTTGTTGGACCTTCTTGCTGTTGGTCGTTGTACCGGCGGACGACATCTTTGCGCGACTGTCGTCTTCGCCCTGCAACCGGAAATGCTCTTCATACTCACGAGCATAGGTCCTTAGTTCTTCTGTTCCTTTCGATCCACCAATTACATGAGGGATCATTTGAGAGGACAGAGGATCTCCTAGGCGGTAGAAGATCCCGAAACGTAGAAGTTCTTGAACATCTACTTTACCACCGAGCTCATCACGCAAGATGGCCTCCTTCCTGTCGATGAATGCATCGACTGTTTCTTCCGGTTGCTTCGCCGAGTCTACCAAAGACTCAATGCTGCTCATGCGTGCGTGTTCTGTTGCCTCGGTGCAACGCTTATGGAGTTTCTTCAACTTTGCCATAAACGTGCGGCCTTCACCTGGGTTAGTGGTCGTAACAGCTTGCAGCTGTTTACCTTTGACGGCACCTGGAAGACCCATTGCGAGTCTGCGTAAGGTGTTGCTTTCGTTTAAGCTCCACTCTACTTCTGTACCGGCCAGATCCTGCTGGATCTTGGTCGAAAGGGTGTCCGGACCGTGGGCGTCCGCCACCGTTAACACATGCTCCAACCAAGCATGCCATTCTTCCTTCTGCGTAATCTCGGGCAGAACAATTGGCCTAGGGGGCGCCATTGTTTCGGTACTTGGTGGGGCTGGCGGCTCTCCTCCACCTGTTTCGTCTCCTGCCATTCTTCAGACTGTTGAACGAATGCGAAAATTTTAGCTGCCTAGTACTGCTATCCTACTACTGCAAACATACAAAGGCGAAAAGGATGGTAATAGAATGTTAGCAATGTCCACCGACTGAATACCGACCAAACATTTACACCACTAGAATGAACACACAGGAAACCACTACCACACGCATGAAAGTCAGGGAAATTACTCGGGTCACTATTACCAGCCTGCGGGTGAGAAAGATGACACGGTTACCACTAGGATACGCATGAAGATGGTGACTACTACTAGGATGATGATGATGATGATGAAACTACTCGGGGAACCTTGGAACCTGGGAACCGTTGGGACCTTGGTGCGGTTTGTCATTCTGGTGGGGATCTTCATACCATGGGAGGAACATACGAAGGACCAGGAACATAGGCGGGAACGACTGAAATCAGAACCAGCAACATAGGGATTCGGGTGGATCCTTATGGTGATCCGTCACAAACTGGATCAATGCCTTGGTTGATTTTGATCTTGCCTACACTTACAAAAATCCTAATCCAGCAAAAAAAGTACTTAATATAATATATATAAAGGCTTGAAAACACCTCTCGTTCTACCCCTTGTGATCGTGTCTATTCATGCCTAACTCTCCTCCTTCATAAAATAAGTATCGCGGAGCCGATCAAGACTTCGGTTGTAGGCGATGGGTATATGCTGTCGCTCACGCAAAGTGGACGTGTGATGGCATGGGGCGCATCCAGAGCAGGATGTCTCGGTCTAGGAGCGGACAAAACGATCTCATCCAGACCAGAACAGGTTCTTTTCATTGTGTATAAGAACTTGCTCGTTGAAAGAACAGGAACATTATGTAGTTGTATTCATATTGACCATCTACAACTAGTAGACCATCATCCTCTCGGCTCGTTGTGAAGGATCCATAACCTGTAACCTAACCTAGTACAACTACTGATACCTCTACTTGCATCAACTACTTCACACGCAACAAAAAAGAAAGGTGACGATCATGCCTTCTCAACACGAACACCAGATAGAGTTTCCGGCGCCTCCCGGCGCTTCAGAAGATAGCGGGCCTGTGAGAGTTAAGTGCTGGTCAGTACCAAGCGAAATGACTCAGTCTTATTTCAAACCCTACAGTTCTCCTTCTCTCTTTATTTTCAGCCATTTCTAAATCATCATTCAAATCCTACAGTTGTAGTTCTCCTTCTCTCTTTATTTTCAGCCATTTCTAAAACATCAACCGTGATTGTTGAGCTAGTGCGTGGAGAACAGCATATTCTCGCACGCTGCGACAGAGGTCGCGTTTATGCGTGGGGAACGAACGCGACTGGGCAATTGGGAGTAGGCGCGCCATCCGGAAACGATATTCACTCGGCACCTGTGCTGGTACTAATGTTCAAACGGAGGCAACAAGAGCCTATCTTCCTCCTGATGTAAATGTAATTATTATGTACTTAGATCGGAGACACACTCACTGTCTTATTATTATGTACTTCTAAACAATTCATCATCCTTCTTATTATGTACTTAGTTGCAAGTACCTACACCATTAAGGGTCACAAGAGCTTCAGATGCTGATGTAATGTACTTAGTCGCTAACAGAATACTCGGAGTCGTTGTAGATTAGGCAGGTGAAGATAAAGCAAAAAAGTACAGGGTGAGAACGACCAGTACAGCTACAGGGTTAGAACCCCGTTCAGTTATGGTTGTTTTCTTCTTCGAGATCGAGGAGCTAGAAGACCTAGGATCCAGAGAAAAGACAACAATTCTGTAGTAAGCATGCAAACACTAACTAAGTTACTATTCTTATAAGATGTCGCTTCCTAACCTTAGCCTTGATGATCTCAGCCACTTATCACAAGGTAACCTTCCCTCGTGACGAAGGTAGCACCGCTTTGATGCCGCAGATCATTCAAGTCGTGGCGACAGGCAATAGTAGCTTTGCTTTGTCCCGATCAGGCGAAGTCTTTTCTTATGGAGTAACAGTAAACATCAAGTCAGTGATGAACGCATGTTGAGCATCTTTCGAGATACACTACACTACGAAGACAAGTAGATGAACAACTACATCACTTTCTACTAGCCTTACCAATGTTATCGACTATGCTGAGCTTGAACATGAGCATCTTCGGCCTTTTATATTGCAGTCTGTTATCATAAGCATATCTCTAATCCCAATGGGGGGCGAACAAGAACTTTCTACTCGGCCTCGAGGGCGTCAAAGCGTCCTTTGTGGGGAAGCCGACGAAGAATACGGCACTAAACCTGGCGATAGACGAACTAGGACAAGAAACCCCTGTTTTTGTTACGAAACTTCAGGTACTTTGAAAATTATTTCAGTGCCTGTCATATTCTAATTAGGTCCTTCACCGACACCGAGTGATCTGATACTGATCTAGCCCAGCCATTTCCTGCTTGTACTTCGTCGTAAAGAACGCATGATCCTAGTATTACTACTGACAACAATTTCTTCTAGTACAACTCCACCTCAAAAGTCGAAAACGCTCCACCTCTACCTCACAGATATGCGACTTAAATCTCATTTGTGCTATTGTGAACCCTGATCGTGATGCAGTGGAAGAAGTGGCAGCCAATGCCCTTGGCGGCGGCGCTGGAGGGAGTTTAGCTTCTGAACCCGGTGCAGGACCCGGAGGGGAACAGAGCGAACTCTTTGACGGGATATTGATTTAAGCCGAGGGCAAGAGGAAAAATTGTGTTAATAATCAGGAGAGCGCATAGATCTTACGCTTACAAGTAGATACTCTTCGTTCGTACGTGAGTCGCCTTCATCCCTTCTAAGGATTGCGTAGATATTCTTTTTCCTACGTGAGTCGCCTTCATCCCAGCCCTTCTAAGGATTGCTGCGTGAGACAATTCGAAAGGCAAGAATTTGGACTGACAAGCTAAACAAGGGCTACCCCTTCGTGACCAGTACGAAGGATGAGCAGCAGGTCATCATGTCTGGAGTGGATGAAACTGGGTATGGCATTCGGAAATACTAAGCCTAAGCGTAAGCCTAGTCCTTAATACAGGTCATATTCTACAGATCTTAACAAAGCCGTAGCTCGCTCTGCTAGTAGAACTAAGTAGAAGTTTTCTGTTTTTTTCCCATGCATAGCCGCGCCGGCCATGTTTATTCATAGACCAAATCTTAGTCCTGCCCACGACCTCCTCTCAAATTCTGGGATTCGACATCCGGGATAATTAAGGCAGGTATGGACCTGCTCTCTTCAGTCACCGGTGCTCGCAATCCAGGCACAAGGGACATGGCCGAAGTAGGTGCCGGCGTTTTTCCGGAAGAAGGCGCTACGGACGTAGTATCAGACGCGCAGATTGATGAGGGCCAGAACTACATCAATTCCATAGTCGCGCAGTTGACACAGGAGAGAGCTAGTATCGGAAAGCAGTTTCCATCCGCAGGGAATATAGCGTTTCTGCTCGACGTTTTTGTCGTATGGCCTCCTCTGTGCTGGAACCTTTTTTCAAATTTCGATTACCACGCATCTAAGTACTTCCTAAATTCGATGAGGAACAACAAGTAGAAGTTAGATTTAGAAGTGAGTGTTAAAAACTTTTTGTAGAAGTACTAAACACGTCTTCTTCTAGTCCCTCCCCCCCTTGTGAAAGTATCCAATGCTAAGGACCAGCACCCGCAACTTCTCTCCTACAAGAAACGTCTTCTTCTAGTCCCTCACCCCCTTGTGAAAGTATCCAATGCTAAGGACCAGCACCCGCAACTTCTCTCCTACAAGAACCAACTCCACTTTTCATCTCCCGACTCACTGGTCGCGAAAACCGATAAGCTGGAGAGGATAAGACGGACGCGTGCAGTGCTCAGAGCGAAACGCCTGGGCACTAAGCTTGGACTAGAAGTTGGAAATTTTCGAGCGGACTCGTTTGAGAGTATCAGGCGATTGCAAGCACATAACCTGAAACTGCAGGATTTATGCGCGGTTCTTGGAGTAACCTCCTAACGAGTAGTTCCCTCCCATTCTCCCACTCCTAACTACCACTTCTAACCCCAGTAGTCACTTCCGCAGAGCAGATCAACGTACGAGATCCCTTGTCCAGAGAACTGCAGGTTGCAATAGCCGAAGCCGCAAATGCAAGGATACAGACGAACCTGACGAAAATGGAGCTCATTAAGCGGCTAGAAGGCACGGACGCTGGCAGCATCGTAAAACCGGCAATACAAATCCTACAGGAAAGATGGCAAGCGGTGCAAGAATGGTCGTTGAGTACCATGTTCAAAAAAGAGGGAAAAACGGTTTTCAGGTATTGTTTGTGTGTAATCATCTCGCTGTGGTTTTGCAAATGTCACATTCAAACACATACAGACACGACTTCTGCAGATACACCTGCCACCTGCCTCAATCTCAATGTCTTATTTCCACTTGTTCTGTAATATTTGATCTCATTTCTCCACAGCAATCGCAAGCTATCGCCAGATCAGTGCTTTGATCGGCTAGTTGCTATGTCAGAGCAGGGGCTTGATCGCATAGCAGAACAGTTCGATCGAGATGCCGTTCTCACACGTGATTTGGTTCTTTTATGGTCTAGCTCTAGGTTCTTGGTAAACATTTAGATTGAAGAAATAGAGTTAGAGAATAGAGTTAGAGACTAAGGTGGAGGAATTGGTAGGTTAGCTGAGGACTTTGATGTCTTAGAAGAGGATGAACAAAAACACTTGTCTGGACATGTGTGCTCTTCATTCTTTCCGGGCATCGTCTACGAGCTCCTACTCGACAACGTTCGCATGCGGAAGCTTTGTAACCTGTATCAGTTACGAGTACTGCTCATACATAGAGTTAAGGCATACCATGTCATCTCATTTTATTTCATCATTTCGACGGCTCAACATTTTCGTGCTCATTTTTCCCTGAAATTATATATACCTGAGTTGAAATGAGCTGAGATGAAATGAGCTGTCCTGTCAAGTACTAAAACAGGAAAAAACCTCTTCCAAGATCCGGAAGCGACCTTGCCGAAAGAAGAAGTAATATTTGGAGGAGCCGAAGTTCCTGTTGCCTGGAGAGGAGACCAGGGAGAGACGAAGAGTATACTAGGCGGCGTGAGTGGGGGAGGGGGCATGTTTGGTGGCATGTTTGGAGGGGGAGGGTAGATTTGGATGGATTCGTAGGAAGGAGCCTGAGGTTTTTTCATATTCAGAGAATAGATTCAAAATCAAGATAATCACTGGATAAGGTAAAGGTTAATAGGGAAAATTAATATTACGGAAGCTAAAGGAAAAGGACTAGGACATTCACTACGAACTGCTCATCTTTCGTCACGGCTACTCCTGATTCCTTTTCCTCTCACGATGTTGCACAGCGATGGAAAGAAGCTGATCCGCCGTGCGGCAGTCTGCACTGCATTCTGTGCGAGGTTAATTGTGGTGCGTTGTATTGGTGAGAAGTCGTGGTGAATGAAGATTTCTCTTATTCTTCAACATCCACTTGTACATGCACATGCTTCGTGCCATTTACAGTCAATATCCCTGTGAAGAAGAAGATGTTGTACTTCTGGAAACAGTAAAGTTTCCAAGCAGGATTTGCTTTCTATCGAAAACAAACCGGAGAACGCTCTTAGTCGTCTAAGAACGTAACCCGTCCTCGTCTCTTGTTTTTAGAGTCACCACTACAGTACACCCGAAGAATTACAATAAATGCTTGCCTCGTCCTCCGCTCTACGTTCTGCCGCTGGCAAGCGGGTTGCTGTGGTGCTTGCTGGGTGTGGCGTCTATGATGGTAGCGAAATCCATGAGGCTGTTTTCACGCTGAACCAGCTGTCGAAGAGGAAAGCGAATTACCAATGTTTTGCACCAAACATACCACAAATGCACGTGATAGACCATACAAAGGGAGAACCGATGGAAGGACAGACTAGGAATGTGTTTTAAGGCCGAGGATGCGGATACAACTAGCGATAGAACTTGATATCGAAGCATATTAGAGGTAGAGACCGACGTTGACGTAGACGTAGGAGTAGAGGTACTCAGAGAAAATTTGGAGACCGCAGTAGTACTAGGTCTGTAGCGGCAAAAAATGCTCGTCTTCTATGATGTCCTTCTACTTCCTCCCCCTCTAACCTCCAGTAGAATCAGCACGAATCGCAAGGGGTCAGATCCAAGATCTCGAAAAATTGAACCCCTCAGATTTTGACGCTGTCATTTTTCCGGGAGGTTTCGGTGCAGCAAAGAACCTATGCGACTTGGCTGTGAAGGTACAGGAATTTGTATTGTTGGAGATGATCTTCAATCCTCTTCCAGTCAAGGATTTCCAATCTTCGAAAAAAGCAACTACCACATCAAACACGAATTCCTTGTTTTGACCAATGTCGTCTTCCTAAAACTAAAACCAACTTACTACGACCACACGGGCTACCACATCAAACAGGGTCCCGATGTCACAGTCCAGCCTGGAGTCGAAAAAGTGATAAAGGAATTTCATAGCCTGGGGAAGCCGCAAGGCTTCTGTTGTATCGCACCAGGGATCGCAGCGAAAGTTCTCGGACAGTTAAGACTCGACAGTATTGTTGGTATCTACAAGAACAAGTATTTCATTTTCTAATGGTCATGATAATGAATGTCGAGGAGGACGAGGGTTCTAAAAAAGCCTCGCTTTGTTTCTAACCCACGACCACAAAGTCGAAGTTACGTTAGGTGGCGAGACGGAGGGCGACCAATGGCCGTACGCTGGTACTGTTGGCGCAGTGAAGGCTGTGTGCGCGACACATGTCGAAAAGGCACTCAGTGAGGCGCATATTGACGCGAAAAATAAGTTAAGCCAGTCGCACTATATGATTTTTTAGCTTCAACACGTATTGGATCCTGGGGAGTTCCTTTATGTTTGGCATCAGTTACGAAAAATCATCGCGGACACCTGCTCTAAAAAAAGTGGTAACATCCGCAGCCTATATGAACGGAACAGCACCCATTCACGAAATTGAGGAATCGGTAGTTGTTATGGTGGATAAAACCGTCGACATGATGTAGTAGTGGTCATAGCGGAAATAAAAGAGGTGTGGATCATATGATTTAGCAGTGAAGATCCTTGTGTGTGTCCACAAGAGCATGATTTCGCAAGCTGATGTAGGAGGCGGCAGCGAGGCTTTTCATTTTGGCGGAGAGTCCCACTTCCTCTCCCACATGGATGAAGGGAGCGATAACATACGATGGCGGATAATAAGAATAACTCCTACATGGATATTAAAATATAGATGATAGATTTGCAGCACATGGATAAAGCGAAAAAATGTATCATAGTTTCATCTGTACAGCTCACACAGCCACCGTAGCTGTCGCTCAAAGAGCATGATCTTGTTCTTGAGGATTCTTAACAACCTTGTCCTCTGATTGAATGTTTGGTGTGAAGAACAAAAGAAAACCTCTCTGTTGCAGTCAGTCTATGCATTCTGTTTTTGGAGAGAGTTTGAGAGAATCTCCACGAGTGTGCACAAATGATCTTCTGTCTTACACGAATCTTCTGTCCACACCCGCTCTGCTGAGATTGCGCTGCTGCGGAGACCAGCACTGTACTGAGATTACTCTGCGGAGATTACAATTACCGCGTAGACATTTGATCATTTGAGTGCACCCGTGTATTGTTTGAGTAAATGACATGTTAACCTCCTGGCGTCTGGCCTTGAATTGTTATCAGTATTAGTCTCTACGGGCACTACGGACAGTGTCATCAGAGGCACATACATGACATGATCTGAGACTTGAGCCACATCAATTTCCATTCTTCCCCAGGCCAATGGTATTTTCAGCTCTCCTAGTTTGCAATTCATTAGAAGGGACATTTACTTAATATTCGTTCACTTATAATTTGCTCACTCACTCATTCGCGCACACATACACTGAGGACTGACTCAATATTATTGTCAACGTCAAGTAGGTAGCAGCTCGTCTTTCCAAAATGACCACGCCCACCAATTTTTTCCGATTTTTGTTCCCCCATTTATTGATATGGGCCTCTGCCTTTCAGCTGTATGTTGCAGATGCGAGACAGAGTTTAGGATCAGCGCCCGCTGCTGGTCCTGCGGAAGCAAGAACTGCAGCTCTGAAGGAGACGATCGCATACGCGCTCGTGGACCTAGAAATCGCTGCTGATCCTGCTTTGAGATCATCGGCGCTGGATAACTTTGCGACACGAGAAGAGCGATATATATTTGGCATGAGTTCACTGAATATGCGGGTCGATAATCTTACACCAGAAGCGACGAGCGCTAAAATTGAACAATTCAGAAAGCGTCGCGCCGAGGAAGAGTATGATTGGAAAGAGTTTACACTGCAACAGATGACACGCAAGTTTTGGACAGGGCTTTTACAAAGCATCGAAGAGTCTCCCTACCCCTTCCCCGAAGCGCTAAAGGCGTTACATGCATTGAAAGAATATGCTACTACTTGCTCCGAGGCAGAGTTTACGGAGCTAGAATTACAAAGCGTACAGAACTTGGAAGACGCTCGAAAGAAGCGCGGTTCGGAGCTGGATCAACTGCTGGAGAGTGGTCGAATGACAGGGACAAGGACAAGAACCACACGTGGCCACGGCTGACGCGCTATCCTCGGCTTCTTCCGCTTCTACTCCTACCGCGGGGGCTGCATCTTTGGGCCCTGGATTTTCGAATTTGAGCTGCGGATCCGCCTCGTCTTGGTGGTGAGGGTGATGGTGGAAGGTTAGAAGTGTTCTCAACTGGGAATTTTGTTCTTGTGTGAAGTGGGAGTGTGGACGAGAGGGATAGCGACAAGGAATGAGAGAAGTGGGAGTGTGGACGAGAGGGATAGCGACAAGGAATGAGAGAAGTGGGAGTGTGGACGAGAGGGATAGCGACAAGGAATGAGAGAAGTAGCAAGGGGATCATCGGTAATATTGCCCGAAGAGTGTGCGAGTTGGCACTAGAAACACGACCGGGCGGACGACCTGGATCCGGTATTTCAGCTGCGGATCCGCCTCGTCTTGGTGGTGAGGGTGATGAACCTCGCAACGGGAATCTCGTACCGGTGATGAGCAGGAGGACCTTGCATGCGGCGAATCGTCCGACAGAGCAGACGAGTGCGTGTTGTAGTTTTCTATCTCAGCAGAGCTCCTGCAGCGACTGCTCGTCGTAAAATTAGGTTGTTAGTTACCCTTTTCTCTCTTATATCTTCCTCTGGTCTGTCTTTTTTCTAGTTAGGTCGGCTCCACCACAATTTATTACGAGATAATGGCTTTGTGGTGGTGATGTAGCAAAAGCAAATGAAGAAAATAGGATATGTTGGAATTGTATTTTTGGAGGCTTTGATTCGTTCTGATTGATTCCCTTTTTTGATTGATTACATACTGCCTGATGTACTTCCAACGCAACACCCGCGCTCAGACATGCGCTGGCTCCTGAGCACTAGCTTTAGAACTCCTTGCCTGAGTGAACAAGACCACGAAGAAATTTCCGAAAAAACACTCCACGAAAAACAGCCACTGTGGCCTCCTCGTCCGCGCAGGATGCCACTTAATAGTTGCATAGCACGAAGCACCTCGCATGAAGTACTTATGAAATGAATTATCTGAAACTGCACACGACACGATAAGAACTCCCCCCTACGCCGGTAACTACGCGGAAAGTACGCAGGTAGGGTTTGACTTATCGGAACTCGCTCGCGATACAAAAAAAAAAAGAAACTCGCAGTAATTGAAATGAAGGCAACATAATAAGCTACAGAGAAGTGTACTCGAGATTGAGTTTGCGAGCAGTTGAAAGATTTGTAGTAACGCTAAAAACTACCAAATATATTTATAAGTGACTCCGAATTCTCGATCAAGTAAATCGATGTAGCAGCTCTTGATGTTCATACTTAGTGGAGTTCTAAAAATGTCTATAACGTATCTATTAGTATAGACGTGTAATGTCGTTGCTCATCTAATCTCGCAAAGAGTAACATCGATTTTAATCATAGACGTGGATTCTCGTACATAAAACATATTAATGTATTGCTGTACCCTCAGAAATTGCCTTATACCTTAGTCTCAAGCAAGTGTCCTTAACATGAGAAGATCTTGAGGGCAACGATCTTGAGGACAGCAAGCAGCTTAGAATCATAACAAATTCTACTATCACTCTTACTCTGGATAAGGTCGCTACTTGATTTTCTCGCGCTGCTCTTGTTATAGCGAGTTTGTACAACCACTCCCAGCCAGGACCCTTTTTCATCCTGATACTACACAGGTGGGGAGAGGGTCCATAGCTTCTGTCGCTAAGATAACTGAGCTCAGTCATAACAGGGGCACGTCACACATAACAATCAGTGGAATGGAACTCAGTGAATATCCTACCCTAGTAGTTGGAATCCGTTCAACTCGTGATAGCGTAGTTCAACTGATGTTAGCGCATTCTGCTCACTCGGTGTCGTTGGTTTATGTAGTGTAGGTGATGTAAAACCTCATCTAGGGTTAGATTGTCAGCTTACTCATTCGCAATCCTAGCACTAGGACTAATGCTGCAGGCTTGGCTAGTAGAGTCGGGGTCGGCTAGTAGATTTGTGTCGAACTCAATGAGTATCCTCTAGACCCTCTAGACCAGTCGTGTCTCGTAATGTGAAGTCTAAAGAACGTGATCGCGTGCCAACGTCTAAAGAAAAGTATTGCAGCCCAGTCGTGGAAGGCGGATCAATTTGTGCCCTATCCTATTCCAACTTTTTTTAGGATTAGACTAAGATGACTGAGGCATCATCGCTCTGGTCCTCCCGCTGTGAGAAGCATGATCTTGGCATAAGTGGTAGCATAGATCTGTGTCTACTAGCCGACCCCGACTCTGGGTGTCGGATGTCGGAAAAATTAGGTGTGTAAAAAAGAATGCGAATTCGCCATGCTAAGCTAAGCATAGAAAGTGAAAAGTAAAGTGTGATAGTAAGTAGAAGTAATAGCACGAGAAAATCGTAGTTCTTCTAGCTACTCCTATATGATAAGTGAACAGGTCAACGCCTAAACCACTAAGCCAAAAGATCATCTTTTCTCATGGAGACGATCAATGTCTTCACAACAGCTTTTTTTGAGAAACATTTTTGAATTGAATAGATGAAGCAAGTGCGAAAAAGTATGGATCGATTCCTTAATTCGTCATCTGTTGTCGAACCCGATTTTGAAGCTGTCTGCGACATCTATTCCGAGCAGGAACCTTGTTGAATCTACGATAGCAGAAACTACGAGAACCTTGTTGACTATGCGTCGTCTCTACGACACTTCTAGGGATGAGAAGATTAAGAACTACATGGAAGATCTTTTCGAATTGCGAGGAGGTCCTTATTTCACATACTTGTTTTATCGTCTCCTGGCTGGTGATCATACTTGCATGTGTGATATGTCCGTTGAGGCATATGCTATGTGAGTTGTCACCTCAGCCAGCATTAGTCTGAGATTGATTATGAACAATATCTTCCCACTAATCTGACCTCAAGAACATGATAATCATATCAGCACTAAGATCATCGTAAGCTATTTTTTTATGTCAACCGAACGTGAAATCTGATTCAGTGTCTTTTGACTAAGAGTCATGTGAAGTAGATGTCACCGGGAGATGGAGGAGCAGAGGAATAGCTTTCATCATGATGATGTATCTTTAGTCGTACTTATGTTGAAGAAGCATGCAGTCAGACATTGCAGCAAAAAGGGAGAGTTTTTAGCGTTGATCTCAAGAAGCTTTCTCAATACCTGGCACCCGGATATTTCCTTCAGGATCAGGAAAAAAATGGATCATAAATATGACCATCATTACGTTTAGACTACAGCCATCTGTTATTTTATGGGTGGTCTGAAGCTGAATATTGTTTCCGCGGAGGCCCTATGGATGAAGAATGAAGAACAAAGAAATGTAGAAGCAAAAGTCGTGACGTCGCGTATCAAGTAGTTGGTTCATTCCACTCGTGTTCACCAGGGAGAAGAACGTTGTTGTAGAAGTTTTACTTCTGAGGCCGTCTCGGAATCGAATGTCTACGACTTCTACTACCTAGCCTATTGCATCTAAGAGCAGGAAAGTGATGAAGATGCTGGCGGTCCTCATCGTAAGGGCATGAAGATGATGGTGATTCTTGCAGCACTTTGGCGATGAAGATCACCAACACGAAGGTGGTGCGAGTGATGTGGCCCCTATGATGGTGAAACATGAAGAGAAAGCTCCATCAAACATTTCTTTGATATTTGCGACCATGCAAAACATGCGAAAGCTTCACCACTTGCGCAACTGATTGGAATTCTATAAAACGCCTAAGCATCAGAACACTCTAGAAACAGCGCTGCTTGATTTCTGACCCTTTGCGTTTGCTCTGGAGTAGATTAGCATGAAACAAGAGACAAGTTCAATGGATTCTCTTTGCTGCTGAAAACATTACTTAAATTTATTGAAATTGAAAACCGCGAACATCAAATTATAAATGAAGCATCGCAGTCTAGAGCAGTTTTTTCAACAAGAGCACCGACCATAAAAATGTCTGTTACAGCCCCAGAACCGTCACCGTCAGCACCAGGGCGAAACCCGGCAGACACGTATACTGTCTCCCTTTTTTCCCTGAGTGGTGACCGCATGTCTCTCGAATATGCATCTTATGAAGCAGTTTCTGATCTGACCGCACGGGAGCTCATTTTAGACGCCAAAAAACAAGCAGATGCGGAAGTGGATGGAGTGGAGAACTTCGAGGGAACGAAAAATCTTCTGCAAACGGTGAAGGCGTGGCGAATACGCATATTAAAAAACGACGGTGATCATCAGTTTTTCGAGCCCGATGAGAATATCGGCTTGCAGAGCGACGTGAAAACAGTTGATTTTCAAATCCTGGCGTGCGCGGAATTCGTCGGAGCGCCATCTTCGCGAAAAGTGCGTGACATGGTGAACCAAATGCTTGGTTTCATGCCGACGGGGTCCGTGGAGCATATTAAGACGCAGAATCTTCTAATCGATATTGACAACATTCCAAACGACGAGAAGTGGGCCCACATTCAACTGGTGAGGGAAAACGGGTTCGTACTTTACCTGCTCCCTCAATCCGCAAGGAGTGACAAAGATACTGTTTTGGAGGCAGTCCAGTCTGAGGGGCAGTCTCTGGAATACGTAAGTCACGACCTTCGCGCAGATAAAGACGTTGTGGAAGAGGCTGTGACATCCGATGGTGAGGCGCTCAAATTCGCGAGCGAGCCCCTGCGTGAGGACAGGCGCATCGTGAGTTTAGCTGTTCAGTCCGACTGGAGGGCGCTCGAGCATGCATCGGGTGCACTTCGTGCAGACAGAGACGTCGTAAGGACAGCAGTTCGGGTTGATGGCGCAGCTTTCAAATTTGCGAGTTCTGGCTTGCGGGCTTCCGAGGAAATCGCCCTGGCAGCCATAGAAAGCCCGTGTAGCGTCCCCGAAGAACACCCTGAGAGCAGGAATGTCCAAAGCAAAATCATCGAACAAAGAACGTCTGTTTGTCACGTCACAGCCCAAGAGGTCGACACGGTCCTACGGTACGGAAGCGAGAGTCTATGCGCAAACAGCAGAGTCGTCCTGGCCGCCGTCGCGCAAAATGGACTCGCTCTCAAATACGCGAGCGCGATGCTGCAGAACGATGAGCGCATAGTACTTGCTAGTGTTGCTGAATATGGCGGATCACTGATGTTTGCCAGCTCGAGACTTCGAGGCCTGAAAAACGTAGTCCTGGCTGCGGTCTCTCAAAGCGGATTGGCGTTGCAGTACGCGTCTGATGACTTGAAGGCTGACAAAGACGTAGTGTTAGCAGCCATGGCAGAAAAGCGAACTGGTGGGTCTGTCGTGAAGCACATCAGCACGAAGTTGCTGGATTCCGACCAAGACGTAGCGACTCAGGTTCTGCAACTGCAGCCCCACGCCTTTTCTGACCTTCCCCCGGCGGCGAAGAACCTCTACAATTCAGAGCTTGCTTGGAAATTGATCGAGCGCGACACTTCTCTGTTGGAAAACAAGCGAAACTTTCCCGATAAGTTACTTGAGAACTCCGAGTTTTTGATAGGGGCACTTAAACGCGCAGATCAGAATGTCCTTGCAAAGTTTACATCTACTAGAGCTATCGACGGCTGCCATGTCTGGTGGCCTGATGCGCCTCTGGGGTTTTCGAAAAGTAAAGTCGCAGTGGCAGCACTAGAAATCCTTAACGACAATTTGGTCGCAAGGTTCTTCCTCGAGCGCGGCTTTTGTAGATGGCACAGAAGTTCGAGGTGGCAAAAGCGATTTCTTTGCGAATGCGATGACGTAACACGTGCTGCTATCAAGAGGGATGGAAGCTTTCTCCGCTATGGATCCAACTTGCTTCTATCAGACAGAGATGTTGTGCTGGAAGCTCTCTGTACGAAATCCCCCAGCGACGGCACGGACTTAGCTTGGAGCTCCTACTTGGACCGTGACAGAGCGTGGGAACGCGTGGGCACCGAGCTGAAGCAAGATAGAGACCTTGTTCTCAAGGTAGTTGAGCGATGTGGTAAGCGACTCGAGGAAGCGAGTGAGACCCTGAGAGACGATGAAGGAATCGTGCTGGCGGCGGTCGGTAGGCCGGACCTGAAATTTTGCGATGGCTTTTCCGATCCGGAACAACACTGTGCACTGAGGTGGGCGAGTCAGCGACTCCGTGCGGAAAAAAAGGTGGTCTTGGAAGCCGTGACGTATAACAGTTACAGTCTGAAATTCGCGTCGCCCGATCTTCGGAACGACAGGGAAGTGGTTATGGCAGCAGTATCCCAGAATGGAAACGCCTTCCAATTCGCCAGTGAAGATTTGCGGTCTGACAAGGACATCGCCATGAACGCTGTTGCGACGGGCGCAGAAGCTTTGAAGTACGCTTCTCCTGAGCTCACTTCGGATCGCGAGCTTGTGGCAGCAGCCTTAGCACTTGACGGACGTGCGCTTAGGTATGCATCAGCGTCACTCAAAGATGACAAAGACCTCGTTTTGGCTGCAGTGAAAAGCGGGCGCTATAAGAAGGAAACAGATAGTACTAGGAGCGTGTCCCCCTTCCAATTTGCTAGCCCTGGTCTCCAGCGGGACAAAGAATTTATAATGACCGCGGTAACTGCAACTGCTGACCTTCACGGCGTACTGACGCATACGCACCACACACTTCTGAGAGACAAGGCTTTTATCATACACGTATTGGAGAATCTGGCACGAGCGCACCCACCGGAGGCGCGTCCGATTGCTGCCGCCGCCGCCATCAATGCTGAATGGTTTGCAGAAAACTTAGGTGATCACTCCGAACATCAAGATCTTCGTGCACGTGCTCGAATTTTATGGGACTTGGAAATAGCCACACAAAATATTGATGATTTGCCGGACTGGAGGGGCGATGAAGCCTGCGTCCTGGCAGCCTCGTTGTTCAGCGGTGGATCGGCGATGAAGTTTGCTCGTGAAGATCTTAAATCCGACAAGGATTTCATTTTAAGCCTGGCAAAAGAGCTCGGTGTGCAAATGTTACAATACGCGTCGACTTCACTTCTGTCGGATAGCGAGTTCTTGAAAAAAGTTTCCCTTGAAACGGGGGAGGAGACCTCCGAGTACGCACACGACCGCCGTGAGGCAAAACGAAGAAGGCTACACAGAGAGCAGCTTGATGATTTATTTTAAACTAATTCTGATTAATCAATTGTCATGAAAATTTAGTTTTTGGAGATATTTCATTACTAAATAATACTCGTAAAGTTAAAGACGTTGCGGTCCCGCTCCGCAAAGCTTGCCGTGTGTTATATCAAGGAGGGCGCATGCAACATGACAGACATTAATTATGTTTTCTCAGTCGATTCTCGGTTTTGTGCCGATCTCGCGTCTGGCTTTTGATGACTTGAAAACAGCGATACTTCCTTGTGTCGTTGTATTGCGACAGCAACATCGACAACGACATCGGTTGGTTGGGCTCTTGTAGATTGGCTTCGGTTCTTGTGCTCGTGCTCGTCAAGAAGACCTACTGTACTTCTGGAAGATTCCATCGTAGGTACTAGACTTCTGGAATCATTTATCAAAAGATTGTTGTCGTGAAGCAGCAAGCAGGCATTCAAAAGTTCTTGGAATTCCCCTACAAGTACAACCTCAACCCCTCCATAATTTCATTTTCTCCCTAAGGACCACCCGCTCCTAAGTAGGTACACTATTCAATAAATATTCCATTTTTCAATCAATCAACTTCGAGTGAAGCATCAAGCAGGCAATCAAGAATCTCATAGACACACTAAATCAGCAGCAAGAACAATCGTGAGCAAAACGAAAAGAATGCAGCTTCAAGCCGCTTTTGAATCGCTGTTCCATCATTTTGATGGACACGGCGACGAGGTAGCGTGTAATTATCCTCCTGCTACGTCGACGCCGACATCGTTTCAGGAACAGATCTTTGGCATAACAAGTGATTCTCATCATGATACCTCGGAGATGGTGGTATTCGGACCCAGACGAGGTGGTGGTAGTGGTAATGATGACGAAATGATGATAGGGGCGAGTCACAACGACTACAACAACAGACGGCATGATCATCTTCAGCGTGGATCCCCTCAATTTCGGAGGAGCAGGCTGATTCGGCGTGTATCTTCAGCTTCTAGAGGATCTCCATCTCTCTTCACAACATCAATACCTTTACCTCAAGAAGACCTGAATCTTCTGCAGCATGATGCGCAGCAGCATAAAAACCGTCTTGTTCTTCGTCTTCGTCCCCAAGGAAGAACCACGGCCGCAACCGCTTTCGTTCGCAACCAACATTAAGGCTCAGCTTTCAGTGGTCATTGGGGTTGCTTGGTCACTGAGATCCCTCTTGAGAGAACAGGGGAAAATGAAGGAAAAGCAAAGGGAGAGGCATGGGGCCCATTTCTTTCAGAGTCAGTGACCATTGAATGCTGAGCTTTAACAACAACTGGTACAACCACCTCGTGTCCGGATCAAAACATCTTCAAGAAGAGGAACCTCCTCCTCCAGGACCTCCACTAGTCCTAGTGCAGCAACTACTGCTTTCGTTCCAAAATTTATCAAGGGAGTGCTTGGCGCGCAAGCGTTGAATCGGGTTGAGGACAATCAGATGAAGGTGTGGCTCTTTGACCAGTACCAGCTGAACCAAAGCAACGAACAAAAGTTGATGGATAGTGGAGCTTTTCTGAATAGTGGGAGTCCTAATGTTACGGTTAAAGTACTGCACTAAGTCAAACCGAAAAATACAATAAACCTAGAAGTGTAGTACAGCTAAGATTATAATTAGCACTGAATGTTGTCCTAGTGCGTTAGCATTACGTCGCAGCTTTGGCACTGATTGTCCTAATGCAAGATTAGCATTACAAAACAAAGACTTTGTGTTCAAACCAGAATATACAACCAATATATAAGATGAAGAAGAACTGAACGGTTCCGGTATTTGGTAACGACCTGAATTCGATCACAAGGGTTCCCTTCTTGTTCTCCCTTGTGATCCAACTCAGGTTACCAAATACCGGAACCATTCGAGAACTCTACGTCCTGAAGGTTAACACTCACTCAACCCTCACTCAATATCCTACTACTTCACGTCCGCCTCCACCTCTAATCTTTGCCCACCAGAGGAGTTTGCTGGTGCTGCGGATCGCTGGGCTGAGGAGGCGCAGACAAGGGTGAGAAAAGCAGCAGTAGCCATGCAATATGCGGTGGCGAAAGCCACACAGGCAGTAACCCACGCACAAAATGCAGTAGTCGACGCCGTAGATGCGCAGAATAACTGTGTCTGCCAACAGCCAGCAATGATGGTGAAGAATCAGTTAAGGTCGCAACTACAACTTCTATTGTGAGATTATTTTTTCGTTGCATACCTACGCATCGGAAAATGAAAAACGTCAACACTAATGTGGGTCGTCCTTAGGTAGTTTCATTTTTCAACAAATGCAATACGTGAACTAATCCGTTATAGCCAAGTCGAATGCTGCTCCCAATGCGTATCCGTATCCCCGTGGAGATATATCTCTAACCCGAGGAGGAACAACAACAAGTGCCGGAGGTAAAAGTGTTCTTCCAATCGAGACGTTGGAGGACATCTTTGCTGAAAATCGGACCTTGAGGAGGAAAGCTGATGTTTGCAGGAACTTGGTTGAAAAAGGGGTAATCGAATCCATCACCCGTGAGAACGTTGAACTCCGAGCGAAGAATGCAAAACTAGTTATGATCATGTTGGCTCATTATCTTATCATTCTCCTAGTAGAGTTCGAGTTGTAGATGTAGTGCTTCTACTCTTTTTATTTGGGTACACTACTGCATTATCATTCTCCTAGAGTTGTAGATGTAGTGCTAGTATCATTCTCCTAGTAAAGAAGTTCGACGAGTTGTAGAAGTAGATGTAGTGCTTCTACTCTTTTTATGTTCTTGAGTAGAGTGTTTCTTTTTCTATTCTTTTGGAGAATATGTTCATGTTGTTAAAAAGAACAACAAGAATCCATCAAAATCGACTTTTCCTTCTCCTGCTTCTAAACACTTCTGCATAACCACCAGGTGTAGGTGCATAAGTAAGTACCCAGATAATTGCTCTTCTAAACCCAAAGCAGATTTCGCAGAGACTTCGAAGAAACTACTAGTCGCAGAAGCGAAAGGCAAGTGGTCTACTGGTGCCAAAGTCGCTGTTGCGGGTGGAGCGGTAGCGCTGGGCGCAGGTTTGCTGGCTGCTGGCTACATGGCACATAAACTTACGGCACGAGACCGACACTGACGCTTCCCAACAATTTTGATTCTAGTAAAAACCTCTTCCCAACAATTTTGATTCTAGTAAGCGATGATAAGGCCTTCACGATATGATGATTAAATGGACGATAAATATTAAGGATTATATCTGGATTTCTGTCTACTTTATGTTTTATTATGCTATATTAGAGCTTGAGCTTCTTTGTGTTTATGCTATAGAACTACCAGAAGTTTTAGTAAAAAAAACCTCTTCTTCTAACCATCACGGCGTCGATGATAAGGCCTTCGCGATCGGGAAAGAAGGGCTTGAGAAGGCGAAAGAAGGCTATGGCAAGGTGAAAGGTGGTGCCGAGGATATCGGAACAGGTGTCGGAACAGGCGTAGATGCAACCGGCAAAGGGATAAGCAAAGTTAAGGCTTCTCCCTCATAATCCATCTCCCTCGTGAAGCTTCGATCCTGGCAGGAAAGAAAGAAAAGAAGATCATAAGAGATTGCAGGATGCTTCAGGATACTGGTTGATAGTTACCCTTTTCTCTTTTCTATCTTCCTCTGGGGCTCCACCACAATCATAAGAAAGAATAGAGAAAGAAAATAATTCGTGAATTATCTTCCTTCCTGATGATGGAAGCTGTTGTGTCCAAGGAAAAATAGGAATAGGTCTCAGAGGGAAGAAGATGATCTTCAGGATGGGTTCGGGTGACCTCGTCTAATCAAACCGGCTCAACGATCAAAGGAGGTTTAGAATTTGCCGGCGCGGAGACCATCGGAGGCATAACGGGCATGGGTGACAAGCTCACATCCTTGTTCTTGGAGAAAGATCGGGCTAAAGCCTCTAGAAATCATAGCAATTATGATGTTAATGCTAGCGCTACCACCTCACCAGGAACTCTCCCTTGGAATCCCTCCCCTCGCACAAGGTCAATCACAAAGCTGATGGCAAAGCCAATACAGTTTTTGGATTTAGAACCTTTGCTTGCACTGAAAACCAAACATTAACATAAACATTTTTGATTCCTTGTGATACAGAAACAGGAGGAATGAACGAACTGATTTTTTCAAGAGTAACGAGAGAGTCCTACTTTTGATGCGAAAAGAAACATTTTCCAAGAAACCTAACTTACTTAGTCTTTCATTCTGTAAAAGCCCTATCGAGTTCGGAGGGCCTCTGCCTATAAGGACAATGAATCTCATGGAGAGGAGAACAGTGTTCGACACGTTAGAGTTTTTTCGCACGTACCAAGACCAAACGAGAGTTCCACCGAAGATAAAGTACTACGAGATGATCTAATATGTACTACGAGGACTACGAGATGTTCGATTTCGATCCAACGTTAACGTACATTCATAAGAAATTGATCTGATCCACCCCTTGCTCAGGAACAACAGTTTCAGGTCAAGTTTTGAGCTTGATGTTGTAAAGCGGCATGCTTCAATCAGAAGTCAGATACGTACATGAACGCTGTGATGTTGATGTCAGTATTGATTAGACATAAATTGTTCTATGAAGAAGGTTCTTTGAGTGGCTTCGAGCGTTGATGAGAGGAGCGACGGACGCTATTACTTACAAGTAGTTCTCCAGTAGAGCAGTTGGAAGTGTTAGTCTAACTCGTCCTTTCTAGTTAGTTTCTACTCGAGCACTTCTAGTTAGGCGACTTCTCAACAGGTAAAGATGTCACTGCGTCGTTCGTTAAGCTTGCTTGTTACAGGGATTGGCTTCGCCTCGGCACAGGGAGAGGGGGATGCGTCACTATTTGGCAAGGACGGTGACCCACCAGGCAAGGTTCAGCAGACGATCAAGGTAAAAATGCTTGTTACAACACCTTGTTATTTTTGTTTAGCATTAATTGCTTGTTGTTATAGATACCAGTAGAACGACCCTGAAGATTCTTGTTCTGAAGAGACTTCTTGTGCTTTCATCTCTTAAACCTCAAGCCGACATTACAGTCACGAGAACAACAATTCACCTGATCAATCATGATCTACACTCTTCTCCCGCTAACAGATAGAAGCTCCCCAAGTGACAGAGGAGGACCAGCATGGGTATAACATGCCCAAAATGTACATGTGTGAGGCATGTAGGTCAATTGTATTCCACGTCAACGCGACATTGACCAAGAGGTCCGGACCATCGAAGAAGAAGCTTAAAGAGTGGGAGTTAGAAAGCGTTTGGGAAGAAGCCTGCAGCGACAAACAGTACGATGGATATGGGATCAAGCTGTTGGGAGGTACAGTAATTATGGTGCATTAGAGCTAGAAGCTTAGCAATGAGAAGTTGTAGGATCTTACCAATTATGGCAATACCTTCTACGCTATCTTTAACCTAGTACCACGAACCGTGGTCATTAAACATGAATTATGAAATTATACTGAAACTGAATGAAATGAAAACTTGTTCCAAGGAGAATGATTATACTGAATTCAACAATCAGAACATCAGGTAAAAACGTTTTATCCGGACCTGCGCTTGCTCAAGAGCATGAGAAGTTGGCTGCAGGAGAGGCCTCTATCCAAATGGGAGGTGACAATTGGAAGAAGAGGTTAGCTGAGGAGTGCCGCAAGCTAGTAACAGACGAATTCGAGGAGGAGATGTACCCAATGTGGTTGGATGGTAGGCTGACGTCGTCAGAAATCTGTGTGCCAAAGCACTGCAGCGCAGATAAAGCATCTCCGAAGAAAAAGAAAGCAAAGAAGGAGAAGAAGACGGAGAAGAAAGAAAGTATTTTTATTTTTTGGGAGTTTTTATTTTTGTGTTTGTCACACTCACATGATTGATGTACATGACCAGACTAGTGCAACTTCAAGGATATCTACATTCTTCAGGATGCTTCGTATTTCCCTGTGCTTCTATTAATATTAAAAGCAACGATTCTTTTCGTCACCACGAAACTCTCCCAGACGCATAGACAACACCGAACCATCTACTGATCTACCACCATCTTCAGAGCCAAAGAAGAAGCCCGCCGACCCGGAGAAATCCAAGAAGGTTTCTGTAGAGGGCTATCTCGCGAAATTGGCCAGGGCAAGAGGAGAAGAAGCGGCCAAATACACCAAGACGCGCACCGAACAAGAATGGGTCGATCTGTTTTACAGCGGTCTCCCACAGATGCCTGGCATTGTGCCAGCTGCGACAAAGGGAGGAGATGAATTGTAGAGAGGCAAAATGAATAGAGCAGACGATCAAGATATTTATTATAAATTTATTATGTTCTTTGAAGATGAATAACTGTAAAATATTAGTAAGGTGACTAATATAGTCAACACGCGGATTCGATTACTGTAAAATTTTAAAGGAAAACAAGATCAAGATCAGGATGGATCCACGATAACCTGTCAAAAAATGCTAGGATGCTAGTACCAGCAACAGCATCTTTACAACCTGGATGCGCATGTTTTTGAAGAAGAATTCATATTTAGCGGTCAAGGCATCCCCTCGACTAGGACCCCGCATACACCTTCGCCTTCATGATGTACTCTTGATACCATAGAGTCGTATACCTGCCTATCTCTCCCTATGGCAAATCGCGCGAGGCGCAGAAACTTTTTCTTTTTAGTATGGACACATCTACACTGAATGCCTTTCACTACTCGCATGTGATATTTTGAATCGATCACGACCAAGCTTGAGCATGAGTTTTGCAGGACGAAAGTCTGTGGAACAAAACCGAGGGATACTGTGTCGGGTATTATATCATGAGCTTGGTGCACGTCTCGGTCTCCGTGTCTTGAGAAGCAAAGGCGAGTCATCAAGGAGAGAGTGTTACTGACGTGTCTAATGATGTAATGAAACGGAAACCTACCGCTAGGGACGCGAAAGGGCATGAAAGATTGCACCATGAAAAACGGACAGTATCACGAGAAAAGACAACATAGTGAGAGGACACCCACGCCTAGGTGGAATAGGTAGTGTGAATACAGAAAAATAAAAGGGGTGGAGGATCATGATGCGGGACAAGGCCGTCGTGCCTGTCTTTCCTATTTGAACTTCAAGGGGCCAGCAAGAATTGCATTAAGCTCAACGCTCGTCGCTCGCTTGTTATTTAGTCCTTCATAGTAGAAGTAGGTAAAGGGATAGGGAAAGAAGATGACAAGGCCTTTGAGAATGAAACTTGGGGACTTCCTCGAGAGTTCGGAGGAAGAGCCAGTGCGAGTCCCTGTAGAGAAAAACGACACCAAGAGTAGGGAGGCTTCTATCACTCCACACCATTCGATCAATGCGGGAGCGACATCGCAGGACGATTCGACGAGTGGTGCCAATGTAGGAGGTGGGGCAGCGAATCGAGATCTTGATTTATGGAAACACGAGTGCTGTCACTCACTCATTTTGATTCATGCTAGGACCACGCGTGATGGCGATGTATGCGCTGCCTGTACACAAATAATGCTGATTCTCCTACATAGAGTTAGTACCAGTACCTCAATCAACAACAAGCTAGACGAGCGGGTAGAAGTCGCCAGGAAAGTCCTAGGCAGTTTGCCGCATAGATTCGCATCATCGTAATACCTCAATCAAACAAATAACTCGAAGTATAACTTCAACTACTTCGATTGTTCGATCATGATGGTGCTTTTTTTCACTTTCATACCCTCTGCCCCTCTCCGGCATTACATCGATGGCGTCCGAAGTGGAGGCTATGGCCTCGGAGGACGTGGAAGAGATGTGTCGGAGTAGCGAAGAGGCCCACGACGCTATATTGAGGAAGAACGAAGCTATTATGGCAGAGGTGTTTAGCCAGACGAAGACTGCCGCGGTAGACAACGAAATTAGTGGTATGAGTACTTCTGGAAACTACGGAGCTGCACCAACATCAAGGCAACAAAGTAAACAAGAATCAAGGCAACAAAGTAAACCAGAATCAAGGCAACAAAGTAAACAAGAACCTAACCTGACCTCTGCTGATTCGACGTTTAGACACGGATGGGGAGCACAGACAAGTTCTTGTGGAAGTGCGCCTATTGGGCAAGAAACTACACCATTTTCTACATATCAAGAAATACAACAGCAACAAGAAGTACTAGATGATCGACTTCGACAACGTCATCCTCATGTTGGAGCAACTTCTACAAGAGCAGGGGCAGTAGGAGTTAGTTCTACAGCAGCTGCGGCAAGCCTATCTTCTACATCGAAGATGAATGTTGACGAAGAAACAGGAATAGGAAGTGCTAGTGCAGCATTGAAAGCGGAGGCGACGCAAGAGCGGCCTCGATTGGTTCCTACTCTGTCCTTAGGAGATCAATCGCTGGATTCTTCTTTACCTCTGTTCGAGGCCGACGAGAGCAGGAGCAAACGTCTACATGTAGGCAGTCTGCAACGTCTACATGTAGGCAGCCATGTACTAGACTGTCAAAAGAGCAGCAGACAAGAGCGGTCTCTAACGGACTGTCAAAAGAGCAGACAAGAACGGTCTCAAACGGAAGAACGATTTCCTTCTACTTCGAACTACACGCTGTCCGTGAGTACGCCACATCTTGGATACAGTGCTGCTCCAGGAGGTGGTGAGGCTGCTCCAGGAGGTGGACACGAAAACTCAACGAGTAGCAGACCTGTGACGGCGAGGAGCAATGCGTCTGCAGGTTCGGGGCTACATGTTGATGCTAGCTACTAGAGATGAGTGATACAATATATAATCTTCTTCAGATACTAGGAAGTTTCAACAACTCTTCGATTCTCATTCTTCTTGAATACGTACATAATATAAACTACTTCATAGTACTGCGCCACACACACACACACACAAAACACCTACAGACCGCCAGTCCTCTGGTGCTGGAACCAGCGAGGCCTTTGCTGCAGCAAACAGGACGAATAAGACTAAATTTTACGTCCGCAACGATATCTACACGCCTGCTGAACAGCAACGGATGATGAGTTTAGAGGCGAATCGAGGCTCGAGGAGGTCTGGACCTCCAACTTCCACGTCAGCGCCAACAGCTGCACAAACGGGGACTACAAAGAAAGCTCACATCCTTGGTCTAGGAGAAAAATTTCAACCCTCATCTACATCTCGATCTTCCAGTAAAGAAGTACTAGAACAAGTTACAACTTCTACAGCGAATGCTTCGTATTCAGCCAACGCCCGCGATCGAATGCGTCGACCTGGCGCTGCTACTGAACCGTTTCGTTTTGGCAGTCGACCAGGTCTCTACGCGGACGTACATAGGAGGAGGAGCTTCCTCTTCGTGGATGAACCTGAGGGAGTAGGATCAGCGAGCGAAAATGTGAATGGCGTTGCTGGTGATGGAGGTAAAAAAGGTGATTTCTATGCCGCTTACAACAAAGATTATGGCAGCATCGGAGAAAACAAGCAGAGTGATGTAGTGCCTCCATCTTCTTTTTCAAATCAAGAAACACTACGTGATCGTTCTCTACCAAAGCAGGAGAAGACGTCTGAAGGAGCCTTTGTTTCTTCAAGCGAATCACGGAAAGACCTCGATCACGATCCTACGACAAACAAGCTTCCATCCAGACACGAGCAGTATAGAAAGGTCTACGACTTTTTGGGGTATTTGCCGAAGCAGCCTACTCCCGCACAGGAGTCTGCTCGGAGACTAGACGCTGGTGCAGGTAGCGCATCTTCTTCACACCTGCTTGATGCGAAAAGGAGAGGAAACCTTTCTACCCCTACTAGAATCCTCACACCCGGGAGAGGATGGCAGAGTACGGAGGCAATTATTTTTAATGATGCCATGGTTAGAGACGGGGCGTTTGGCATTACTCCATCAAGATCTGATCGCAGTAGACTGGCACCGGCAACAACTACGTCTTCGACATATTACAGTACCACCTTCAACACCGGGACGACTCGCACACCAAATTATATGGCGTTTCCGACTAAGTCCACTCCAAATAGTCTACATCACCGCAATCTGACAGCTCCGCCACGCTCTGCTAGAGATCGGCTGAAAATCGCTGCTGCCCAAACAGAATCAGGCGTGCCTGGAACTGGCCATAGTCGTACTCATCTGTCTCCATCCCCGTTCCGCAGACCAAGACTTTCGCCAGCAAGTACCCCATCTCCCGAACCGGGGGTTCATCATACAACGTTGTTGTCACTGCCGGTTTTCATTGCGGGACCAACAAGCACTTTGCCAAGAGTTGGAGGATCTAGTTGTAGTACTACTCAGGGTACTACGTCATCTGGCGGACCTGGAGGTGGAAGAGCTGACAAAGTCTCACGACAACTACCAAGGAGCCCTCCACGACCACAGGTAAGTCAAAGCCAGCTAGCATACACACCAATCTCTTCCTGGCGACCGTGCTCCACGAGGTACGAAAAGCTGTATCTACCACTCTCCATCAAAAGCCATCAGTCTTCCCATGAGTGGCGTAATCCCGCTCAGCATCCGCCACCGTCGCCTACGTCCTTTCCGATGCGGTCATCGTCACCACCTAATGTCGATAGATGGAGACGAAGCTCATCGGCTGGTGTAGCTGCTTCGAATATTGTTCGTGTGCCACCACCTGCACCAGGAGGACCAACTACTACATCGTCTATTAGGAGTACTACAACAAGAGGACTACCTCCAAGTAGAGGACAGGAACCATCAGCATCAAATTTTTTACCAAATGATAGAGCGAAGATTTTATCGTCGCCTTCGTCTCCACGTGAAAGAATCCACTATTTCTCCACATCTCCACCACTGATTAAGAGACGCGGCAGTGGACACAATAACAATCTGCTTGCTGCCTCAGCTTCCAGTGGTACAACTACTAGTTTCTCCCACCTACTTCGCACCATCGACGCTCATACACCATCGCCAAGAGGATACAACAGGAGTCCAAGGAGAAGCACTGCTATGATTTCTCCTGCATCTAGGGCACCAGAAGAGCGACTAGTGAACTCTCCTTTCAATCGTGCAAATAATCAGAGTGGGCGTAAAGCAAAGTCAGTGACGTTCGCGCCAGCCGGTGGTGTGCACAGCTATGAAAAAATCTATTTGCCTGGTCGCAGCGTGACCGAATTGTTGCAACGGAATCCTGACCACGGAAATGTGATAAAACGAACGTCTGGTACGACTGTCATGAATCCTCTAGAGTACTATACGACGTCGCCGGACTACAGAGCAGGCAAGTCTCCAATTGTACCAAAAAACAAAAGTGCGAGTAGTTTGTTGTCGGCAGAAGAGATTGAGAAAGTGTTTGGGGGTCTTGATCCTTTGCGCACCGTTGCGGGTAGATCATGGTCTACTACGGCGTCGGCTTCTGCACGCAGAGCGAGTAGTGACAATCGATATACAACGTCTTTTGCTGATGTTGGTCGACAAGTGAAAAACTACAATGACATCAGAATCAGATCCGCACCATACGCATACACCCCTTCTCGCTCTCGCAACTCCTACGACGATGACAACTGCCCTGACTCGCCGCCTAATCCATCGCGAGACTACGGTCGACACGTCGGTTACGTGTCACAGCTCAAAGGTCACAGCATCGCTGGGGATCGCAGAACGCAGCCACCTCTCTTCACTGCGCCTGCCACATTCTTGCCTCCTTCGCGAACAGACCCGAGTCCTCCGAGAGGGAACTACAGTCCTCTTATGGTTGTGTCAACTTGATTGGAAATATCTTCTGACTTAGCTCGTCGTTCTTGTAGCTCCTTGTTTTTCTCACTCGTACATAGATACAAGCAGCGCTCCCATCTTCTAACTCTCTCGTTGAACTCGGCCACTATCACTCCGAGACGCAAACTCGACTCTTCAATCGTCGCACAAAGCACAGACTTGATTCAACTGGCCGCCCTGTGCTGACTCTCACTCCTTCCAGCTTCTATTCCGCTCGTAGCACTGTCAGCGCGCCTCGCTACAACCTGGCTGCTGTCAAAAGCACGCCAGAAAACCTGTTTCTCTATGGCACCAACGTCGCTGCGCAACTGACGACAGCAAACTACAGGAGTGGGGGAGTGCCTTACTCTCCAGCTCCACCCGGAAGCAATGTTGCTCACCTGTTCAGTACCGCTGCTGGGAGAACGCCTTCGTCACCTCCTAGGTTCTCATCCCAGAGCCGATTGATTACTGCATCACCAGACCCAGCAGCTCATAAAAAAACGAAACATTCCACTCCCTTCGCTCGTTACCTCCATAGTCGTGCGGAGACACCGCTGAAAAACGGCACAGGAACCTTCGGTGGAACCCATTGCATCGATGTGCAGCACAATTTTGGGAGAGCGACAGCGTCTGGAACAGCACCACGTCACGACTTCGATCATCATTAGGGCTTATTAACGCCGAATAAACTTATATATTTATAAAGAACTTTGACTTTCGTTGCAGCCAAAGTCAATGATTTAGATTAAACGAACGACTGACTCTCTTGCCTACAACTTTATCAATATCAACTTGAACTTCATCTTTCTTTGCCCAACATTAAACCGAAACTTCTCCCCCTCTCTTCATCTCCGCCACGAACAGTTTATGCGCAGGCACAAAAACGTTGGTGCGGATTTCGTGTTTCGATCCGATTCGCCTTCCCCAAGCAGAAATCCTCGTACCCAGGCCACGACAGGTGCCTCCGAAAAGCGTCTACTAACCTTTGCTTCCCCATCAACAACGCGTCTTCAGCCTCTGTCGAGGTATGTGTACTAAGGCACAGCGACAACACGGCTTTTGTTCTCATAAGATTAGGATTTATGAACACCGATGTAGTTTGGGCTCGTCATTATAAAAAACGGACTTAATTTAGGGTTGGGAGTTGACATCTCTATTGATATGAGCATCTCTATGGAGGTTTCTTCAAGTAGGAAAGCCATAGATATGCGAGCTAGAGCGGTCAACTTTCAACCCCTAACTTAATGGCGTGAAGCTTCTACTTGTTCTGTCACTGTAACTCACAATCTTGAGAAAAACTTAGAAAAAATAGAGATACATTACACGACACTGGAAAAGTTATCTTTTACCACACTTAAAAACCTACTTTTCATGATTATCATTATCCCACGCACATCATTAGACACTAAGAATACAACAGAATAAGCAAAAATCAAATTCAAAATCAATATCAAGCTATATCATCTTTTTCGATCTTAATCGCGCACGCACTTCTGCTCTTGTCATTCAAATTTCTTTTTTATTATGAACCATATATGTTAGTGTTACTCTCATTTCGACTTGCTACAGGGCTAAAGCTGTCTCAGCTGACGAACACGACTGACATATTCTTTGCACAGAACAACAACGAACTATCAAAAACTTCCAAATCATTTGCATCATCTCTTTTTGAATATAGTTGTGGTACCCATTAATGTAGCACGCATCTACTTGTTTACTGAATAAAGACCTCCAACGACGAATGTTCATGAGCTAGACTAGCTTTTATTTACCAATAAAGAGTCGATGAACCTCCTGGACTACGTGAAAATAATCACCACGACGATCATGTTGTCAACATGAATGCACCAATTACAGTAGTACTTCTAGATTCTTATCCACCTCTTCATTTCACCATCTGATGTGAGACCAGGACTTCGATGTCCACGATCCGAAAGGAACGAGATATGTCGACGTGTTGAGTGATAGAATTAATAGAGGTCATCGATTGCCGTTGAAAGCTTTTCGTGTTCGAGTTTTGAGGGCTTAACGCTTTTCTGTTTTGAGAGCTCCCCTTTTTCTGGATGACAACGAACTCTTTCTGCATGGAGGAGTTTTTTCGTCTACTTTTCGAATTGCAGGAGTTTCATCTCGGTTTTCGACCATTCTGATTATCTCTGTGTCAATGTCTCTTGGAGTGACTTTTTCGGCTTCACGGTCCTCATCATCATCAATTTCAATACCATGGTCAGGTCTTGTAGGTCTATGTGTGAAGAGGACCCCCTCCTATTTTTTCTTTCGAATTCACCCATGAATGCGTGTTTTGACTTACTAGCTCGTTAGGTTATTCTTATTTGTGTAGAGTTTGTAATCGTTCCATGAAGTCTGTTGGAGAAAACAGAAATACAGCGGCGTTATTGACCGAATATTCATAATCTATCGTTTGGGTTCTAGTATCACGTTTGTAGTCGTATTGCTTGGTATGTTTTTATCTTTAGTAACGAAATCGAAAATTTTCTACCAGCATTTGCAGTGGTACGTTGGTTCTTTTAGAGGTTGTGTTTTTTTGACTGTTTGATGTTTCAATACTGCAAGTAGATGAGACCGACGGTTTCTGCCTCGTTCCGGTCGGGGTTGGGACCTAGTACTTGTGGTATCTCAAAATAGCAAATGGAGTATCATTTATCTTTCTCTCGTGGTTTTCCTCTCTCACGGTATCTGCTTACCTGTCGATCTTGTTTGCTCCGGATCGATAGTGCAGATTGATGTAGAAAAATTTTTTTCTTAGAGTCACGATCACATCGACATCATCATCATCATCAACAAGAAGTGGGCGCAATTATAGATTGGAGTTGTATTGTTTGCTCGTTACCATTGATGGTTGAGCGAAGATGATGTGACTCTCAGTGACAAGCACATTGATTGATTTCTAGTGGTATGTGGGCTAAGATGAAATTGTAAGTTTTTTCCGTGTGCAGAAATATTATTTCATGATGAAAAAGATTGTATTTGTACCTAATACTAGATGTATTATCTTCATGAGTTGTAGCTATGCTAGATCTACAAACATCTAGCAGAGACTAACACTTATGCTTGATCCCGGTGTGTACCGATAGTGACAGCAGAGTTCTTATCTGTCTTTTTGCTTGGTCTAGACTGATGAGCAAGCTTTTTTCGTAGACGGCGGGAACTTCAACCACTTATCACTTTCTTGGGAAACATTATCTACTTCAGTTGAGATTGATGTCGTACTTACAGTGAGCCAGCGTGGTGGTTATCGAGTTAGTTATTCGAGCATGTCGATATGATCAACCTAAAGCAGAATGCAATAGAGTTGCGTTTAGTAGATCTTCAAAAATTGTAGCATAAGTAGTAGTTAATTCTAATTCTTGATCCGACGTTTGTGTCTGGTTGTCAGTATTATTAGATTGCGACTAGACAGATCATCTTCATACATAGATTGATTATGATGATGATCCTAAAGCTGAGCCTAACCCTGCTTTTAACACTTTTTTTTTGAATTCAAATGGCGATGAGTTTGACATCAAGTGGGCCGCCGGTCTGGCTGGCCAAGGACCAAGGACCAGCGCCACTACCACTTCCATCACCAGCTGGGGAAGAACGATCAGATGACAATTCAGTCACCGGCGGCGAGTCCTGTTATTCCGTTGATGGTGAAGTAGAAGCTGCTAGCATGATCAACTACAGCGATAACAATGTCGTAGGCAACAGCAAGACAACTTCTTCCACTGGTAATATTGGGTCAACACCTGGTGCCACAGTGCCAGTGTTGAAGAAATCCCGCAAGTCTGGGGGATTCTTTGCTGCTACACGTATGCATCGTACCGACGCCAGTGTAGATGCTGGTCAATTGCTAAACAAGTTGCGCCGCGTTATCGAGTGCGTAGGTGGTGCTGGGTGCGACGGTTTCCTTGTAGCTTACCCGCTTTGGGATGCGTTTTTGCGACGATCCATAGACCGCATCCTGAAATCGAAGGCAAAGCGTTTTCCGAATTTGCAAGTCCTCGAACCAGTGCCGGTACCGCATTGGGGCGCTTTCACACCGGCATTGGCCAACATCATCGCGGCCGCACAGGGCAGACAGGCGAATAAGCTGTTGTTTGTGTCCTTGGAAATGATCGTGAATGGAACAGCAGTGGATGCCTTGTTGCACCATTTGACAGACACGACGTTGGTAGTGGGTGCCGAGTTGAAAGGATCGCATCTTTTCGGCGATGAAGAAATGCCGCTGTTCAAACCGGCGTGTAACCGTAGAGTAGATGATGTCGATTCTGGTGGAAACTGGAAGAAGATGGAAACAGCTGCGTCGTGCGAAGGTGGACCTACCTCTAAGGGCCGTCAGGATGAGCAAGGTTTCTGTCATGCTAATCATTCTACGGGAACTCCTCAGCAGCAGCTTGCTGACGCGAACAACACATCATCAAGCTCTTCAGCATCTTCAACAGACTCATCCGGCCAAGTCCCCCAAGAGCAAGATCTACCAGGTACTTACGAAGTCACTGGCGCCAACATCCCGTGGAACACCTGTGCGGTTTGGGATATGGAAAAACTGAGCATGTTCGGGTTTCCTCCAGTCGCTGACGGTTATAGTCCTGGCGTTGAGAAGGGCATCGAGGAAGTCGTGGCCATCAACGTAGCACAAGCATGTTTGGGTCGTCAGAATGCGGAGGTCAAGTTGGTGCGAATCTTGCCACGGTCGAGGAGTACTGCGGTGTCGCCGAGTGCGAGAGTTGCTGGCGGGCCAGCGGCTACGCCTACATCTACTGGGGGACCGGGAGCAGGGGAAGATGACGGGGAAGTAGTTGGAGAACAAGAACAAGATCGTCACGGAGGAGACATCAACCTGCACAAAGACACTTCTGAAGCAGAGCTGAAAGAGCGCTCCCCATCGGCGGCGAGCACTGCGGCGACCACTAGTGATGCCAAGTCAGTTGTTGCAAGTCTAGTGGCGGAGGGTAAATCGCCTCCGCTTTTTCAGGCTGCTGCAGTTGCTGTGGCGCCAGCGAGCCAGAACCTCCAATCTGAGTTTGGTGGCCGCGTTGGAGCTGGCGTGAGTGCACTAGGTCCACGTCAGGTGTCGGCGGCAGCCAAGCCAGCAGCTCGAGGCGGACCTGCGTTTGGCACCACTGCTCTCGGGGCAACAATCAGTTCTATCTCAACGAGTGCGACAACAACTTCGACTGCGCCTGGGCCACCCGTAATGCTCAACGACAAGAAATCTACTGCTTCGAGTTTTTCGTCTAAGCCACAAGCTCTTCTCAAGGCAGAAACTTCCTGGAACGACGACGAGGACAGATTTGATGACGCTGATCCGATTTGCACGTGGGATGTCTTTGGTGATGCTTGGATTGAACTGATGAGAACAGGCGCTTCCAGGTTGCTCACGCGATCTGTGTCTCACCAGATCACAGAAGAAGTAGGTTGTAATAGTCTCAGCATGATGGGAGGTGGCGGAGCAGCAGACCTTAGTCCGATTAAGGGGAGTGGCGTGTTTCCTGGGTTTAGGGGATCCTATTCGAAGAACCTCAACATGCTCGACATCAGAGAAGGGCCAACCGATGAGGCTGAAACAGATGATCTAGACATGGAAGCAACAACCTTTGGGGCAGGAAATGTGAAGGCCAACCTTCTAGTAGGTGAGGGACCGACGTCTTCTCCTAGTACTACTACAAATCATATGTTGGAGACTAGTACTACAAATCATATGTTGGAGGTTAGTGGAGATCAGCGACAGAGTAAGAAAGCTGCGCAGAATTTGAAACAAGAGGAAGAACAAGACTTGGTTGCAGGAGAGGACAGTGTGTCTGTTGACGAAGACGATCTCGATTCGGAGCTTTTCTCATTATCCCTATCCTTGACGACAGGAACAGCAGGAGGTTCGCTCGGAGCGCGTGCTGGTGGCCAGGATGAAGTAGACGCAACATCAGCATCTTCTGCTGGTCAGAAGACGAGTATGGTGAATGTTCAGAGTTTCCATACTGCAGTAGGTCACGAAACTCCTTCGTCCACACCTTTTACACCTGGCTTATTTGGAAACGGAACTACAAGTGCAAATGCCGTAAGCAAGACCAGGAAGAAGCAAGATTTGTCCTTACAGCTTCTAGAAGCTGATCTTGACCTGCAGGTGGAAGAAATACACGTGCATCGAGTCGAAGAAGATGGCGGAGATATCTCTGCTTCCCTCGCAAGAACCGTGCCTGGCGCTAGTCCGACCTTGCAGGTAGCATTGGGCGATCCTAGAGCTTTCAGTAAAGACTCATCTTTTGCGTCTCCTCTGTTTGCTCCAAATCCAATGATCAAGAAGAAGAGTGGAAGTCCAGCCGGAGGTGCGGGATTCCTAGCAGGAGCTCAGGGAGTTTCTACTTCAGCTCAGGGAACTTCAGCACCAGCGGCATCAGGTCCTGCAGCACCAGCGTCACCAGCATCACCATTTGAAGCGAAGAAGACCTACTTGCAAAGCTTTCATCTGGACACGGGCAGCAAGATATCTTCGCCAAAGATGAACCTCGCAAGTAAGGAGGAACAAAATCATGCTTTTGACGCGAGTAATACCAGTGGGGCCGGATCTTCAGGCGTGGCGTCAGATAACGAGCATGGATGTCAATGGAGTGGCATGCAAGAGATCGCTAGCTACCAGTATCTGCTCGATGTTGATGGTCCAGAGTCGCATTCTGCCTCAGGAGCTTCTCCAGATGATCGTCAAGCAGTACTTCTAGGTGCGACCGCGCTCGGTACAACTAAGGCACCTCCACAGCAGAATGTTGGCTATGGCGGTCCTCTAGCCCGTCACGGTAGTGTAGCGAGTATGATGTCCTCTGCTGACAGCGAAGCGTCGCGTATTGTGTTTGGACCGACGACGCGTACGACATCGCGTGGACTAGGTGGAGGTGGTAGACACTCGGCTAGTAAGGACATACGAGCAGGAAAGCAACCTCCACGTGCTCTCACGTCTGGTAAGGGAGGCACCTCATCGAATAGCAGTAGTTGTAGCAACATGTTGGGGGAGCTGCAAAATCAACTCATCACTGCTGAAGGAGAAACTGCAAGTATGTCCCTTGCTGCTCCTGCTACCGCGTCCTCGACCAGAAAGAAAACAGCGGAGGAAGAGCGCGCAACGAAGCACGAGAAGCATGTCAAAAAATGCGCAACGAAGATTGCGCGAGCAAACACTCAAATGAGTCTTTTGCAGTTTTTGCCGCCAGGCGTCGTGCAGCATCTCGTACATCAGTGCGTTTGAGTGAAGCTATATTGTGAGGCTGGTCACATAATGATAAGCTTTTGACTATGAACAACATTTAGGGCCATGACGAAAAGTGTAATCTTAGTAAACCACTTCTAGCATATTTTTATGCATAATATGGCTGTTCACTGAAACGGTATAAGCCCGAGGCCGGATCCCGGCCGACATCTTTAGAATTAGATTTACTTAGTAATAAATTAAATGTTGTTGGTCAATGGTCATTACCGGCTCAAGAACCAATGAATGAACCTGATTGCAATGCCAAATGACTGCTCACACTCGTCACCTTGATCATGATCAATACCGTTCCTTGTCTTGAACTCATTTTAGTTCCTCGCATGGTCATCATTTGAACTCAATGAGTTCCAACGTGAATCGTCAGTAAGATCTCCCAGATCTTTAGCTGCATTATGGCCCATCATGATACCCCAATGACATTGGGCCCATTTTGATATCATTTCAGGGCCTTAAACAGTCAGTGACCATTCGGCACGTCCGTTCTGGTCGTCTTTCTGTTACATTGCAACGATAGTCGTTCCATTTGCTCTCAAGAGCCTCATAGTGCGCTTGGACGTGTTCGGGTGTTCCAACAAATGCACAAGTACAGCATCCACATCAATCTTTTTGCTAGTAGCTTAGTTTAGTAGTATCTACTCAAGTGCAGCTTCCCAGCACAAGAATAGTAGTTGATTTTCAGTGTAGCACTTCGTTATCTTTAATCAACATTATTATGCGGAGGTCGAAATTTTGTTACCACTCGTATTTAGTTCTCGGTGATATTTCAAAAATATCACTGTTCGAATTTCTACTAAAGATGAGTCTCGATGTAGCAGACTTGAACAGTACTGACTACTACTATGTAAGAAGAACAATGAAAGACCGAGTCAAATCGGACTTTTGCGTTGTTTCTTCGTATAACCTGTGTGCAGGAAGTGTGTACTTGATTGCTTATCTAGAATCTTTTCTATCTTCCTCTGGTCTTTCTTTTTTCTAGTTAGGTCTGCTCCACCACGCTCACTAGAATCCTTTTCCACATAAGACCAATCTAAAAATGAAGGCGTAGTAGGATTCAGCTCTTTAATAAAACCGACACAATCTTCATCATCATTTTAACCTTTCCCAACAGCATACTGTGTAATGTGTAAATGAAAAGCATGAAATCTTCGAAGTCCTATCATCTTCAAGAATGAACAAGGATATTACTTAGAAGGAGAATAGAAGACAACGATGGAGGACACTCGCGCAGAAGACTCAACATCTTCTTGCGTGGTAAGTTCTCCTCGTGTAAATGTATTTGTGATTTTTAGCCATTCTATGTGACAAACAGAAACGTGGTCGTGAGTCACAACATTGACCTGCATTTTCCCCCTTGTTCAAAGAAGACCAGATGTTCCTGTAATGCAATGTGAATTTTAAGACTTCTGATCATTCTGAATTTGAATGAGCTGGAGCAGCTTCTGCAGACTTGGTTCGCGCATGGATCGATGATAAATACGCGTGTTCGGAAAAGCAATTTTTCATGTTGACAATAATAATTCTTCTACCTCCCGTACGTATGGAAATTTATTGAAGACCAACATAATCTGAAATCTGCATTCTTCATCTTCACAACGAAGGAAGGCACGCTTATTGACTTTTGCTGGCAGTGTGGCTCTACGAAGAAGATGATCACGATCCCTCTGCTAGTTTGATGGATCTTTCAAGCAAGAGCACCCTCTATCCTTCGTCTTGCCTGTCTTGCTTCAAGTTTTCCTCCTGCTTCATATCTTGCGTCATCAATCTATTACTATTTGCCAAATGCAAATATAGAACCTAAATCCATCCTTGCCCTCTGCTTGTTCTTGTTGCATTGTCTGACTCATTGTATTCTTTCTTGATTTTTTTTCTGATTTTCACTTGTTCGACGTCGACTGATTAGATCTCCACGTCGCATATTCGCCTGCGCTCTATATGCAAATATAGCCTTAGTATAAGTTTTTGAATCAAGATCAACAAAATGGGTAGCGACGAGAGTGGAAGAAAAGCCGCAGTGCTCTGTGCAGCCGCTGGTGCGGTTGCACTTGGTGGATTGGCAACCTATTATGCACTTAAATCAAGAAGGAAAGTCGGCGATGGCTCTTTTCCAGAAGGAAAGGTAAGTACCTACTAGTAGAGCTACACAACTCATTTACTAATACTACCTGCTTCTCGATTGTTTAACATGATTTACAAGTAGACGATAAAAGTATAAAACTCCAGCTTAGTAAGAAAAACCTTTGACTTTAGATAGTCTTTCTTTTTCCTTCATCGAAATTAAGCAACCAATCTCTCAACTTCAACAAAGGTAAGCGCCGAGCAAATGGTGCAACTTCTCGAGGAGATAGTAGCATCACAATACGAGATGAAGACCTTGATGGATAGGCTCAACGTTGAAATACAACAGGGAGACTTGTCATTTCCACAAATTTGCGAGCTTGTCGACAACAGAAAGCCTAGGGACCTCCTTGTCGAGAAGGGAATCTCGATCAAGCGGTTTACGAGTACTTACTACTTATGACAATTTGTGAGGCGTTACTACCAGGCTACTCGTCAACTGAAAAGGAATTAACAGGCGTCAGAAGATGAGGCGCGGAAGCATGCGCCGGGCGCGACCCGAGCAGCGACTCGCACGCACGCGACCTCAGAAAGGAGCGCTAGACGGCCCAGCGCCTGCTGGCGATTTGCCAGGCTTGAGCATGCGCAGTGATAGAGACACAGCCGCAGCACGCCGTGGCGCATCTGCTGCGTGTTTTTGTGTCCCGCTCCCTGTATTTCTCCAGCGAAAAAACTCCAGGGACAGAGGTGAGGGCAGGGCTGAAAGGCTGCAGTGGCAGAGGGGCAAGCATGCAGCGCCGTCGCGTGTGTGGTTTCTTTGTCTAGCGGTCTGCTGGGACAAAGGCGGGCCTTGGGGGGTGGCTCAGCCTTGGAAGCGGCGGCGGGGCTCGGGTCGTTCCTTCGCTTACAGTCGAGGCCGACCGAGAAAACCTGTGGCAGGTCTTGGGTGGAGGTTGTCGAACGCGCGCAATGTGTATAAATTTCGCGCGCCGCCGGGACAGGTGGGGGACTTCCTTCACAGAGTGAGGCCGCGAGAATCGTACCAGGGCTGGCCTCCTTGGTGGCTGGTGCGGCGTGGTGATATGAATGGGCGGCAGCATGCTAGCGCCTGCCGCGCTGCAGTCGCAGGAAAGCCACAGGCCCAAGATACCCCACCTCCTCCTTCCCTCCATCGCATGCATTTCCCACTGAAAAGAACAAAATAAGGTTCGCGCTTATTGGGTGGTTGCGTAGACAGCTCCATAACCTTTCTGCGAAGCAACTACAACTCATGCTCAAATTTATCAAACCAGGCCTCCTAGAGGAGTTTAGTGGGAACCCAACAATCCGAGCAAAAGTGGTGAACCTGACACAAGCGACTGCGGATAGCACTTCAGGGTCATCTAAGGTATTATGATCTTTGAATAAAAGATACCTCCATGTCGAAGATGTCAATAGAGTACAACAAGTAAGCTCTTCCTCAACATCACTACGACATCCATCGTGCTAAAAAACATCTTCCTGATGCCCCAACATGATCAAACCAGGTGGTAATCACCCCAGAGCAGGCAGCGGCGTTGGCGCAGAACTTTACAGTCAAAGATGTAGTGCAGATCCACGAATTTATGCTAGACGAGCTGCACAAAATAATGCAATCAAAAGACGGGTCCTTGATGGCGAAGTACACTTCTCGCGTCGCAACGATCAGCTCGCAGGCGTACGTTGGAAAACTCGTCAAAGCAAAGTACTTCTAAAAGAATTTTCACCAGATTATAAGACCGTTCTCGATTCTGCTACTGCTGGAGCTGCTTCGATGACAAAGATAATATACTTCGACTCCCCACTTCCTTGCAGCAGTCTATTCCAATTTCTTTCCGACAATATTGTGCCCACAGGTATAACCTAACATCCGAGCAGCTTGAAGCGTTGGTTACGCACTACAACACAGCGCTAGGATCGGATCAGCGGTTTTTCGAGTTAGGCATCGAAATGCGGGAGGCGGTTCAAAATCTGGTGAAACATTTTTCGGCTGCTGAAGCATAATCATTGATTCGGCGTTACGTCCTACGTCCTCTGTTGCATAAAATGACAGCGGCTCCTTGGAGAACACTTAAGATGCCAATGGGGTTTGGGTTGCGGTGGCCATAGCCAACATACTTGGATTTGTACACACAAAAACAGAAAGGCCTTTCGAACTACAACTAGGCGGGATGCGGATGAAAGAACAAGCATATAATGAATACTTTCATGAGTTCTTCTGTTTGAGTACACTCCATTGGCTTCGAAATTTACCTCTTCAAGTATGAATTGCGACATCTCCACTTAACAACACTCGTTGTAAATCTTCAATTTTCCTTCAACGTTGCTTTTGCCCCCAAGAATGAAGCAACTAATGTTTCCCGCCTTTTACCACGTACACAGTCTTATAATTTTTCTCAATCTCAATACCTTTTGTCAATCTAGTACTCAATCTTCAAGTTCAACAGTAGGACTTGCAATCAGTCGAACCTCCAAGTCGACTCCCTCGTTCCCGCACTCTAGAGGAAGTGTTCACACAATGATTCTCCAGATGTGCACTTACCGACGCAGATGTACAGAGGCGTCGTGCTTCATTGAGAGAAAGTCAAATCAGAGTGAAGAGACCCTGATCAGTTGGCAGAGAGAGATCATCAGGATCAGGTTCAAGCAGCGAACTTTCACTCTGATTGGCTTGACGATGAGGGACGCTGCTGTCGAGTACTCGACGGAGGACGTAGGAGCGCGACAGTTTGGGGCTTCTCTATGACGGCCACTTGTTCAAGGATGAACAATGTGCTGATGTGCTGGTGTCGGGGACAGAGCCAAGAGGTGCTTGACGCTGCGCGCCAAGCAGAAAGCAGTGCCCGAGGCAAACAATGGACGGCGAAACAGCGTGCCTTGACCATTATGGATCGTGATGTCCGGCGACGAGCCCCTCTGCGCTCGAGGTCCCAATTCCGATCGCTGCTGATGTTCGTGATGACCAGCCTGCTTGGTGCGTGCTTCTCGTCTTGCTCAATGATCTTCACAAATGTCCTCGTCTTTCTCTTCGGCGTGACGAATCCGACAATTGCAGCTGCCACAGCAGCAGAGGACCGAGTAGACCATCGAGACCTGTTCGATCCAGATTACCCTATTTTGGACAATCTCAACGACCTAGAGGAAGTTTTGAGCTGTGGAGACACCAGCATAGTCCGGAAACATATCTGGGAGCATCTGAAGAACTATGTTGAAAACTGGATGGACATTCCGATCAAGGACAGTACGCAATTCGAAAAAATCGTCCTTGCGGTGGATCACAACGAACTCCTAGAGTCGTACTCTCAAGATTAAGGGTAGGTTAAAGGTGCTTTTCTTGCCGCTTTTTATGCCTCTCCTAAGGGGGAAAGGCATAACAAGCGGGGTAAGCGAGCACCAAAAGTCTACCTCTAACAAGAGTGCGGCTTTGGCATGCTGGTCCTGCTTTTAGGCTGTCTCCGATCGTTGGATTACAATCATGGAAGCGATGCCGCACTACACTTCTACAAGTTCGCCAGGTTACGTCTTTTGCCGGCTTTGAGGCACCTCGCTGCCAGCGGAGTGGAAAATCAACAGAAAATCGACGAAGCGGGTTGGAAAGGGTTGCTGGAAAACGAGGACGCAAGAATAGAGGACGAGCTAGTTCCATACGGACCTATGCTAGGATGGGACCATGAATTTCAAGGAGACTTCTATGCTGAAGGAGAAGAACAACGTCAGCTTCAAGGCCAACATGAAGGAAAGAAGAAATATCCCTGTGCCCACCACAATTTGAAAATCTACCTCTACGATTTGCCAGATCTGACAACAGGACCTTTGCATTGTCATCATGGACAGTGGGGTGTGGAAGCCTTGATTCCTGAGTGGATACGTCATAGTGAGTGCGCAACAGAGGACCCTGAAGAGGCAGACTTTTTCTTAGTGCCTTGGTACACATGGTGTCAGAGGATGGTGGTGCCATTGAATTTATGGTTGCTGGTGGACTATTATTATTATTAAAATTAATAGAGCAGAATTATCCGCTTTTAAAGGAGCAAACAAGGTATTCACCGGTCTTCATCACTTCTGTTGGCAACATTTCCTTCTAACCTCCCGCTCCGACGGCGAAATCGATGCTGTCTACGTCCAGATGATGAAGGACAAAAGGTTGAAGTATTTCGATAGGTACGAAGGAGCGGACCATATATTCTTGATGTCCGATCAGGGTTGGATTTTCTGGACCTCATGGCGTCAATACGTACCCCATTCGATAGTTTTGACGACTGAGGCGTTTACGCCTAATTGCGGACGACCCTGCTTTCAGCCGTGGCATGATATCATGTTATGAAGGCGTTGAAGAGTTATCAGGACTGTTACTCACTGTTATGAAGGTGAAGAGTTTCTGAAAGTTCCATTTCCATATTCAGCCTCAGTTATCACTGTAGCAAGTTCCATTTCCATCCTGAGTCTCAGAAAGAAGCACAAAGTTGTCCTCACCTCTCATGATCATCGATCTTCTAATCCCAATCCCAGGCCACACCGACTACTTCCGCGCCAGACGGATGCGCAGCTTTGACCTCCCGACTGAGCAAAGACCTTTGCTCTTCAACTTCCACGGACGTCATGCTTACATACCCAAGGTCCTCGGAGCTGCAAATTACGCGGCGAACACTCTACGGCGTGCATTGGTAGATATCTTCGGCGAGCCAGAACAAGAACAAGCCGACGCTGAGAGTGTGAATCAAAGAACAGGAAGGTCGGATGATCCACCAATGCATCTCGAGGATGTACCTCCAAACGGCTACAACGCTTCCAATCTCATCCATCCAGACCATAATCCGCAACATTGGATGGGCAGAGTTAGTGTTGGAGGTTTTACGGATGACTTCTTCGAGAGGATGGGGGCTTCGCATTTCTGCCTAGTGCCACACGGGAACACCAGTTGGACCAATCACTTGTACAACGCCTTTTTTGCGGGATGTATACCAGTGATATTGAGCGACAACATGGAAGTGCCGTTTGAGGATTTGCTGGATTGGACGAAGTTTTCCATGAAGTGGACGCAGGAAAATGTTTATGATGGATGGCGGAGTAGCACTCTCCAACTAAGTTACTTTATATTGTTCCTTTCCACGATGTTGTGTGCTCATGATCTAAAGAGCAGCAGATTAATAGATAGAAATGCTTTCTTCATCTACATCTCCTCTTTCTTTTGGCTTGAACATCCTACCCACCTCGCTGTTCTCCGTTCATCCCTCCTCTTCGTCTCTCTTCTACGATTTGCGAAAGGTGCGCGCACAAGATATCGTCCGCATGAAACAGGAGGTGAAGGCGCATCAGTGCTGGTTCGATTACTCTCTTCGTGGTGACCGAGATTGCTCTCCGTATCAAGCAATCATGCGAGTGTTATGAATCTGATCTGAATCTTGATCTACTTCGGTCACTAAAAGTTGTTCTTTACGTCGTTGAATCTTGAACATCGATCGTACTTGTCCTATGCAACTAGCACACAACTTCGACGAACAAGTTCTACTGTTTCGGTACGAGGAATCAACATCATCCTCTAACGGATCTAGCGAAAAAAGCACGGATTGGGCCAAAACGATTTCATCACGGAAGCGATGACAAGTTTTGGGGGCCTACGCAACTCGGCGATCAGGAACACCCGATCAAAGTGCTGATGCAGAACTATCTACGAGCGGAGGAGCTGATCGTACCGGTTTGAGCAGAGGTGCAGGCGTGCTGCAGGTGGTGGAAGCATGACCATATCGAGAAGCAAAAAGCACAGGCCGCCAAATGTTGTACGTAGTCAACAGGTTTTTTTTTGCATGCACCACGGGGTTAGTAGTCTAAATTACTTTCAATTTGTGATTTGATGCACCCGGATCATGTGACGATCTCTATTTCATTTCCAACACTTTACGTTTTCGCGTTTGCAGAGATGCAACATTTACACTGAACTTTCCGAACAGATTGAACATCACTACTAAGTAGAACATCACGCAATACATGGCACGGATCGCTAAAATGTGCGTACAGCATGATGTGTTGTCGGCAACCGTTCTTGTCAAAAGTTCGCTTCGACGAGGTTGTAGTTCTTCTACCCGCTGCTCAGCACGTCGCTTGATCTTGATGTCATCAATTCTCGTGTTGTCAAGTCACATACACATTTTACCAGGGAGAAAACGAAGATAACAAAACACCATGTTCTTGACGCGTCTCCCCGTTCTCATTTCGTTGCCGCTCCTCTGGAGCTTTGGTTTTCCGCCAGCACTGGCATCAAGCGGCACGGACGCCTTAACCCCTGAACTAGGTGGTCTCCTAGGCCGATTTCTGAACTGTGACCATGATCCCTATTGGCGTGAGTTCCGAAATATGCTGCAAAGATCAAAAGTGGGCGTGTTTGATCCGGGGATACTGGGATCCGTCTACCACATGTGGAGGAAGTGGAACGGCTGGGTCGATTTCTTAGAGGAAAAGCAGATGTGGGGACATGTCAAATTGTTCTTCACCGCGGATACGGGCGAAGAGGAGGCGGGAGCAGGAGTGGACGGCAGTCGTGATGTGGAGGTATGAAACGGATCTTAATCTGGGATGAGAGTTTATACTGTAGTTTATCTGGGATGATGATTATCGTGTAGTACTATTGTGCCCTAGGATTTTTACTCATCCTGTTGTCGTGCTGGTCTTGTTGAGTACAATCATAACAAATTAATTCGTACTGTTTGGCTATAATGTCTGCGGAGTGGTCAAGAAGAGGAGGCACGACGTGGACCAGTGCCTGAAGGCTTCACGATGAAGCGGATCGAGAACTACCAGCAGTTGATTGACGTCATCACTTACGCCCAACATCAAAACCTGTTTCAGACAAGGTTTACCGACTTCTCCGAACAGAATATACGCGTTTATCCTGCTACTGAGGATGACGAACAGAACGAGCAGAAAAGTCTTCAGACAAGAGGAGAATTATGGGTCGTGTAGGAAGTTCATCATCTCCAAATGAGTCATCTGAGAGAGAGAAAAAGACAAGAGGAAAAAGGGGCCCAGATGATCCCTGGGATGAATTCCCGATACCTCTAAGAGAAGACGAAGATCCGCTTGATGAGTACAATCGGGGTTTCACGTTGCAGGAAGCATCGCACGACTTCGAGGCAAAGATGCAGATTATCCGTAAACAGCTTGAGGACTTGCCTTTGAGAACCGATGAAGAACCTCCAGAGGAGTTGTTGGAGATCATATCGGATCCAGAGAGAACTTACCTATTCGCTGAGGAACGAGCTAGAGAACGCGCTTTATTTGGTGACGTTTCGGCTTTTCAAGCGTTTTTGCGGTGTCCCGTAGGGTACATGATCACGCACTACGTGGTGATGACAGTCCAGCGTGTCCGAGGGGAGCCGAGTAGTGATTATGGATTCCAGTAGCATATCAACCTAGAGGTGGTAGAGCTGCGCAAGTAGAATAGAAGTAAATGATGATGACATCGATCCTATCACTATCTCGAATTATACTAAGATAATTAAGGTGCTTGGACAGATTCTTACTCCATTGATCACTTCTATGCAGCGTGCTCTAATCCCAAGAACTCGATCTCTTCTGGCGAAACCATATGCGCATCATGAACTCCTTGCAGGGCTGGCCAGGTTTTAGTTTGGACTTTCTTGACACCGGCAGTTGGGGCAGACCACTCGCGAGTAGCTTCGATATGTTTGTCAATGTCAAGAAAGTAGTGTCATTGGACGAGGACGGTGAAGTGGGAACTGATGTGGATGCACCACTTCCAGCAAGTGCTCGCGAGTTTTTTCAAACCTACGAACATTTCTTTGAGCAGAAACCCGTGGTGTGGGATGTTTTCGATGCCGGCGTGGCGGGCTCTTCTGAAGTGGCAGTGGCCGACGTGTCTCCTGCTGAAGCTAATCATGTTCCCTACCGACCACGATGGCTTGAGATCTTGAGTAAAAACCTTTTCGTCAAGATTCTGGTGTCCTTTTTCAACTCAAAAGCAGAAGAGCCGGAGCTGAAGATGTGGGGAGATTTCCAAGGTTCAGGTGAGCATGCGCATTCTGTACTGGCGTATTTTCAACGATGGACATCAAGGGGAACATCATCAAGAACAGAAGTGGAAGTTGTAGGCGCTGATGAAACTTCAAAAAGGGCGACTCTTTCGTTGCGTCACACTGGTAACGATTTGCTGCTGCAGACTCTTTTCCGCAACTCCGCTTCGCTGTTGGGAGTTTCTGAGGAAAGTCTTCGCTGGAAAATGCTAGCGAGGTACATAGAGAACGCTCTAGTACCAAAAGAAACAACTACAATACCGTTTTCTTCAGCTTCAGCCACAACAACTTCTCCCTACTATGGAAGACTCCTTGCCTTAACATCTTCACCACCAGTTTTTGATCTCCACTTCGAGTCCACTTTCCAAACCTTAGAACATACACCCATCCGCATCTGTGCCTTTGGAGAACATGGACCTACGAATATGGACTACGTTTCATCCATAATTGCAGCACTCACGCCTATTGAGCAGGAAGAAATAAAGTACATGCACAATCTTCAACCAAGCGGTGGAGGATCACGAAAACGTGGAGATGATAGAGCAAATGTAGAAGTTGAGCACTATTTCTCGCATCGCTGGAACCTGAAAGACACAGCCCAAGGCGACGGTATGCACATCCGTGTCAGCTGGCTGGAGTTTTGGGGTATGCCATTGACCAAATCTCAAGGCAACAAACATCACGTTGGTACTGGACCGAAGCTCGACAAGTTTTTTGGTTCAGTAAAAGACGCTGACTTCGGAAGAAAGGATGTCGATTACGAGCGAACAGAGCCTTGGACACTGTCGGAAGCTGTGACGGCATTGGTAGAATACCTGGCGCAAGACGAGTTCTACACTAGTGCGGACGTCTTGGTGGGCTGCGAACCTTTTTGGCTGTGTCCGGTGCTGCACGAAGTCGGGCGGATTTTGAGCAGTGGACCGAGGAATGAATGGGGTGGTGTTAGCGAATGGTATAGGATAGGAAAAGAGAATGAACGCCTACTTCAGGAAGAAACTGAAAACGCAGTAGCTACCAGTTTTTACCAGCACACACCACTTCTCCTTCCCCGCCTCAACATGTGTCCCATGTTCCTTTTCAGAGGTCATTTCAAGGATGAAGAAGGGCAAGAAGGAAGTAGTACTGCAGACATCTACCGCATGATGAAGCGCATGTTGGAGGACGGCGCACCTCTCTCATCCGCTTGTCGCATCTCCGCTGAGATGTTCAGCACGCAATTCAAGAAGGAAATTCCCTATGTGCCCTTCTTAGGACTACATACAGCACCGGCGGTTTATGATCGAGGCGGAAAACGCGGAAGCGAGATCTTGGTTTTCCGAACCTTTTTGCCGATCATACACACTTTCTTGCACATTTTGAACATGTTCCAAGCGCATTTCCGAAATGACGCTGTTGGAGGTGGAGAATCTCCAATCATCGATGGCAGTGGTTTTCATCCAGCAGAACGAGACATCCACAAATTTCTTGCTGCACATCAAAGTAGCGATGATGAGGAGGGGACTTTCTCTTTCTCGCATGATGACCTACTGGTCAATTCAATGCCACCAACACCTCTTCCTCTTCGGTCTTCCTCTGTTCCAGAAGATGGCACCACTAGATTTGATCTCCACCCTCGCCAATTCGTTACGATGAATAGTGGAGAGAATTACCCCTACCAAGCAATCGCCAATTACGCAGCTGTCGTTCTGCTACCGCACGTCCCCAATGCACTCCGTTTGTCCGACATGCAGGCAATGGCTGTCCCCGTTCTTGTACCGGCAGAGCCCTATATTCACAAGATAGTGTGGCCATTTGCTGGCCCATATTGCGGTAGAACCTCACCTGAGGAAATAGTGCGGGCTATCCCAGGGAAAATGGAGGAGAGGTTTCAGTTTGTTTCTTCCGAACTGCAAGAAGACGCAATAGCTGCAAAAGACAACAATTATCTTCCCGATAACTACCCTCGGACAACGACAAACAACATCACCACACTCTTCGATGCCGCACGTTTAGCACCACAGCATCCTTATTCTCCTTTCGACTTTCAGAGTACTGCAGAATTGCTGTATGAGCGCTTCCATCATGACCGTCGCTACTGGCTACGCTTCACAGAATGGGCCGAAAGGGGTCACTTGCTGGTCAAATTTATTATGGCCTATGTCGTCGGGGTCGGTGTTGATGTTGTGATGCTTAAAATTTTCATCCTACAGTACTCAGTCGATGACATTGCATTAGCATTTTCTGCACCCTTTCTTTGTTGTTTTCAAAGTTTTTTCTAGTACTGTTGTAATATTATCTGTACCGGACGACCACCATAGCTTGAGCTTCTACCTCCTCCTCACACGACCGCTGCTTTCTAATTCCCGCAGCGTCCGTCATCTCTATTTTCTAGGGATGACACTGAGCGACGCCGATTTTGACGACTACAGCGCAAGGATGAGGGAGGATCAGGAGGCGCGAAGGACAGAGGCTTTAGGATTCTGGCGCTTTGCTGTCAGGAGTGCGATTTTTAGGAGGTCCATTTGATAGGAGTTGAACTCTAACTTTGATCTGTATCATTTACTGAGATATTACAACCGCTACCAACAGTACCACCACGAGAATACTTGATAATTACACTTCTTACAAGTAGATGATCAAGAACATGGAGACAGGTACATCCTACGAAGAATCACTGCGCAGATGGCTCAAAAACGAAAATGGAAAGTGAAAATCACAAATTGAAATCGGCACAACAAGCCCATTCCCATGATCTTACTACAACGTCAGTTGTTGTTGTTGTAGTTGCTCTGCCGGAAGTGGAATCTTGTTCGAGGTTGTGATCGATCCGAAAAAGGTGTCGAACTGAAATTTTCTGCTATGGCACAACAAAATCTGACGAGGCGATCGGCTCTGGTATCCTCTTCATGTCAGAAGGTTCTCACTGCCTATTGGTCCGCAACGGTATGTGATCGTCTGCTCTTGGCAAGTACTTGTTGGAGGTGACGTCTCAGTTGCAGCAGTCCTAGTTCTTTCATCTCTTGGTCAATTTTTTGAGCATGCAGATCCCTGTAAGTAAAAAGCAACATCTACGTCAATATTAACAGCGTATGATTCATTCCCTTTCTTCAACAGGATCACGGCCAAAATAATGAAAAATCAGTATCTAAATCAGCGAGGCAAGCGATTCATGGTAAAAAGCTGTCACCTCAGGAACAAACATGACTAATTCTGATCCACAACGACCGCTTTTTTGATGTGATTCTTTTTCTCTTGATCAATAAGAATGGCAGACGAAGGTCTCGAAGTTGAATTCGAGGGAGACGAGGGGCCCCGCGCTCCGGCCTCTGGTTCTCCCAATACTTCTAGTGCACCACTGACTGGTACTGCTGGTACCGGTGCCGCAGGAGGTGCAGCAAGCGACGACAAGCCCACTGAGGGAGCATCACCAGGAGAAGGTGGTGCAAATGGAAGCGCGGCCGAGGGTGCACCAGCAGGTGGAGGTGGTAGGACGAGTCTTGGTGGAGCTAACAAGGTTGCGTCTGGCAGTACTACAGCAGCTGCTCAAAACCAAGAAACTGCAACTTCTGACACCTCTGCTCCTTCAAGTGCCTCTACCAGCGGCTGGACGACCTTGTTCGTAACCGGCATAGACCCAGACGAAGACGAGGATATATGGAAGGGCAAAGTCAGTGGCTATGGAGGCGTATCCAGTGATGAAATTAAGGTGTTGAATTTTCCAGAAGGTGAGGAAGATACAGATAAAGAATGCACTTTGAGTTTCCCAACGCCTGAAGCAGCAGAAAAATGCAAAACCGTATTGGAGAACAAAGGATTGAGGATAAGGTATTGTTCTATAATTACCATACGCATACGAGTTGAAGATGAAGAAAAGGATTTGAAGAAACTGAATTAGGAATCAACTAGCTTTGACAATTATGAATCAAGATCAACTATGACTAGACACTTGGACTTGCACTTCCTTCTTATCATTCTGATTACAGGCTAGCATCTGGCCCACCAACTGGCGGGACCACTGTGGTTAAGCGAAGCGGCGGCAGTCGTATCGATCAGCCTTTAGATAACCTGGTGCAGGAATCAAAGCGAAGAAGGCCAAACGAATACGAGTATGGCAATGGAGCTGGCAAAGGTGGAAATGGAAAAACCGGCGCCTGGAGTGGAGCTGGCGGATACAGCAATAACGCTCCTTATGGTCAGCAGCAGTGGGGGCACCAGGGTAATTATCAACAACCAGCATGGGGCCAGGCACCTGGAGGAGGCGGTTATGGACCTGTGTATAGCAAAAGTGGCGCAGCAGCGGAGGGACCTTATGATATGGGTAGCTACAACTTACTTACTTGCGATGCAGCAGAAGATTTCAACTGGCAAATTTGCTTTCTACAACAAAGAAACTTTTCCTGCATTTTTTATTCTCAGAATCTTTTCTCAAAATGAAAATCCCTTCTCTATAGGTAAAAAAGGAAAAGGCAAGGACGGCAAAAAGGGAAAATCAAAAGAGCCGGCTTACCTAGATCCAAACCTACCGCAGTGGCTGGCCATGAAAAAGTACTAGAAGACGAAATTTATTGAACACCCTGTTGTTTGACAAGTAGTAACAGTGTCTACTCGTAGTTCCACCAGCAGAATGCACATGCATAACACATAATTCTTATTCTTGTTGTTGTTTCCCAAAAGCGATCAGTTTTAGTCTGGCTTTTTGAAACTACATCAACACGAATACACCACAGCTACGGCAGCGAAGTTGATATTCAGAAGGGGAAGAACGCAGCTTTGCGTAAAGGTCGTGAGCAATTTTACGAAGGCAAGCGTGGTGACAAAGGTTTGACTCAACAGGATGGCAAGGGTGCTTCTCCTGCTCTCGGTCCTTCTAAGAAGCGACCCGACTATGTTGATGCAGCAGCAGCTATACCGCAGAATCACGTCGATCCAGAAAGTGGCGCAGAAATCAAGCGAGCTAGCAACAAAGCTGCATTGTATGCTTTACCGGAAGAGCCAGTCAGCAAGTGGCACCCCGACTTGCCACTAGACAAGCAGCTAGTGGACTACCTGAATATGAAGCGTCATGGAAACTTGAATAGGTACAACTACTTGCTGTTCTTTGTCTAATATCTCAGAATCAAATGTGCTTGCCGACCCATGGATGTTCGACGCTATCTCATTTGCATGTTGCTACAGCAAAGCTGATCGAATTGGAATTTCGAACACTCATAATTTCTGAAGAATGAAGAAGACACGTCGCTCTACTTCATCATCAACCCTTAGGGCAGTCTGCACTGAACTTTGTGCGAGATTAATTGTATTGCGTCGTATTGTATTGTATCAGTCTATCCCCAGGTATCTCGTCATCTCCGGTCTCCCAGATCGAATGATGAACTGTAAGACTATTCGATCTGAGTTTGACTGGATTTTGGCGGATGGCGCGTCTGCAGTTTTATCCATAGAATTGCACACGATGATGTCGAAAGATGTAGCACACCTTAGTATGCGCGATCTCCAGTCTGCTCAGCAATTGAAGGCCTTTTGCGACGAAAAAGCACTACAAGGGCAAACTGCGGGTCTAGGTGGCTTGAACTCCATATTTGCAAGTGTCCGGGTGGCGCATGCAGCACCGAGGAAAGCGGGACGTACTTATTCATGAATGCCGCTTGTTTTCCTGTATCTTGTAATAGTTGCATTATACTGGATTTTCCGCTATTGATCAATAACATCGGAAAGTCATAAGCTACATCCTCGGTGAACATCCTATCGCATCAACATGATTTTCTTCGCTCCACAGATACACTCTGGCTCGGCAACCTTCCTGTCGACTATAGCGATACCCCTTGGTTTCTCGGACCGCTGCGCAAATTGCTTGAACGATTTGGCCCTCTAGCACCACAGGCTGAGAAGAAAGAAAAGCGACCTTGGTGGGAAACCGAGGAGGACGAGGCTGAACGCTTGGCGCAAGAGAAGGAGGCTGAACGCTTGGCACAAGAAGAGAAAGCGGCCGGAACAGCTAGCCCAGGTGTCAAGAAGGTTGTTCTCACTGCAGCAAAAGACATCCGCAACAGATTAAGTCCTGTGAAGGAGCCAGAGCCAATGCCTGACGAGAAGAAGACTGGATCAGAAGAAGCAGGCGCGGATAAAAAAGAAGGGGAGAAAAACGAAGATGGTGGTCACGCTGGGGAGAAAAAAGAGGGAGAAGATAAGGAAAAGAAAACTGAAGAAGGTGAAGGTGAGAAGAAAAGTGATGCAGCAGAAAAGATGAAGGAGGCTACAGCATCAGCAGATGCAGAGAAAAAGCCTGAGGAAGCACAAAAAACTGAAGATGGAAAGCCAGCAGAAACAGCCAAGGTTCCGGAGAAGGACGGTGAAGCTGAAAAGGCTAAGACAGAGACCGAAAAAGCAGAAGGTGCGGATGCATCGGTTGATGCGGCTAAGGCCGAGGGTGCTGCTACCGAAGAAAAACCTAGTCCAGCACAACCGCCAAAGCCTCCAGTCTACGTGTCCTACGTGCCGTTGAAGAACTGCTGCTTCGGTACTGACTTGATACTTGTTTCATACTGATCATGTACAGAACGAAGAGGAACATAACCATTATGGAAAACACAACATGTACAACTACTTACCTCGCGCTAGGCACATTCATTCATTCATTCATTCATACCACCAGCACCATCAACACCAGCAACTGGTGCACAATATAAGTCCTCAGATCGACAAAAATCATTAAACTCAAACATCACATCAGTGACTTTCGTGAACGTGGCGGACGCCGTCAAGGCCCGTAATCACATCTACGCGCTCGCCTTGCCATCACAACATGGTATTTGCTACCTCAACGTCGATTTCGTTGAGGAGGAGGACAACGAAGAGGTCGAAGCTACGACAAGTGTAACCGCAAGTGTACTTCTCAATGGTACCACGAGCACCTCCATGGTTGGAAGTAGCAAGGTCGTCTTGCCTCTGGGCCAGGCTCCCGGCAGCGTCCTAGGCGGTCTAGGTGGACAGCAACATCTAGTCACAGCCGGTCTCGGTGGTGCAAGTCTCGCTGGCGCAGCAGCGGGATCGGTGGCAGGCAGCGCCAGTTTGGTATTTGCTAATGGCAGCGTTGCAGGAGAGAGCATCGTGGAGACGAGAAGGAAACGAAGCCGAACACCCAAAAGGTAAGATTCTTTACAACTAGTGTAGATTCTAATGCCTAGTTGTAACTACATGAACTCAACCTCCATGAGCTGCATGAGCATTTCGATTTCGACTTCAGTTCTTTTTCCTCGTCAAAGATGAATCTACGTTCATTGTATGACATTGACATTCCCCTCTCCACGACAGGCGCGACAAAACCGGAGTTAGCAAGCGAGATGCAAAGGAGGCTCGCGAAGAACGCAGGGCTCGTGGCGATAAGAAAGACCGCGTCAAAGGAGAAAAGAAAGCGAAGGACGGCCTCGCGAAGACATCAAGTAAAGCTGAAAAAGATAGACGTGACCGCACTAAGGATGGCAAGGAAAGAGACACAGATGTTGGAAAGAAAGTGGATACTAGTGCCAAAGTAGTAGTAGTAGATGCTAGTGCAGCTGCTAGCAAACAAGATCCTTCTAGTTCTACATCAGCAGGAGCTAAGGATGCCAAGCAAGCGGCCGCAGAAGGAGCAGCACCAGTATCAGGATCGGACTCTGCAGCAGCGAGCGGTGCTCAACCTACTTCGACGACCTTGTCACTCTACAAGATGTCTGAGTTCTGCTGTAAAGTGAAAGCGACGCTGGTCCAAGGATCATCGACGAAGGTCAACTTTGAAACGAAAAAAATGGAGATTGATCAGCGAACCAAGTTGGAGCATCTGGTGACGCATCAAGGGAAGCATACAGCGAAGTACTCCATCTTTAGCGTGCGAGCAAAGGATCGCGCAGATATTCCGGCATTCAACGATTTGGTAACCTACTTCTCGGAGAGGAACAGGGTACCTTTTACAAATACTTCGATCATGTCTAATAATATCCTTGTGGTCAACATGATCATGATCATTTTTTGCATTTTATAATATCCTTGTGGTCATGATCATGATCATTTTTTGCATTTTATTTCCATCTGTTATTTTTTCTTACTCAGCCTCATCTGAAGTAGACCTCTGTTTCAAGAACCTTTATTTATGTGTCTCTCTCTTACTCTCACATGATTCCTGCCCAGGAACAATGTATACTTTTTCTCCCAAGAACATCTACATCGCTACAGGTCGGTCTCGTCCAAGGCACCAAGAGTCACTTTTACCTTGTTCCGGCAAAGAATGACAAATTCTTGGATAAGTTGCCCTTCTTGGACGACGCTTCAAGAGCTGAAGCATCAGAGTCGGCGTTTTTGCTTATTCAGCTACCTGCCAAACCGAAAGCGGGTGATGCGGGCGCCGGAGCATAATGTGAAGCGCATGGAACGGGCGAATAAGTACTTATGATCACGTCGGACAAGCCGCTGCTTCCCCCAAGCGGTGGTTGAACTAGAAGATGAGAAATATCTTGTCGCCATCGCTCGGCTTCAGAAGACTGGAACGCGCAGAGAATTCATCTTGTTGTTCCTGTTGTAAAATCTAAAGCTTAAGATTTATGATTGGATCAATAACCAACAACTTTAATCTTACGCGTGTTTCCATGCTGTGTCCCCTGTATGATCCATGTTCTTCTACTAGTCGTATTTTTTGCGTGCCTTCGAGCATGGAATCAAGTAGGAGAAGACGAAATTCCATCTAAAGAAGTCACAGCACCTTGTGATGTGTGAGGACAGACGATTACTAAGGTTAGAATTAACATTATCTTCAGTAAAAAAATTAGAATAAATATAAGGATTATATGATTGTGATTATTCATGATCTTGGTCAATAATACGATTAGGGTATTGGAGAGAGACGGAATTCTCTCTGCCAACATGGTGGCATTTCCTGCGAAGAATGCCGTCTCCTCCAAGATGAGAATCCACACGAAGAACTAGCTCCTAGACAACTAGGAGTCGTATCATATGAAGAATGTCATTCATATTTCATTTCCTCTCCCCAATGGATTTGATGGAAGCTGTCTCCCCTCATGTTGACTATGGCCGCCTCATAATGTTGGCTACATGTGAAGCGCAACTTCATGATGATGTAGCTTCATGATGACTTTTTTTTTCGAAATCGATCATGGTCATACTAACGACTACGCAGGAGCTGTCACAACCACCCAGGAGTTGTCACAACTGCTGGACAAGGACATTTTTTTGTGGAAGTAGAAATACAGTAGAAACAGCTGTGGTCTAGTGTTTTTTTTGTTGGTGCCTGAGAGTTCTTGAGAGATGATGGAGTACATCCAGACGCTTCTGCACGCTTCTTACAAAATACCAGCGCGTGTTATCGAGTGCATTGCTGTTGAGAGAACCGCATGGCGTATGGAACGATAACGATTCTTATGTTGAGGATAAATTAACACTGCTATTTGAAACACGACTGCTATTTGAAAAAAAATAGTGTCTGTTGTTTTACAAAAATCTATTGATTCAGTACCTACTCGTACTTCTACATTTCATCTTGAAGATAATTGCTGCGTAGACCTACATTCAGAAAAGAGATTCTCTCGCATTTTTGGGCACGACGTAAAAAATGGTGCTCTCTCGCGTCGTTGCCTCTCGCGGTTTGCGGCTCGGAAGCGGCTCCCGCGTCTTATCCTCGGTATTTACGCTTTGCGTTTGCTTTCGTTCTGAGCCTCATTCGTTCTGGGCCTTCCAGTTCTGTTCAGCTCCTTTTTATTCACGCTTCTCTTTACTTAGGTGGTAAATTCTAGCTGCCACAACAGGTCCGTTCCTCTATCTCGCAATCACGTGGGATTGCGAGTAGCGCTGCGCGCCTGCAGGCAGCGAAGGTGAGTCCTGCTGAATTGACGAAAATTCTCTCGGAGCGCATTGAGAAATTTTCAGATGCTGCAAATGTCGAGGAAGTTGGTCGTGTCCTCAACGTGGGAGACGGAATCGCCCGTGTCTATGGGTTGAGAAATGTCAAGGCGGGTAAGCATTTTGTCTTATGAATTTACGATGAACTACAAAGTTCTCATGATCGTGTGATCTCGATATGCAAATGGCCAGCTAATTTTTCTTATTTTCATAAAGTTAGCGTTGTAGATTTCTTCGTGCACCATTTCTTAGCACGAAGCCAAAGTATTCGGGGCAACTATCAGGCGCACTAGTTGCGGGTTCTGCTCGAAAAAGGAGAAATACAAGATCAACAGGCAACAACTTGAGCACATCTTCTTGATAGGAAAAGCAGATCAAGGCACTTGCAATGTGGGCGCAGGAGGAGGATTCGACGAACTACAAGAACTTCTCTTTGGACGAGGATAATAGTTGCAGCTTCTGCGCTTACAACAAGTCTGCGGCAGGGCGAGTGGTATCTAGAATCACTTAATCGCAAGGACATCGCGCTTGCGGTTGCGACCGCAGGAAAAAAGGCACAGCTACGACTCGTTTTTTTGCCATACCAAGAATTTCAATCTTTGGCCACAAGTGCAGGAACACTTCATCAACTGGCTGGAACGTTTGAATCCGCCAAGAAGCACAATCGGATCAAAAAACTTTTAACATCACAAGAATTTCCACCACGTTTTCCAGACCTCACCAACAGATAGACGTAGAGCTTAACGCTGGCGCACCGAATCGTGGCACATCAACATCCTTTATTTCCGGCAACAATATCCGCTACAGCTCTTATTCCTCGATCCTGAAGAACAACATCCGGGGTCTCGAACTTCAACATCTTTTTTCCTCTCCACACCAATGCGTGGCACCTCCTACAAAAAACAATATCCTCAACCTTCCGCCGGCAGAGCAAGACCTCCAAAAGAACTGTAAAGTACCTCATCCTCATCTACGTTTTTTACCTCCTACACGTGACGACCAAAAATCATTTCCACCTGACAACGACAAACAGGTGAGATGGTTCAATTTGCCTCAGGAATTAAAGGCATGGCTTTGAATTTGGAGACGGATAATGTAGGTGTCGTCATTTTCGGTGATGATAGAGGTATTTCGGAGGGAGATAGCTGTGCCAGAACGCAAGAAATCGTGGATGTACCTATCGGACCGGAGTTGATGGGACGTGTCATCGATCCGCTGGGTACCGCCGTTATCTTTCTTTTCACTGGTCGTTCCTGTAATATTATGGTGCCTGCTACTTGCACGTAGTACGGTTGTTACAACTGTAGAAAAGTTGTGGCTCGGGTGGTTGTGGCTCTTGGTTTTCTTTTTGCTAGGCGTAGTAGTAGTTCGCATGATCGACGCAAGGGAACCATCGATTGATTGGAGTTGATACAACAAGAGCCCTTCCAGGTATCCCGATCGATGGAAAGGGACCGATTAACGCAAAGAGTAGGAGACGTGTCGAATTGAAGGCACCAGGCATTCTTCCACGCCAATCTGTGCACGAGCCAATGAGCACAGGTACACATCAGTAGTTAAGCATAGGTTTTAGAAAATTTAGATTTTTCGACGATTTTACATTTACTTACTTAATAGCTGTAAGGTGGACAATCTACAGCGAATATCAACATGCCGAGATACTACGTATATCAGTGTAGTTTATAGCACGCATGGTGCATGGAGTGCATAGAGTAGCACGCAGCGCATGGGGCGCAGAGCTTTAAGGGGCGCAAGAGGCTCCCCCTTTAGCTCCATGTGATCCATGCACTCCATGCCATGCGAACTGTGCAACCTTATATATTTCTCTGGTATATGCAGCTGCTCCTGTTGAATACCTGACGGTAGAAGTTTCGCGCGAGTTTATCCCACTAGTATCTGGCCATCCTGTCTCTTTCACCCTCTCTTTCATCCTCTCTCTATCAAAGGTATCAAAGCCGTGGATGCACTTATTCCGATTGGTCGTGGACAGCGTGAGTTGATTATTGGCGATCGCCAGACAGGAAAGACATCAATCGCGTCTGACTGCATTATCAATCAGAAAGAGGTAAACGCGGGACCAGACAAAAACAAGCACTTGAAATGCATCTACGTAGCAGTAGGACAGAAGAGGTACTTCCACTATAGTTGTTATGATTTCTACTGGTGGTCACTACTTCGACATAAACGTGTATCATGTGAATTTGACTTGTAATTCACTTACACTTATTTCACGGTTTTTACTACACCAGCTATTCTTTCAACATCTCCTCACACTTCTATTGAAACATAATTATAGGTCAACCGTTGCCCAACTCTACCGGATGCTGGAAAAATATGGGTGCTTGCACTACACGTGCATCGTCGCGGCTACCGCTAGTGACGCAGCACCACTCCAGTATCTGGCACCATTTTCAGGATGCGCTATCGGAGAGTACTTTCGAGATAATGGCGAGCACGCAGTGATCATGTACGACGATCTTTCAAAGCAGGCTGTTGCATACCGTCAGATGAGTCTGCTGCTCAGAAGGCCGCCAGGTATAGGATACTTGTTTTTGGTATCCTACGTACTACATCCATGATTTATTACCCTGATAGGTATCTTCATGAGGAACAACCAGCAGGATCGTTTTTACCGCAATATTGGTTGCAGTACTAACCCTGATAGCAGGCATTATGAGGAACCCGCAGGATCGTTTTTACCGCAATATTGCAGTAGCAGAACAAAATAGATTATCCTGTGCTCAAGGGGAACAACTTATAACCATTAATAGATTGCAGTAACATCAGAACAAAATACATAGATTAAATCCTGTGCAAAAATGTACCACCAGGTCGTGAGGCCTACCCCGGTGACGTTTTCTACCTCCATTCGCGATTGCTCGAGCGCGCAGCAAAGATGAACGAGAAGACGCATGGCGGTGGCAGTCTTACTTCTCTCCCAGTCATCGAGACACAGGCAGGTGATGTCTCAGCATACATCCCGACAAACGTGATTTCTATCACTGATGGGCAGATCTTCCTGCAAACAGAGCTGTTCCATAAGGGTCAGCGACCAGCGGTCGATGTTGGTCTTTCCGTGTCTCGAGTCGGAAAGGCAGCGCAGACCAAGGCGATGAAGGATGTTACAGGTAATACAGTTACAGATGATGTACAATAATACAGATGATGATGATGATGAAGTAATACAGTTAGACAGGTAATACAGTTACAGGTAACACAGCTACAGGTAACACAGTTACAGGTAACACAGTTACAGGTAATACAGTTACAGGTAATACAGTTACAGGTAATACAGTTGAGTATCACGAGGATGAAGATAGATCATTCTGATTCATCTCATTGTGCGATCTGCTGGCGCTTTTCCTCATCACCTTGCAGTTCTGAAGAAAAGCTCCAAGAGCGAGTTGAACTTGGAGAGACGACGAAAGCAACAAGTTCATACAGAACCTCGAAGATACAACATTCGCAACAACAAACGCACCGAACAACATTATATTCCAGGTTCCATGAAACTCGAGCTTGCTCAGTATCGTGAGGTCGCAGCATTTGCCCAGTTCGGATCAGACTTGGATGCTGCCACGCAACAACAGCTTCTTCGAGGCGGAGTCTTGATGGAGTTGTTGAAGCAGAAGCTTTTTGTCCCCATGCCGATGCAAGATATGGTAATTTGTGACTGGAGGTTTTTAACGCAGTTCCATTTTCATTTTAATTTTTTTTTCTACACATTCGCCTTGTGCGTTTTATGAGCTTGTGAGATGAGAGACGCTAGTGTTGGTGCTCACCTGTTCAACGTGCTCAACAAGATCAGGATCATGGGGCTCCTTTCTACACCGTTTATTTTCATTATGATTGGTCTTCTTCTTCATCATCTTGTAGTGGTTCTTCTAGCAGATATCGTAAGTACCCACTAGCGATTTCAGGTGTAGTCTTGATAGCATTGGAGATTGTGGGCAAGACTGTGAGTGAGAGATGAGGAGTCAGAAAAATGTCGCGTGGAGAGGGTGACTGAAAAGTTCAAACTTATAAACTTGAAGATGTGGTGGATATCCCACAGAAACAAGGTAAATAAAATCATACACCATAATATCTCTCTCCACCTACTCGTCCCTCCTTTGTTCACAGGTCCTCACCCTCTTCTCTGGTTCCGCAGGATACTTGGACAAGGTCCCATTGAAGAAGATTGGCGACTTCGAGAAAGCTTGGCTTGACTACATGAAGGGAAGTCATGGATACATCGTTGACGAAATCAAGAAGAGTGGAAAGTTTATGGCTATAATTGGGAGATAAGATGATTCATTCTCGTATAACAACTAAGTGACGAGTGTACTAGTTATATTTGTTCTTCTGCTACTTGTTGCTAGTTCCGAATGAGTTACCGTTATACACATTCACCTTCACGCTTTATTGCCCATGTAGGGGAGGGCATAGATGAACTGGAAATGCTGAAGTTTGTTGACCTGATTGATCGATGTGTACAAACTTCCTCTAATCACATCGGCAAGGAGACAGCAGACGCCGTTCACGCTGCTATGAAGACCTTTTTGTCCGAGACCGACTTCGAAGTCAAGGCAGCGGCTTAAACCCATGGACAGGAAGTTATCCTGGTTCTTTTCAACTCGACCAGCGCTAGTAGGGTAATGGCGGATTAGGCCGCTCAGCGGATTAGGCCGATCAGTGCCACTCGGCTGTAACGTTTCAATGATACAACTGAGAAGCAGTAAAGTAGTAGTACAAGTGAGGGAGTCTACTTCATCGAAGTTTTTTGTAGTGAATCACTATGAACTGGAAAGAGCAGTAGTAGTAGATACAAAGAAATACATTTTTTGTGATCAATGACGAGGAGGAGGACCATCTCCGCTACTAGAGCGTCGTCATCGACGTGATCAATATATACTCCCTGACGGTAATCTTGTTTCTTGTTTGATGATTTCTTATATACTTACATTTCCCTCTTTTACTTATTCTTACTGATGATACAACTTTCACGACACAGGCTTCGACCATCTGAAGCTTTGTCTATCGAACTTCAAGCAGTGTATTTTTCTTTTCTAGTCTATTTTACTTAGGAACAACACCAGTAAACAAGTCTACGTGTATTTATGCTGGGGGGCAAAGAACCTTTTTCATTTTCCTAGCATGTTCTGATGTAATTGCGATCGATGAAATTATTTCTTCTAGAATGGTAGTAGCTCGGTATGAACTTCTTGAGGTTGAGAGTGCAAATAGATCTGTAGTACTGTATGGTCACTGGTTCAATTGTGGGTTGGGATTGGAATTTCCAGGATCTTCGCTTGTTTTGAATGACAGATTACAGAATAAGTCCGAAAGTCAGACGCTAGTAGAAAAAAAGAATCAAAAGCGTACAACACCTCCGTCTGCCCTGGCGTTCCGCGCGGATCCGACTGGCTTAGTCGGCTGATATGTAGTTTTCGATGATCGGATGGGAAGATGGTCGACGTGATCCCTGCTTCGGCATGAAGATCTTCGAGACGGCTAGTTCTTATCTGCGACAGTGCTGGGCTAGAGATGCTGAGCAATAGGTGTCAGATCAAGAAAGACCGGAAATGGTCTGCGCGTGTGGACGGATCTAAGAACTGAGTCTGTGGTCTTCTAGGAATGAATGCGAATTGTGTTAGTTGTTCTCGCAATAGATCAAATGAGGTGACTGAGGGAACGACTATGAAAAATGCGAATTGTGTGCGATGAATTCGGTTCCGATCATACCTGCAAAAGATTGTCCCATACTGTTCGATCTACCCCGCAAGTGGAAGGTGTCGGTATTCCCACTGGTGTTCAGTTTCTGTAGATTTAGCGCATCGACTACACCTACACGAAGTATGTTTTATGAAGATGGTTTGGCTTCATTTGCTAGTACTTATTGCTAGTCTACTTCATCTTCTGAAACATCATGTGAAAAAAATTTCGACGATTTGTTGCAGGCAAACTTTATATTCCTAAAAGACCCAGCGAGCAGCGACCCAAACTTTCGGTTACTTCTGAATGTAATAAAGTACAACTCCTCATTCCGACTCACCTTTCAATTTCTGTTTTTTTCTTGTAGTCTTAGGTCCCTTTTTCTTTGTCTCTTCCTCGTCCAATTTGCTTTGTTGATTTTCCTTACAACTTTCTAATGTCAACGTGATTAGCCACGCTGATCAAGCACATGTCCCCTCATCATCTAGAGCCAAGCGACAATGTCATCTTCTTCATCTTCGGGGGGTGGCCGCAGGGGTTTACTCCCCCTGCCCCAGCGAGTGACAACATCACAGCATGGGGGTGCGACAAGTAAAGCAGCTGGAGTGCGACCAGGAGCTTCCTCGAGTTCTTCGAGCTATGGCCATGCGACGGTGTCAAATAACCCTTTCGCCTCTTCGTCACCATCCGGAGGTTTTGACGAACGATACGACCAGTTCAACGCAGATGCTGGAGCAAGCAGCAGATATCACGAGGCCGAACAACACGAGGATATCAAGAGTCCGAACACCGCTGCTGGAAGGAACATCCAGGATGAGCATCTCAGTCGGAGAGCCCATAAGAAACAGAATCGAGACGCACGAAAGGCAGCAAAGAGGTTCACGCAGCAGGAGCAAAACCTCCATACAGGTGGAAGCTACGGCCAGGCTGACGCGGAAGCAGGAGACGTTATTGTCCTGGACGATGAGGACGACCCCAGTGGCGTCGCTGCTCAGCCGGTGCAACCGAGAGGGCGCGGGCATCAGGTGCGAGGACGTGGTGGACGCATGGGTGGCATGAGAGCAGATAACGACGAGGAGGAAGATGATACCTATGTCCATGCAGCACCTCCAGGTGGTGAGAATTACCAGGCTCATGCTGACGAAAACAACTATGCGAATCAAGAAAGTGAAGATGCTGAGAAGAACGACGGCGAAAAGCAGCAAGATGACGATTTGGTCCTCGGCCGACAGGTTATCGCAATCACAGAGCCACTCGAACGGTTCCCCATGAAGCGACTGCAAGAGTATATCACCAATTTGCTCACAGAGATGATATCTTTGGCAGAGGATTCACCGATATACGAGTTCCCAGTGACGCTTTCGAACCACCAGCGACGCGAAATCCACATGACAGTGCAGAGCGGAGGCTTTCGAGAATGGATCCACCACGAATCCTTTGGTCAGCGCGATGTTGATCGATTCTTGGTTGTATGGTACGGAGCGAAGCAAGACCGGCATCTGATGATACAAGGATTGCACGCACGAAGGGCAAAGCAAATGGCGGAGCAAGGATACGAGTACAACGCTGCATGGGGAAGAGCGAATTGGCGTGGTGCTGGGCAACAACAGCCTGGCAACGCAATATCATCCGCTAAAGGAGCAGGAAAGAAGCAGAAGCCCGAAAAGAAACATGCCATCACTTCCGTGGCACAACAAGTCAAACTCAGTCTGGAGAAGGCGCAGCAAGTACCGAGCGAGACGTTCGCTGGAGGGACTACGGTCGTGAATGAAGGGAATCCGAAAGGCAGCAACATTCCAGTCACAGTTGGCTCTCAACAGGAGTCCAAAACCATATGGAGAAATCAGCACAGGGTCTTGCGGAAGGAGGTGTATTCGCATCTGGGAGGCGCAACTGGGCAAACCGTAGAAGACGCGCAAGCGGAAATCGGAGACATGCAGGACGATTACAGAATTGATCCAAAGTCTGGGGCCAAGGTGTTTGGGAAAGATGCAAGCTCCGCAGCTGAGGCTAGAGCAGACCTGCGCAAGCAATTGGATCCCACTGCTGTCGACTACTCCGCGAAGATGATGGACGGGGACGACGACGACAGTCCGAAGAGCAAGGCCGACGAGAAAGACAACTCCACGGCAGTAACTACTCTGAAGCGTCATTCTCTCGGCGAAGCCTACACGTTCCTTTTAGACGACATGGAGATAACGCACGCAGCGGACCTTGACTTAGACGACGATGACGGGCACTTGGATGTCTACTGCATGCCGACTCTAGTAGAGTCATCATTCGCGAAGGTTCTGGCCTACTACAACCTCAACTACGTGGACGAATACAAGCGGGAGGAAGCGAGGATAGCGTATCAACAATCTCGCGGTGCCAATCCCTGGAAGAACAATGCTTGGGGAGGTACATTTTTCTGATAAGTACTTACTTGGTTTCATGAGATGAGTTAGTTCAGTACTTGGTATCATCAGATAGAGATGAGTTAGTTCAGATAGAAACTTAAGTACATATACATATAGTACTTGGTATCATATCGATGAGCTCGTGAGTATGAGTTAGTTCAGATAACAGTAACTTTAACTGCTTTTACAACTTTTATCTTGACTCATAGACATGCTACCTGCTACGTCTAATCTAGTCTCATTGCATCTAAAGAAACATGTCAAACACACTTCCAGGTAACCAACAGGGCAACCACGAGCAAGAATGTGTCGCGCTCAAGGCTTCGCTTACCCAGGTCTTTGAGCGATACATCGAACAGCAAGGGTTCCTCACTTTTGGTTTCATTCAGTCCCAACTGGACAACGTCTGCTGGACCAGGCAACAGCAGCCTTGGCACATCCTCAACCTACCCCATGTTGGACCGCTCTTCAAGGGTCTCTTGCAGATTTCTTTCGTGGTCGACGCAACATGCCAACTGGCGTTTGGAGCGGCTCCTATGCTGACGATGCACGACTTGCAGCAGGCGATTGCGCGTAATCCGGCTCTGAAGGGGACTGAATCCTTAGAAGCATTAGGGAAACTGGAATTTCATCCTTTGGTAAGAAGAAATTTCCAACTGAATTTGCCATTGTCGGGAAGTGGTGGCGGTGGTAGTAGTGGTTCTTCTTCCAATACCAGAGGAGGCGGTGGAAAAAACGGCTACGGCGGAACATCTTCAAGCTCTAACGACAAGAACACTCCTGCTCTCGTCAGTCGGAATTATCCAGAGATTTCTACAGAACGCTTGCTTGGGTATCTGATCGCCACGATTCCAGAGGAATGGCAAGACCAAAACTACCGCAAACAAGCCTACAAACAACAAGCACAAGGCCAAGGTCAACAGGGAATCAGCAACAGTGCTTCTGCAGATCAATGGACCATTGAAATTGGGTTGAAGAAAGTTGCTTCGATTTTCAAAAGGACTAACTATCTCGAACTAGGTGTTTTTGTTCAACGACATGGATTGCTGCGGACGATCATGCGAAAGATGAAGACGAAGATCGACAAGCAGAGGGTGACGATTGAGGATGCGGTCGAACAAAAAAACTGGAAATTAGCAAAACTCGACCGCTCATTCGTCAAGGAGAATCAGCTATTGTCGAGAGTGGAAGGGGAAGTGGTACTTGAGCATTCAAACTGATAATTAGTCGATGAACAAATCTTACCTTGCCACGGCACCTTTTTCTCTGGGCTAGTTTTTGTGTTTGAGTATTGACAATAAATACCACGATGTCGAAGCGAATGCGAAGAAAGTACACAAAATCCAGCTTGTAGACACGTCAAGAACCGTATTGCATGAAAACGTCGTGACATACAAGTACATTGGTATTAGAAGCCAGCATTAGCAGTTTAGTGCGATCGATGTGTAGAGGAAACGACCTGTCCTGTAGACGACGACCTAAGCAAATAACCCTCAAGCGCTAGTATCCTCGTTACAAAATCCACACAGGTCGGCCTCTCCACCGTAATGCGATGGGAGCACGTCTTCCGCGCTTTCGAGCGCTGCGCAGGTTACGGGTTGCGAATCGAGTTTTGCGAATCCCTGTGTGCCAGAGATCTAGGCTTAGACTTGAGGAGAAGCTTCAAGGCTTTGCTGAACAACACGACGCCGAACGGCACCAGCAAGATGAACATCACCTCCACTAACCTTATCGAACAGAGTGACAAATTGATCGATCGGTTCATCAAACACAGTATTTCGCCACTGTTGTTTCTATCTTTAGCTAACCTGATCCCCTTAACGAAAGCAGCTGCCAAGAAGAAGCAACAGTCGGACCAAGTCTGGGGAAAAGCGAGTCTGCATCGCGCGGACAGCTTGAGAAGATTATACTTGAACCATGAGTTGAAAAAGATCGTTCTGGCTAAATTAGACATGTTTCCGAGAGTAAGCACCGATCTCTTGTACGTTTTGGGCGAAACTGAAAGAGCGTACCACGAATTCTTGAGGTGTCAATCGAACCAAGACGCGCCAGTAAGCGTTTTGGAGTACATAGCGCATGCGGGACCATTGAAAGTGCTAGTTGAGAAGCCTGGCGAATCTTCAGCTGGAGCGGCAAAAGAAGCTTCTTCTAGCTCTTCATCTTCTAAACAAGTAATATCCTCCATTGTAGAAGTCGGAAAAACCAAAGCTGAACTAGCGCAGAAACTGGGTAAGAAGCACGAGGCCGCTAGACCGAACACGACTGAGGTAATCGACCTCGTGGACGAAGAGGTTGGAGCTTTGGACGAAGAAACGCTGGCTTTGCTGGGAGGTGGCGCTCCTGCTAAGAAACCGAGTAGAGATTCGACCGGATCTGGTAACGGTAGAATCGAAATAAAAACGTTGAAGGAAATTTTGTTGGAAAAGCTGGCCGAATATGCTGCAAGAGTGGGAGGAACGAAGGTGAACAAGGCTATAGCTACTGGATCGCCATCTCCATCTTCTACCTCCCTTGAGCGAGGAGATGCTCAACATTTTGAAGTAGATGGTCTTACCCTGACCGCCACGGCGAAAGCGCAGGCAGCAGTAGCTCTGAATCGGACAATGTCAAAAGCAGCTGGTTTGCTCACCAAGGCAGCGTCCAAGACGGCTGTTGGAGGAACAAGCACCTCCGCATCAGGCAGTACCCCAGCTGCACCGAAGGCTCCAGGGCAAAGCACCAGTTTAAGTGGTCCACCTCCTGCGCAGCCGGCAGTGACAGAGGAAGCCTTCGCAGACAATCTACTGCAGATGATGGCTGAGCGGCTTTCGGAAAAACGACGAGCGGGGAAGAGCAAAGGCAACGAGGAGGAAGAAGACGATGCGGAGGATGATCCGATGACTGGAAACAAGGCTGCAACAGGTAGCCGCGCTACAGTTTTAACCATGGCTGATCTGCTCGAAATGTTAGCGGATTGCGAACTAGTGCTGAGAGAACAGTACTCTCTCGGGTCTTCCTCTTCGCATTCCGTTCTTGAACTCGTAGCCAACCAGTATGCTTTCGGCCTAGAGGAAATGCTGACGAAAACTTCTTGCGTGGTCGTATCTGAAGTAGAGAAAGCAACTTTGGCTTTGACAAATGGCGGGTCTTCGAAGATTACTAGCGGCAAGCATCAAGATGCAAAGGCGCACCCAGAAGGAATTTCTTCTGCAGTACTATCGGAGATGGAAGAAAAGATCTGGCAGAGCATCGGCTTTTTGCATGTGCTCGAAAAGTCCTCTCAGAGCCAGAAGTCTGAGAAGCAGGAACAGCAACGTGCGGCAAGTCTTTTGAAAGCTAGACTGCGAAAAGCGCTACGAGAGCACTACGCAGGCGGTTTTGTGACCGACCGAGCTATCGGCACTTGGGTTGAGGCTGTCACGGAAAAAGCGATGGCCATCGTCGGAAAGAAGGGTTCATCAACCTCTACTTCGCGTCTTCAATCAGCGAAAGATCATATCGAACATGCCACTGTCCCTCGACTTGCATTGCTGACGCAGTTCAGCTCATCTGGTCCAGGAGGAGATGATGAGGTGGTTGATTCTTCAATTACGGTCGATAGAAGCGGTGTGGAGGATACGTCGATCGATGCAGACACTGTCGTTGCTTTAGAATCCGATGCTTTGGAGCGAATCTGCAATGGGCCTCTGATGCTCGACATAGAATCTGCGAATCCTGATTGGAACCTGAAGTTTTTCCCGGCACTTGGCTCTGTGGGAGAGTTCTGCAACCGAATCATTCAGGCGAAAGCTGGTGCTGAGAAGGCGTCATCTTCATCAAACGACTCTAAATTCGAAGCTACCCGTAAGTGTCTGCTTGAGGAGTACCTAGAGGTGCGCGCAGGTGTCTTCGTCCGCATCGGCTCACAAAAAGAAACCACTAGAACGACTTCCAGTTCGACAACGTCAAGCGACTACTTCCGTAGATGCTTGTACGAACAAGAGGTGGCGGCAGCTGGAGGCGCAACTGGAACCCGCAGCAGTAGCGGTTCTTGGGGTGACAACCTACGATCCGCTGTCGCTGCCGCGGTCCGAAGATACGTTGCTGAAGCCGCAAGTCTAATGATGGGAGCTACGCCTTCGTCTGCTTCGTCTCTTAGCGAACTGCTACAGCAATTCGAGAAGGAGGTTGCCGAATTTTACTCTTTGGCCCAGAAGAACAGCAATCCCCATCGATCGCCAGAGAGTCTGTGTCTCGCTTTTGGGCATCTGCTGTCGGTTAACGGACGATGCTTCGAACTCTTGTTTGGAGGTTCCAGTAGCCGCATGAAGAGTGGTGGAACAGGAGAACTGACCCCTCTAGCTGGCGTCTTTCTGAGACCGTACCTGCAATTACGGCGTCCTCGTACGTTGTTACTGGCAGAAACGGCAGGAAGGGTTCACGATCGATTCTTGTTGATGGAGATGGGCAAGCAGTTTGGAGTTTTAGAATGGCAAGCGACGGAAAAAAGTAGGTCGCAATTTCTACAGCAAAACGTTGGCCCAGCGACGAGTACAAGTATCGTTGCGCAGTCAACAAGTGCTCCTGCAGCTAGCACTGCATCCAGTGCTCCTGCCGCTACGAGTGTAGCCGAGGCTGGCGCTCCACCGGCAAAGAGACGACGTACGGGTAGCGCTGACGTGGAGGACGTCGCTGCAACTGGCACTGTAGCAGTTGCACCAAAGGAGAATGTTGATGACAAAGTTGCGATTGCCACTCAAGCCCAGCAAGGAGAAGACAACTCCACTCTTTGCCGTGAAATCGCACGTGTCAAGGGTGTGCCTCTTCAAGACGTGGATCCCATCAAACGGTGTTGGATTCGCCCACCTGAGGATGAGAGAATCCGTTCTTTGCAGAAAACTCTTCAGGGTGCTGTGCAACGTCTAGCGGCTGATCTCTACTCTGGAGAGTCCCACTTCGTTCTGGAACTGCTCCAAAACGCTGACGATTGCAACTATTCGGCAGACCTAGAACCGGCTTTGTGCATTACCGTGACAGAGAAGAGGGAAATGGAGATTGGGAGTCAGCACTCAAAATCTTCAAATTCGAGACTGTGGACGACCTTCGGCAACACATCATCTTCCTCCAGCAAAGCCCTCCTCATCGCTGAGCATTGTGAAGATGGTTTTCGTGCGAAGGATGTGCGCGCCCTGTGCGACATTGCGCAGTCGACCAAGACCAGCAAGAAATTTATCGGTCACAAGGGTGTGGGTTTCAAATCCGTTTTCAAAGTTACAAAAACCCCGATTATCCACAGCGGCCACTACTCGTTTCACTTTGATTCCGATGCCCTCAACGGCTTAGGATATTTGGTGCCTTTTCCACTACCAGTGTTGTCGTCGAATCTGAGTGAAGACTTCTGTATGGCAAACCCAAACCCGAAAACTACGTCTGCAGCCTCCGCTTCCTCTTCTACTTTGGCAACACCATCATCCTTGCGAAACCGTGGCACACGAATCGTGCTCCCTCTAGTCGAGTCTCTGTCTGCAGTCCAACTCGTGGGTCGACTGACCGAGGACCTCCAGCCACGATTGCTACTCTTCCTGCGCAAGTTGCGACGCCTCGTCTTAGCACATCAAGGCTACTTCAAGGTCGTCATGCAGAAAACGGTCCTATTGGAGCGAACGCAGGAGAGCATCCAAGTGGGGCGAGCGAATCCAAATTCCTGCTCAATACTGCGGTTAGAGACAAGACAACAGAGCAATGTAGTTCAGACCACATCTTTTGGTGAAAGCAAGGACAACGACAAAGAATCTTGGTTTGTCCACACTGAATGCCTGGTCTCGCCAACAGACCGTGGCAATGCTGATGCTGAGCTCAAAATCGCTATTCCAGTACCAAATGAAGACGCGGTCAATGGTGCTGATACAGCTAGCAGCACTGGTGTTGACTTCTTGTTACCGTCACCAGACACTGAAGCTGATGATGAAAAGACGGCAGTCGCAGTACGAACGACGGGTACAACAGAAGCTACACCAGGCGGACCATCACAAACAGCAACATCTTCAAGCAGAAACAGCTTCCTAGCATTCCTGAAAAAAGCCGTGATCACTGAGCCACAACAGGTCTTCGCCTGGCTTCCAACTCGTTCTTACGGTTTCCGTTTCGTGATCCAGGCTGATTTCGCAGTAGCAACGAGTCGTGAGGCCGTGACATCGACTGACTCGTTCAATCAGTTTTTGCGCGATCAAGTCCCAACTGCTTTTGCCAACGCTGTACTACAGTATATTGAGCATGTTGTTGCCCTCTCTAGGGCCACAAAGACGGACTCTGTAGCCGCGGACGACTCGATGGTGCAGAATTACCAGCAAGCCTGTATCCGTCTTGCGCAGCTTTACACTGTCATCCCGCTTCCGGGTGAAGGTGTCGAGTTCTTCCAAAGGACGCCTCGTGCGGTGCTGGCAGCTTTGGAGAATGTGCCGTTCTTGTTTGTAAGGACAACGGAGAAGCAAGAGGACCCGGTCGTGAAAGCACCATTCGCCTTCCCATCGAAATTCGTTCGGCCAAGCGAAGCTCTTCGTGGCCGTCTGCCTCCAACTTTGTCCGCTGGAGCGCGTAAGGCGTTTGGGCTGTTGCTAGAAGGTGATGTCGAGAAGAAAGGAACAAGCCGATCAGCGAGTGACATTGACTCCCGTGTTATGCGTCTGCTTGAGCCACTGGTCAACGATTGTGGCTACCATTTTCTGGTTGACGACGCTCTCTTGCCTGAAACCGTCTCACAGGCTTTGTGCATCAGGTCGTTGGACGGTTCTGTGGCGCTGGCGTGTTTGGAGAAGCTGGCTTCTGCGACATACACATTTAGTACAGAAAACAACATTGACCTTCTTCGTCGATTGCTCTTTGTCATCCTAGCTTTTGAGGACAAACCCAATATCGCCGCGATCAAGCGCTTGCGCATACTGCCGGTCAAGAAAGCGTCCGAGGATGATTTACAAGACGAAGCTGAAGACAGAGACACGAAGATGTTGAAGGATGACGACCACGTGGAATACGTCTCTATCCTTGAAGAAAAGCAACAAGGTCGATCCGTCTACGATGCTGAGTTCTTAGTGTCTTTAGAGAAGGTCCGTGTCTTAGACTCTACTTTCCGTGAGTTCGCCAGCCAGGAACCGCGAGTAGGCGTGCTTCTGTCCAGGTTAGGCGTTCAAAAGCTGGACTCGGCCCACTTCTGCGAACAGCACGTGCTGCCGATCTTGTTGGACGAACACAAGGATATACAGAATAGTCCCGTGTTGAGACAAAAGCTCCTTGCATGCACGTTGCACTTGAAGAAGTTGTTGTTTCCCGATGCTAAGGAGGAAGCAGTAGAGTCGGCTGAGGCTGCTAAGCTTCAACTCGCTAGCGGAGCGGCTGACGGTGAGCAGCAACAGGGCCCAACTCCAAGTCAAAAACTGCCGTCTTCAAATCCAAAAAGGCAGAAGGAGCTCCCCCGCGCCAAGCGAGCGGAGATCGTACGTCGATTGCGTGAGGGCAGACCTTGGATTCTGGCAGAAAATGATATGTCAGAGTATCCTCAGGTAGCCACCGAGCCAACAACCAGAAGTTTTAGCAGTCTGGTGCGTCTTGAAAGCGCTTATGATGATGGTGGAAAACCTTCGGAGACGGTGGAGACAAGCACAGTGGCTGTTCCAGTGCACGTCGCAGCACTTTTATCTTCTCTTCGTGAGAAGAAAGCTGTCCCTGCGTGGTGGCAAATCGATCTGAGTTCTTACGTGGAACACGAAACGAAGAGCGAATCCGGAACAGGTAGTGAAAGTACTACTGGTAGTACTGGATCAATGACTGCGGAACCGGCACAGTCTGCAGCTGCCGTTGGCTCAGGCCTGAAACCCTTGCCGACTCATCTGCATCGCCACCAGGGACAAGCTCTCAAGGCAAAGCGTTTAGAGAACTCGTGGACACGATTTTGGGTGGAGGTGGGTGTTTGGCCCACTCTTTCCGTCGCCAGCTCTTCTACTACCCTTTCTTCTGAAGCTGAGCGTAGATCTGAAGACTTTGCGGGCATCGTCAACGCCTTAGCCAAGTGTGACTCAGTCAAGGAGCGCACCCAACTGTGGATCGACGTTGGGAATCATTATCTGGTGCCTCATTTCGTGTACTATCAAGATGAAACAAGATTCGCAGGATTCCATGAACAACTAGCAACCTTGCCGTGGATCTTGAACTTGACGGGAACGAAGTTGTTGCGCGTTTCTGAGGGGTGGCTGCCGAAAGCGATGCTGACTAGTTCGTCTCCTCGACCAGGACCATTGGAATCTCCGCGGATTATGCCTATGCCGAAGAAACTACCACTGGCAGGTAAGATGATGGTGACTGATGTGGACACTGCGGCATCTACTTCATCCTTGTCCCACCCGGTCATCCGACCTCTAGAATCGAGAGCCTTAGAAAAGCATCAAAAGCTGCTCTTATCGGACGACAGATTCAAGCTAGAGTGGGACCACGTTTTTCATCCTGGCGCATTGGGCTTGACAGTTCACCGATCCGACCAGCAGCAAGGAGACCTACCGTCGCTACTGTGCACCTCAGTCGCGCTACCCCATAAGCCATCGGCGCTTCAGCTGTGTGGCGTCATCCAGGGTCATTTTTCGGCAAGCAACTTCGCTGTACGAGATTTGACAAACTTGTATGCACATTTGGCTAAGCGGTGTAGGGAGGAAGGCATTACGGCAGGTACCGGCACCACAATGGGAGCAGTGAAGAATGACAATATGTTGGAGGTCGAGAACCAAGTCCGAAGTTTTCTGCAGACTAAAAAGTGGGTCTGGGTCCCTAATCATCCTAGACTTGTGCATCGTCCAGAAGACAACGTCGAGGAACCAGCGCGCGGCAAGAAGAATAAGAAGGTCGACGTTGATTTCAGATCGACTGCTGCTGGAACTAGCATCGCAAACAAGACCCATCCATCAAGAGTTCTCTTCAACGGCAGTGCTGAAATTTGCAAGGCTCCAGGCAAATGGTATGGCCTCTCGGAGCTCTGCTTCACAGATGAAGCTCAAGTGTTGGATTCCTACTCGCCTTTCGTGTCGGACCTAGGATGTGACCTAGTCCGCGCTGTGCTTGGCAAGCGCTGTCTCGCGCACTACTATTGGGGACCTACGACGGCTAGTGGAGCTGGAGGAGCCGGCGCAGGATCGACGTCGTCCTTTCTGGCACAGGTTCGCAAACAAAATTCCTCGCTTCTGTCCCCCGAGGCCAAGAGAAGACTGCAAACCTGGACACCGTCTGAAGCGCAAACAAGGTTGCATAACTTCTTCGCCGAATGGGGCGTGGCGGAGGCGCCAACTTGGCCGGCATACTATCAGCTACTGCGAAAATTGAGTGGCATGATGAAAGATTCCTCAAGCAGCAGCTGCATCTCGTCCCCAGAGCTCGTCACCATCGTCAGCAGTATTACCCTTGAAAACGATGACGTTTTGGAGGTGATCGAGAGAATCATGGAGTTTTTGCATCTTTCTGTGAGACGTGAACTTCGTTCGATGGAGGAGCAAAGTGGAACACTTAGGCAAGCCCTAGATGCTTTGAATTCTGGAGATCCTGAACTTCTGACTGATTCGGTGTTGACTTTGATTCGTCGACACAGCCGAGTGTTGCGCGGATTCTTGCGGCATAGTAGAGGTATGCCATTGGCGGTGACAATGGCTGGCGGAGAATGGCGCGAAGTGGTGGATGCTCGTGCTGGTGCTACAGAATTAGGAGACGACGCGATGGATTTGGATGCGGAGGTTGAAGTTATCGATCATGTCGATATAATGATGGATACTGACGTTGCTGATGCTCCTGTGACCACATCTTTGATGAAGTTTCCGCCAATTTTCCTACCTTCCAACCGTTATTGGGGCAACGCCAATGCTAGACGCTTTGAGTCGGCTGGACTGAAATACGATGTCATTGAGCCATACGTTCTGCACGTTACGGAACAAAATGTGACACGAAGTCTCACACTTTCCGGCTGGCGCTTACTCGGAGTGCCCACGTTCGATCTGTGCTATGAAAGACTGAGACTTCCTACACGAGGATTGGAAAGTGGACCCTCTAGTACAGCTGGCGGTGCTCATCAGTCCACCACGCTCTGTCAGTGGACCGGGTCGAATCTGCCATCAGGTTTGCTCAAGCTCTACAAGGAAGTGGAGTCCCTCGATCAAGATGAATCCACGGAACAGCAAATACGCCTCCAATCTGTTGTTTTCGACTGGCGCATTTTCTTCCGTGGTGGCATCCGCAACCCAGACGCTGCAGGCGCCAGAAGCGCTACAAAATACTACACTGACTTCGCTCGAGCAAGCGCCATTGAACGTCGCTACTTGCTGAGCCAAGCTTGGAGTGTATTTCGCGCAAGCACAGATCTAATTTTCATGCGGTCTGTGGTATTGCACCTTGCAAGGATAAGCTTAGATCTGTTTGTTCAGCACCAGGAGTTCGTGTTGGCAACGACATCAGATGGGCAGCAGGAATCATCTGAAGAAAACCTTACAGCACAGCTGCGCGAAGCGCCGAACGTGTTCTGGGACATCCTGAGCAAGAAGTTCCAATTTGAAGTACTGTCAGTTCGAGGAAGCGGTGGAGATGGTGGTACTGCAGCGACTGGCGCGGCTGCAGCAACAGCAAAGTCAACTGCTGGAAAACCATCGATTTGCAAAGAGCATGTCATGATTCTGCCAAATTCGTCTGCAAATCAGCAAGACGACTCAGCAGCAACAAAAGCAGAGTCTTCCTGGCTTTATGCTCCATCACAACGTGCTGGACAGCAAGCGGATGAGAAGTTCTCGAGTCTGTACACCAATATGCGAGACGCTCTTCAACAAGACGGCTCTCATCAGAACAAGTTTGTCGCTGTTTCGGGAGGCACAGCATTCGAAAAGATGCCTTTTGTGGGTACCACATCGTCAGGGAAGATCAAGTGTGCTTTCCCACTTCGACCAGCAGCATCAAGACCATGGTCTGCAGATGTGCTTTCAGCTACAGGCAGTGCATCAGGTGGCAACAAGTCCTCGAATTCAGTACTGAAGCAAATATTTGGAACAGCGGTGCATGAAACAGTACGAGAACTTCTCAAGAATAGAACAGGTTCTCGTTCTTCTGGAAGCTGTGAAGCAACAGCAAGTCGTGACACGGATGCTCTCTACCAACAGGTTCTGTGGCAACGGCTTTACGTGTCTTGCGTCGAGCCTGTAGCTGCGATCTTGCTTCCACTCGTCCAACGAGCGGTTCCGAGTCCGTTGTCGAGCGAATTGGAGACGTACTTTTTCGACGAAGAAGACACGACCTCCATGGAAAGCAGTGGATCGACTACTAGAAATCTCCTACTCTCAGCGGAAAAACTGCAGTATGTCAAGTCAGAACACGAAGGAATGGAGAAATGGGTGCATGAAACCTTTGTTTCAGCCTTGAGTCAAGGGGCGGAAGGGAGACAGCAGTTGCGAAAGGCGTTGTTGAAGCAGCGAAAAAGCATCAAAAAGAAGATCGAGGCAGGTAGCGACGGCAACGAACAGGATCTCGGTTTGGACGTGCATGGTACCGAGAACCTCGACGAGGAGGAAGACGACTTTGTGGAGCAAGGCTTTCTTGAGGATGGGCTACCGGTTCTTCCTTCAGAGGATACAACTACAGCTGAAATGGAGCAGGATGATGAGCAACAAACATCTACTAGGGATGGCCTTGATTTCACATCGATCGCAACAAGTTTAACTGAAAACTTGCAACCTTCCGAGGAAGTAGGCGATGAGCGAGTTCTTGGTCATGATGATGCATCCTCTGGCGAAGCGGGGGAAGAACCAAACCTCTTCTCGGAACTGATCGCAGATGCACAAGAATGTGAACGACTACAGCGAGAAGCTGCTGAGAGGAAACGGGAAGAAGAACGTGCTGCAGCCGAAGAAGCTAGGCGCAAACGAGCCCAGCTACTTTCTAATGTACAGGTTACGGGAGAAGGACTCTCTGCTGGCGCATCATCTTCTAGCAGCTCAGGCGCAAATGCAACAGGAACCACTACCCTGGACTTTGGTGGTATCGTGACAGCAAAAGAGGGTGTAGAACAAGCCAGATTGGAGATGGAGCAAGCTCAGGCTGAGTATGACGCTATGCTGAAGATGCAACAAGAACAAGGTGGCACTGTAGGAGAGGATGGAGAAGAGCCGCCACTAAAAAAGCCTCGCATAGGAGAAGATACTAGTTCGTCTTTCTCTTCAGCTCTATCTCGTATGGCAGCTGAGGTCCATGAAAAGCAAGCCGCGTGGCAGAAGAGTCGCAGAGGGTTTGACAATGCCAGTGCTACTGCACCAAGACGCGTTGCGAAAGCAGACTTGGTCGGTGTTCCAGGAGAACAGCAGTTGGGAACAGGAGCGAACTCTGTAGCACTAGGAACTGCATCATCGTCAAGTACAACTGGTACTGGTGGTACTGCAGCGGATAAGGATAAAGCGGAAAGCACCGCTGAAGGTGGGAACCTCCAAGATCCAGTGACAGGAGCATCATCTTCCTCCACCAAGGTTGACTTACCTCCACTGGAGCCTGGCTCTGATGCTTTTGCGAAGCTATTACAGCAAAAAGATAAGGATGCGATGTTCCGACTGAAGCAGATGGGAAGGCAAGACTTGGCGGAAGGAGATCGGGATATTCAGAATGCGGGAAGACGACAGGAGCGTACAACAGGCGCTGACGAAGAGACTCGACAAAAAATCATCAAATCCTTGGAGCAGAGGAAAGGCAAGGGCAAAAAGGGTGGCAAGCTGAATCAGATTTATGAACCAACTACAGTGCGTGGTTGCATTCAAAATCATAGCTTCTATACTTACTTCGTATCATTTCGATCTTCTTGCTTGAAAGACACATAGAAGAGATCGTTCGAGCTCTTTCATGCCAAAGAATCTGAATTAGGTTTACTATCTTTCGAGCTCTTTCATGCCAAAGAATCTGAATTCGGTTTACTGTCTTTCGAGCTCTTTCATGCCAAAGAATCTGAATTAGGTTTACTAGGTGTAGGTCATTACCTCACTTTTCCATTTTCCCACCTTCATTACCCGGATCCGGCTGTCCAGAACGCGATTGGTGAATTGGGTGAACGACAGGCTAGAAAAGCACTCATGAAGATGGGTTTCGCGGTTTTGTGGATCAACGAGCATGATGAAACCGGTCTCCCCTTTGATTTCCTCATTCGCAAAGCCGATAATGATGATTTTGGTCGAGAGGAGGAGCTGTCCAATGCCGCAAAATACTTTCCGGGATTGGCGACTTTGGCGAAAGGTGGTAGTACTGGCGCAGGCGCCTCGTCTTCTTCCTCTGGTGGTAAAGGCGGCACAACCGAACAACAGCGTCGTTACGACCTAGACAGTCAGAAGTTGCAGAAAATCTTCTTTGCTTCTCCCAGTATGATCGACAACCCGCTGACTCCAGCAGAACAAATGCTTCAATCAAGCTGCATCATGGTAGAAGTGAAGGCGACAGTCGGCGCGAAGAAGGAATTTTTTGACGTTTCTTTGCCAGAGCTGGTGGCCGCGTGGCGCTTTGCGGAACGCTACTGGGTATTGAGGATTGAGAACATCATAGGAGAGGTGCACGACATCCGGTTCATCAAGAATGTACCATTGTCTTTGCAACAAGGAGATTGCAAAATCTGGATGGTGTGCTAGAGAAGTGGTAACGGTTGCATGGGTGGGGTTTTCGATCCTCTCCTAGTTTCTAAGAAAGCTTAAGTTTCTAAGAAAGCTTACCGGAAAAAGAGGTCAATCAATGAATAAGATATGTTTCAACGCGGCTACGGCAATTTCTACCTTTGGATGGCTCATTTGAATGCCCTAGATTTATTTAGGATTGCTAACTTATTATATCCAGGCCATGGATTTGCTTATCAACATGCTTATTGCCTCACGCGAAACACATTTGTCTACTTTACAGGTACCTTCGGGTTCACATAAACGCAGCCCCCCATTCGCTTTGAGATTCTAGATCTAACGTGCGTCTACCTTTGCACCTAACGAGATGTGCAGAAGATCGATTCGAGGATATTGTTTTATCAAGATCAATACACCATCAAAATAAAAAGAAAAACACGTTCTAGAACGTCGCACGTCATCGGTGAACACAATCACAAGAAAGCAAAAGATCCTTAGGAGATCTTGATCGTGATGACTCACACATTTGGATTCGATCATGTCTACTCAGAGATCAAGACCGGAGATGTAGAGGGATCAATTTTCAGTTCAGCTACTTGTGGATGCCCTTACAAAAGATCAACAACAGATGAAGTGGAAGAGAAACCTATGATGATCTTGATGTGTAGGATGCAGGACTTGTTGTCCCCGTAATGTGATCATCAATTGTTGAACACGTGAACAGTTCCAGTTCCAGTTTCTCATCAATCTTGTAAACGATTTCTTGAGCAGCAGGTTTTTTCTGTGAAGTCGTCTTTACATACACTAGTGTAGAGTTGAACTAAATAACTTGCGTTATTGCAACCAACTAAAACAACGTCTTCAAGACATTCAAACTTCTATTCAAAACGTACATTTTTCGTTTTTCCTCCAACATCTAGACTTATTCCAAAATGGGTAAAGGCGGTAAAGGTAAGGGCGGCCCGAAGGGCGTCAGCAAGGGCGACGGAAAGAAGGGCGGCAAAGGAAAGGGCGGCGCCAAGGGCGGAAAGGGCGGCAAAGGAAAGGGAAAGGGAGGCGGCAAGAAGGGCGGCGGCAAGAAAGGCGGAGCGGCCGCCGTTGTCATCAAGCCTCACGAGCGATTCGAGCGAGTGTACATCGCATCCGCCAAAGACGACAGCATGGTAACGAAAAACATGGTTCCGGGTGAATCCGTCTACGGCGAGAAGAGAATCAGCGTCGAGTCGGACGCACTCCCGACCGTCGAAGGCGCTAAGCCAGAGAAGGTATAATTTTTGATTTATATTTTCATCAAGTGAAAGTGTTGCGCCACGACTGGATCAAAATCAATGCAAACGACGACTCGTACCGAACCACAAAGTGCATAAGAATTCTCCGTTAAATATATTGTCAATCTTGTCAATTCAAATTGATTACAATTTCGTTTATCCCTGCAGGTCGAATACCGTGTGTGGAATCCGTTCCGATCCAAGCTCGGCGCTTCCATCGTCGGTGGTATCCAGTACATGCCAATCAAGGAAGGCTCAAAAGTCATCTACCTCGGTGGCGCTTCCGGTACTATTCATAGAACTTCTCCCATAGTTGCAGTTCCTCTTTCCCGGAACCCTGTGTTATTTGTGCGTCTTGCACTTGAACTTCCTGCACTGGTGTCTCGAAGAAAAAGTTAGTTCTTCGAAATCATAATCCCAACACGCATAATGAAAGGTACGACTGTCTCTCACGTTTCCGATATGGTCGGACCAACCGGTGTCGTGTACGCAGTTGAGTTCTCCCACCGATGTGGCCGAGAATTGACCAATATGGCCAAAAAGCGACCGAACGTTGTCCCAATTGTCGAGGTATAGCTTTTCCCTTGGATATTAATAAATATTTGTTTGTTTTTGATGCAGTACTCGCCGTTGGTGATGATCGTGAAGCATCTACTCTGATCACTGGGTAGGATACCAATCTTCAACTCCTTCTATAGCTTGGTTGTAAACTGTGATTTTTCATCAATCATTCTTTCAGGATGCACGATTCCCGATGAAGTACCGAATGCTCATCGGCGCATGCGACGTTCTTTTCGCGGATGTAGCCCAGCCAGATCAGGCAAGAATTTGCGCCCTCAATGCCTCTATGTTCTTGAAGAACAACGGCTGGTTTATCATCTCTATCAAGGCGAACTGCGTCGACTCAACAGCCGCACCGGAAGCGGTATTCAACATCTAGATTTTTGTGCTGTTAGATCTCTATCTCTTGTTGAAATAAATCAGGTTAAGTATCCATGAAGCGTTTATTCTTGATCCCTCTACTTAGGTCTACGCTAGCGAAATCGACAAGATGAAGAAGGAGATGATGAAGCCAAAGGAGTATTTGACTTTGGAGCCGTACCATCGTGATCACTGCGTTGTCGTCGGCGTCTACAGAGGCGACAAGAAGAAGAAGGACGAGAAGAAGTAAGGACGTTCGTCTGGAAGTCACCTCAACAAGAAAAACAATGAATAACAAAAAGAACTGGAAGATACGAAGATTTATACGTTTTGATGTTTGAGTTTACAAGTCAGTGCAACAACGACAATGCTTAGAGATGCCAAGATGGACCTAAACGCCAAAGGGGTTCTCGCCTGGATCTACAGCACGCTATGATATGATCGTTTTATGGTTTGGGTACCCGATAAATCTAATGATGTTATGGAAAATGCACATGGCGGTTTGCCCATGCCTCGACCAACACCAAAAATGCAACAGTGGGTATGGAAAAGGAATAAGGCCGTAATATATCTAGGGATAAGAACGAAATGTCAAGGAAAAAGGGATTGACGAGAAGTTGCAAGAAGACTGCAAATTATAGAGCAGCCGAACGTGGAAATGAATTCTCCTATGATATGGATGTAGTTGTGGACGGAGTTGCAAGAACTGCCACTGCGTTATTTGATCGAGAAAGGATAGTTCGTTGCAGCTTTTAAAGGTGGTGAAAAAAATGAAACAATCAAAAAAAGGGCCTACTACGACTCGCCGTCGTGAAAAGTTTTATTTTTCAGTTTCACGTGTTCATGATCAAGCAGTATAATAATATTTATATTTCTTTAGTCAAGAACCTGTGATGCAATCGGTTATTTCTCCGTTGCATCTATTGCAGCAGCAGCCGCGAAACTTGGAGTCGAGCTGTGATGATGATCTTCATGATCTGTGAGAACGATTAATTTAGTTTTGATGTCCCGAAAACATGATCAAAAAGTAACGCCTATTTCTTTCAAGTTGAGGATTCAGAATTGACTAAGTTTATAATTTTTTGTGTTGTGCCATCAAAATCATCTATGATCGTGCTAAGTACGTAGAGGCTGACTTTCCATGGTTCATTTTCAATTTCATCTGATAAGGAAAATAAAATTTCCACGATCACATCTCCATGTTACAACAATGACGACTTTCACAATGACGACTCTGCATCAGACACTTCTGACTCACTGCCTACTTGGTGGTGAGCAGAAGTCATCCTCATCCTCGTCTCCTTCCGCGGCTTCTTGGCGTCTTAAGCGTTGGCTGTGCCACGATCCAACCGAAGGAGATGGGTACTTTTCGACAACTCTACTAAGCACACCGAGAACTACAGGTTTTGATCAAATGCGACCCGAATGTCGTGGTGCGGTATACCGATGTGACGGCGCGGCTTCGTGGATGGAGGGGAGGAAGGAGGAAGAGACTGCTGACGCAAGTACGAGTTCACGGACGACATTTTTGTTTGAGCAGCAAAGGAGTGACGTCCCCGATTCGACCGGGCCTTCGTCTCGTTGCACCAGAGTGGAAAATTTGCCTTTCTTCAAAAGTGCAACACCAAGCACCAGCTCAACCACATATCTCCTGTATCGCGAAGCAGGAACGCTGACGGAAGGACGTGGCACTGGTGATGAGAACGGTCAAGGCTGCTCAGGCGCGGCAAACGGAGGATCACCGATGAGCCTTCCATTCCAGCAGAGCTACGTGTGGATAATTAGCGGAGAGTCGTCAGCCGCTGGCGCAACCAGTGATGAAGCGAAAAGACGTACGCCTTTTGGTCTTGACATATTCGAGCTTCAACGAGGCACCAGTAGTACAACAGCATCGTCAGATAAAGACGATGAAGCTTGGATCGCGAAGCATGAGCCACTTTCCACGTTTAGATACGGTGGGGAGGATCGAACAGATGAACAACGTGAGCAAACAACCAGTGATACTGATGTTGTCACACTAACCGCTGAGCAGAACAGTTGTGGTGGTTACATCTGCGGTCCTGATCGTTATCATTCGTGGTTGCAGCTTGACTTGGCCAAAAGGAAAATGCTCCTGTCTTTCAGAATTCGAGGTCCGCATAAGAACTACACCACTGTAACGGAACTCCGCTTGGAGGAAGGAGACGAGAGGAAAGGAGCTGTATAAGAACCACCTGCGTGACGTCTTTGCATGTTCGCAAGTACAGGAGGTTTTCGCTTTGAACCTCTTGAGTGTTCGGTCAAGAACGAAGAAACACTCTAACACGGATCAGCAGGACGTACAAGCTGAGAGATCTCAGATCGAGAAGGAGAGACTCAACATCGAGGGTTCCCTCTTATACATAGGATACTGTAGGGGCATCAGTTCTTGTTATCCTAAGGTCATACTAGTCAGGGCCACGATTATTTGTTCATCAACAACCTTTACCTTACATTAACTGATGAGCTGAAAGTAAGCAGAAAAATGACGAGGCTCGACCATCTTTTCGTCACGGGTAGCGCGTTGCTGACTGCACTTCAGCATGCCGCACATGCGTCTCCTGCGTCGACGCTGTCGGCATCTTCATCTGCCGATTTGGACGTCAGGGTATCGGAAGTAGATCAGGTTGACGATGCAAGACAAGATGAAACAATCACTGCTCCAAAACGAGAGCTTCATCCAGGTGCTATTGCCTACGGTCGTGGCTCTTGCGGTGATGAGTATAGTCGAGCAGAAATAGCCTACAACTTTCCCAACATCGCTGTGGATTCGCTGTTTGTACGAAGGGTGCAGACGGTAGAAAACCCCTACTTCTGGACTCAGTTCGAAACGACGAGGGCTGATCTTATGATGAGAGGACTATATTACAGGCCACGAAATCGTAATCGAAATCATCACTCGCTTCCATTTTCACAAAATGTGTCCTGCTGAGTATCGACAGAAATTGACAATGTATCACTTCACCAGCACGACTTCTGCCACGCACTCGCCATGGCACTCGCCATCATTTCCTCCAACTCCATCTCTAACAGCCAAGACTTCTACATCTCTGCCTGGACACCTGAGATGGTTAGGTTTCAGGACCGACAAAGCCTCAACGGTTTCATTTTCGGTCCCGGCTTGCCACTGTTGACAGATTCGGAGCTAGAACGCGTCGCCACCATCTTGATGGAGCGAGGCGGACAAGATGTCATGGAAAATATGCGGCTGGCGACTGGCAGGTCGGTGAGTTTTTTTCTGAATGTCGGTCCCAGTCGTGTGGTATTAATTAATTTTTTCATGTGGTTACTTACAACGTCTTTTTCTACTCAGTCTCGCTCACAGGAGATTTAAGTACAACTTTAAACGCATAGTACTTGCTACACGACCAAGTGCATACGAGGACCTGGTTGAATCATGAAAGACTGCGTCCACAACATCCCGTAACTACAAAAAATTTTCAGCCAAGACGCAACCAAGTTGAAGTACGATGAAGCCGTTTTCCGAGCTCAGAATGGCAAGTTGGTCCCAAAGGACACCTTTTTTCATCGCGGAGTTTATTGGTCATCGCCTAGCAGTGATTTGATTCGAAAGTGCCTCAATATTGGTAACCTGAAAAGTCATCCGATCATGAGGCTTATGGCTTAACAGAGAAAAAAGTAGTATGTGACAGAAGAATGGGAATCTATAAGTAAGAACGAAGTGGTACTGACCTGGAGTATGGAAGAACAAGTGAAGATCATGGTTAATGATGAGAGCAACTCGTTGCATCTTCGACTCTTGTTGATTCTTTTCTGAAGAAAACGAAAACGCTACAGAGTCGCCATGACAAGCTCTCGACAATTCAGGTCACTTTCCACACTTCTCGTTCTCTCTAACTTGCACTATGCCCAAGACTTACCGCCCAATTACAAGCATGCGAAGAGTTCGTTGCCTACGCTTAGCGATGAGGAGAAGCTCCGCTGCATGCAGAGGCTTAACATGAACGCCATCTACGCAGATTTCTTGGTGCGAAGTGCGCAAATGTTTATGAAGAAAAAGTTGAAGTTAAAGTTTGGGTGTCCAAACATTTCCACGTAACTGGAACTACCGTTTTTACCCCTGAGACTACTGTAAGTGGGCAAGTCTATCACTTTATCTCACAATGCACCCATGTGTTTACTGCAATGATCCATCTTCGTCCTAAGTAATGGAACTAGGTCAAAACGACCACTCTTCCTCACTCTGTCTCTTCCTCTTTCATATCCTGGGACTTTTGGCTTTATTCCGAGACACGTTACCTCAGCACGCCTGGCAGATACAAGATGGTCTCGTGGTTGGTACCAAGTGACATCAGCATGCGAGAATTTGGCCAACTAACGAATGCTGTGGCGGGAACAAACGCAGCGATGAAAGCACCGGTTTACAATTATGAACTGGTGATGTAGTCGTGCTTGTAGCTAAAGGACTTTTTTTCACAAAATATTGCTGAAAGCGTCTGATGTGAAGGTGAACTATTCGTCCGCTGTACTAGAAGTTGGGTGCTGCAAAACGCAGACAACTTGTGCTGGACCTGAAGAAAAGCACTTATTTGAGAACTCTCAATTACCTGATTCTACTTATTTCCTGACAATTTCATCTTTTCATACCATCAGACCAGTGATTTCTGGTAAGTACGAGCTTACTTTGGCACCGAACAGATGGGGTTCGGCGAATAGCTCGACGCTTGCGGAAGCTCAAGCTCAGGGAACGACTTGCAGCTGCTCTGTCAATGCAATTTATGTCATAGTGAGTGAATATAATCAGGATCCGGATCGATACTTATAAATATATAAGGTGGCTATCTTTGCCGAGGTCTTCATCAAAGACTTTGCGGAATTCGCATTCGCTTTGAGAGAGTGACGCCAAGGGGTGGGGGCAGCGGATACTTCTCGAAAAGGCCGCCCAGCAGACGGGCCCACCCGCTGCCGAGGTGGGGCGGTCGGGTCGCGATCGGAGCAGCTGCCCACCTGATAGGGGTAATTAGGGCGCTTGCTTCTGGAAGAGCAAAGGGCCGGCGCAGTGGTGACAGGCGCAAGACGATGAAGGACAGGCGGGCCGCTGGCTAAGGGGCAGCGCGGTTAGCTTTCTGCCCGGGTCGCCCTTCCAAGTGTTTGCCTTCGAGTTCTTTGGCAAGGTTGCGGCTGAATCCGTGAGGGGGCACCGCTTTGGAGGACTCGGGAAGCCTCTGAAGGACCAAGGGCGCCGATGCAGCGAATAGGCCCCCAAAGACAGCGGGGGCGTGTCTATGGTCCCGGAGAAGCAAAAAAAAAAACCATGCGCGGGCCTTCGTCGTAGAAAAAAAAGCCACCGTCCCAAATGAAGTAGAGAACTACCCCCGCGCTGGCCGTCCGGTCGTTTAAGCGCTTGGAGGAGAGAACCACACTAGCGGAGTGCCTGCGCCTCGTGCAATTCAATGCAGAACCGGACCCATCAGACTAGGCATCGCGAAACAAGCGACGGGGCGCGCGGCCCACATGCTAGACGGAGCACCGTCAGGCGATGCCGTAAGGGCTCCACGCCGCATGGTTAGCGAGTGGGCAGCGGGGGGGGGCCGCGCTTCCTTTTCCACTTTTCAAATGTCGCCACGCCGTTCCAACTGCTGGCAGACGCGCCCGCGTACATGGCTGGCGTGTCACGACATGCGGGCGGATCTTTCAGCTTTCGCCACTCCCAGCGCCTACGACCCTCGGGACTCCAAAGGGGGGCCCCTGTTGCGTGTTCGTGCGGCTGCTTATGTCTCACCGGTTGCCAGTCGTCGCACTTCGGGCGACGTGTCATTGGATGGGGAGCGTGCCGACAAGAAACGCCCCAAGCTTGTACACAGCGGGCGCATAAGGATACAAACAGCATGGCCAGCCTCGAAACCGATGGCGCAGGGGAAAACCCCGGCCAGCCTCCTGCGGTTGATCCACCTGGACAACCCGCACCCGGCCAGTACTCACTCTGCCTGGCGATTTGGTTGGGCTTTGGTCTCTGTGTGTAGTAAAAAACTCGACAAAATTAGAGAAAGACAAGCGGTCTTGTGCGTCTGAAAAAGTTGGGGCATGCTCGTGCAAGATTTCAGCGGGCGTTTTCAATTTTGTCGATCCATCTAGAACTGGCGCGGGCGCTGGCTTTCTGGTGTTTTAAGTTAGTAGCTGCAAAACCTTCGCAAGCTTCTGCTAACCTAATGCTTTGCGCCGATGGGTGAAGATACAGAAGTCGCGCAAACCTTGCGAGCGAGCCCCGCCAGAGTCTGAGGCCAGAAGCTGCGGGCGCTTGTTCTGTGTCTCTCCATTGCAGCCTGCCGCCAGCCTGCCTCGCGCGAGGCATTCGGGCTTGGGTCCAAAAGCTTCCAAAAAACAAAGCAGAGGGCGCACCCTTCGCATGTTCGAAGCGCTGGGAGAGTAGGCGGCGCCATCTCCAGGGCATTAGGCTCCAGGGCCATACCATTAACCATAGCAAAGCGCCTGGCGCTTCGCTGCTCTAAGCTTCAGAGCAGGCTCTCTAAGATGCCTGCGACTGTTTCGAGCTCAGCGACAGGCCACGCGATCGCTGCAGACCGACGGCCGCGTGCTTTGCTTTGGTTCTTACTTTCGAACTGGTCGCCACTGGCTTCGTCCCGCTCCGGATCAACTACCGCGCCGCCGCCTCATGTCGAACGGCGCCCAAGGTTTTGCCAGAGAGAGAAAGATCGCGCGTGGCCTCGATTTACCACACCACGCGACAGCGATGCAGCAGGGTGGGCCGTGCATGTAGTGGGCTAGTCGTTGCGCCTTCTGGCCGCGCCTGGGCTGGGGTGTGCATAATTGTGAGACCTGCGCCGCATTGGCGCCCTGCGTGAGAAATATGGCCAAAAAGTTAACACGGTCGAGGTAAGTTCTTCTCGGAGTAGGTCGAGAGGGTTTTTTGAAGTAATTCGAGGGGGCTCGGCTCTTGTTATTCAGCGAGCTCCCTCGGCTGGTTGGTGCTCTCAGTGACAGCTTAGCAATTGGGCTGCGCCTTGGGGATTTGCTCGTTGGATGGAACCACGCAGCACCTAGGTGGAGGCTTTTTGGACTGTCCATCACCAGGGACGACTGCGGACGCGTGTGACGCAAGAATGGCCAGGCATGCCTCTTCGCTGGAAATGGGTAGGGAACTCGCGGGCCATATCGATGCGGGCCCGTTGCTAGCCATGCGTGCGCAGGTGATGAACACTGGGCCCCAAGATATTTGCGGCGACAACAGCCGGGGCAATGAAGTGGGGGCGAAGGAGTTGGACTGCGTGCGTTTTTTTTGGGGGCTCATTTTGTCGGACCTTGGGCCGTGGCGTCTTCTGGCAGGTTGTTGCGCTGTTGTGCTTAGTTTGTTGGTAGGTCTGTGGCAGGCATCGCGTGGCAGCAATCAAAGCAGACGCCTCGGCGGGCTCGGGGCTTTGGTTGCCATGGCTGCCGGGCGGGGTTCGTTGTTTCTTGCTGACTATTGGCATGCAGCGCTGGCAAGCTCTGGACGCTGCTCGAAGCATGGCGCATGGCTTGCGTGCCGGGTTGGTGCTTGGTCTTTGTGTTCTTAGTGATGCATGGTTCTCAGTCAGGTCAGGGCGTCGCGCGTTCTTTCTTGGTGTATCATGGGTGTTGCATGTAGCTGACCGGCGCGTTGGGAACTGAGATCTTAAGCCACAGATTTGGCAGTTGAGCAGATTGCACGTTAGGCTCGCATGATGCGCGATATATAGCGATCGTCCATGAATGACACCGGTCTTGGTCTTGCTCATGTTATTCAGTTGTAGGAATCGTGGCCGTCCCGTCTAATCCTCAGACTGGATGGAGCAGCATACTTCGCGTGTAGGAATCTTTGCTCGCACTTTTTGGGAACAGCAGTCACCATTTTTCTGGCTGAAACGACGACCGGCCAACGCGCTACTTCCAGTGGGGGCAGTTATGGCTGATGAATGTTAACAAATGAGCATTGTTTGAAGAGGTTGCATTCTGGACCGTAGCCACGAGCTGCAGAATTCATACAACTGGTTTCAGCTCTGATAGTGCTTCAGCGGTGATCATTAATGTACGGAGGTGCAGCACGACTGGCTGAAGCAGATGGAACAGGCTTAGCACTAGCACTTGCACTTTTATCTTCAAAAATTCATGAAACAGAAACATTCTTCCCGCACTGTCACCCTTCTAATAACGAATTATCAGGACGTCAGCCAGCTGTTATGCTTCTGCCCTGGGGGACAGATTTGTTGGATTCCTTACGAGACACCTTTGCTTTCCTCGCTTATGCAGATCAGACGCTTTTCATGCCGCCAAGAAAACATCAGGAGAACGTAGCAACATCGCTTTGGAAACTTCTATTTCCTACTTGTACTTGATCACCTGCATCTTCGTCTCGGTCTGTGTCAATTTGCTTTTCAACGGTTTTTTTTTTATCCAACCATCTCTAGTCGTGTAGTCGTGCTCACTCTTGTCTCTCGTCACCATTCCATCACAATCAATTTCAGGGCTTCGCCAACGTCACTGCCTTCGATGCACGTAAGCTTGGCATCCCAGACCGCACCTCTCAATGCATCAGCAAGCCGAAAGTCGCCTCTCTTCCTGCAGGCGGCAAGAGTCATGATCTTATCGAGTGGTCAGGTGTGTTTCAACTCGAATATGGGAAGACGTACCACTGGACCTGGCATGGTTACCGAGAACTTGGACCAGATACCTTCCGATATCCAGATGCCGCCGTCGACGTCCTTATCGTGGCGGAAGATGACTGGTCATGTGCTAAAAAGTCGGGTTATGGCTATTACTTTTGAAACATTCGAAGTCTTCTAATATCTGCTAGTGCAGCTTCTACAACAAGAACTTCATTCAGAGTTTTTAGTAATGCGATTACCAGACATGATCCTCATACTAATGCACCTTGCAACTCTAATACACCTTGCAAGACCACCAAGGCAAGATCCTCAAGGCTGCATCGCCAGTTTCTGTCCCGCCGCAAACTACTTTAAATGCTACATTCGACGGCAGCGCGCGATCAAAGTATGACGGCGATTTTTTGGAACTAACTGATGGCTTGACATACCGGATTCACATGAATAACGTCAAGAAAACCGCTGCAAAGGATATGAACGGAGGCGCTTTACCTCTGAATTTGGCGAAAATGACGCCTGAAGGACCTACGGTTACCGAGGCAGCACAGTTGTTAAGGCTTCCACAAATTTTGATTTGTCTTGAAGAAAGGTATCTTCTTTACCGTGTTTCTCTTCAAGGGAGAAAAAAAGCAGAGATGAACTTCAGGATGAGTAAGTACTACGTATAGGTAAAATCTAAAAGTGGCATACTTCAAGTCTGCTGCTGGAGCGTCAGAAGCTTCAGCCATAGCGACAAAATTGCCAGCGGTAGAACAGGGTAAGTGGCACTTCGGATCCGTGGAGACAACGGTGAAGTTAACACGTCCTGTATGGCGTTGAGAAGTGCACTCATTCTCACAAAATTTGCTACTATTTAAGTGGGAAGCTAGCTAATATTTTGACACCAACTATGAGTACACTTTTTATTCCTGTCATATTTCGCAGCAGCGAGTCATACTAGTAAGTACTACTTTCTGTCGGTTTACACACAGCATCGACCCGAGGAATTTATGGCCGGATGGCTCCAGGAAGTCGAGGACATCCCGAACGCTGAGGCGATGCGCACCGACCACGACAGCAATACGTTTGTGCCGGATAAGGTCGTTAGGCGGTTTGTATACCCGCAAGCGGAGCAGGTGTACAGTGGAGACGTCACTGCGGGAGCGAATGTGGCGGCGTTATGGGAGGTTGGTGATCTATTTTTGATCAGAGAGATAGATACACATACAAATTCATTTTCATATTCGACCATATGAATTTCCCATCATGATCTTCATTTCTGCTCGTCAAACAAGAAAACTTATAAACTCTTCTCCTTGTTCACCGTCTAATCGGAACCTACGGCACTGACGGTTACAGTGGAGGCCTCTCCTCACGAAGGTGTGACAGGTGGAGAGACGCGGAGACCGAAGGTGTCGCAGATACGACTATCTTTGCGAGTACCGGTTTGGACAGCCTACAGACAGCGTTGCTAAAAGAAGGAAAGGGCGACAACCTCGGTATCTTCAGGGGTGAATTGGGTGGCATGTTCTACGCACTGTCCGCTGCCAGTCCGATGAAGGGAACGCTGTCGCGAACTTTAAGGCTTCTTCTACCTGGCACTTGATCATTTTGATATGACTCCATCCTACTTGTTCTGGCAGACTCTACTATATCACAGAGACAGATGACTAGACTCTACTATATCACATCATGACTAGACTCTACTATCAGAGATGCACGATACAAGAAGTACAGCTTAACACCTCTAATCCAGCTGGTCCTTACGGTTGCTGCTTTGGTGACGAGCACTATTTTCTACGTGGGACTCTAATGCTTAGGAGTTTGGCACATTGATTGTAGTTCGTCACAGTTACTGCAAGAGAATCAGAATGAGTTTTTTGGCCGCGTATATTTTTCTCGTACAACGACGTGTATTGATACTCTCGAGAAATATTTCCTCTTGAACATCCGCGTGCTTTCCATATTGAACTTGCTTGACATTGAGTAGTTCTTATCTTTCGTAATTATTTTTAGCGGCCAGCACGATCTACCACAACATCCGTTACCTAGGAGAAGGGGTACCCCCTATTAGGACTACTTAGATATCAAGAAAATATTTATCGTAGCACTAGCAAAAAAAATACCAAGGAGAAAAGTATCACATGACTTCTCCATCAGAAACAATCTGGTTCTGAAACTGACTCCTGTATCCTCTGGTGATACGCTCAGTAAAACTAGAAAGCGTTAGTCGGATTCAAAATTGTAAAGTGGATCCATTCCTCAGCATCTTCTGTTGTTGACAAGACAACCTCTTCCAGTTCCAAGAAAGACTACCTAAGCAACTACTACAAAAATACCCTAGAACGAACAAGAAATCCTCGTACAGCAGTGATGGCGTCGGCAGTGGCCATAAATTTACACAGCAATCCGGTGCGGTCGCGGCGATCTTCTTCTTCGAAGTAATGTCCAAGAGTCGGTGGCTCTATTACCTTCGGTCTGCTGTTGCAAGTCAAGCATTCTCTGTGGTTTTCATCTGTTGATCGTTTCACAACGTCAGTGTTGATCGCGAGAGATGCACGTCGTGTGTTGAGGTAACTTATGCCTGGTGAGAGTTACTTATAGAGAACACGAGCACTGCAGCGAACCTCGGTTTCTACATTCAGAGTAAATTGAGAGGAGAGTATTTGGCCCTCGTACACCTCTCGTACAAACAACAAACCTTCATGCTTTCGTGCTGTTTGTTTATGAAGTAGAAAATGTAGTTATCTTCATAAACAAACAATGTAGAAATATCGTTTTCGTTATGGCCGTCCAAATGAATATCGTATCTATGCAGTTCGATTTTTTTAACTGTCCAATATCATCTTTGTTTTCCGTCGATCATCATCATTATGGACAACTTCTGCGCGTTTTCACGACTAGCTACGGCAATAAGTGACAAGACGAAAAAATTGACAGACACTAGTAAAATAAACAATAATCATAATCAATCCCACAAGGTAAATCTATAATGCTCTCTGCCCCCCGCTTGCTCAGAAGCGGCGGAGGTCTGCAATTTTTAGAACCGTGCCAGGCGCGAGATCGCGCGACTGGCCGCGGTAAGTCAGCGAAGGAGTCGTGGACCAACAACCTCCTTCTAAGCGCTGTCGTCTAGGAGACGACGTTAAGCACGAGCACTCGCATTACAGTGATCTCATCAGCGACAGTACCCACGCCAGAAGTAAACACTACATCAGCCCAGCTAAGGAGCATCAGCAGAAGTAACAAAGACGAGTAACCCTCAGCACAACTACGCTGGTTTTTTTGTCGAGAACTCAACATCTTAAGAGCAGGAGCACTAACATCTGTAAAACAACATCAAAATGGAGATCGCAATTATTCCGGATAGAGAAGAGCGGATCGCCGCTCGAAGGCGGAGAGCGGAGGCCAAATTGAGGAGGGAGAAAGAGGATGATACGGCGACGGGCCATCAAGACTTGCTGGAGGAGCAAGATTTGGGGATTGGGAAGAGCAAGGTATATGCTAAGGCAATGCTTCGTTTCCATTAATAGACCAAAAAGAAATTGAATTTCATCATCATTCACCAACCCATAAGATCTTCGCGGTCATCCAACAACCAACCGTAACCTACCGAAACAAAGGTCGGCGACGCCGTTGCCTTCCTCGAGCGGTTGCAGTACGATACAACAGCGGATTTGTCTGATATACGAGTTCGGTTTGACAATGAGGAGAATGAGAGGCGGATTATTGAGGAGAACGCTAGGTTGGACAGGTACGAGGCCTTGCAGATAGAAGCCGTCTCAAGTGGCAGGAAAAACGCGGCGATCGAGCTAAAATGGGCAGACTTGCTCTACATCGATATACCACAGGTAAATAGATTTTGATGATTGAATATGAGGTCACAGAACTGTTTTCAGCTCCTTTACCCAACAACATTGTGCACCTCTCACCTTTCCTCAGGAACTGCACGACCAGCTTTTGCTTCAAAAAGAAGCATGTCTCAATATTCTTGACGGAAAAGATCGGAGGATACGAGAGTTTCTGACGGAATTGAAGAACAAGGATGAAGAGTACGACAATAGGCTTAATCTTTGTCTTTGATTCGAGGATGCAGGTAGGCTAAAAATCATGAAGATCATTACTACTCCTACGTGCTGTACTCAAGATCCTAAGATCATTGATACTTGGTCATAAAGATACTTGGTCATATACGAGGACATCATTTTTTCTCAAGTTGAGTCCCCTCATTCCAGGTACCAAAAGATGCTGAAGCGACAGGCACACGATGTGAACCTGTTGATCAAGAAAATGCGAGGTCAGTATGTGGGTTTGCAGGAGAAATATGAGGAGCAGTTGGGAGAGATCGAGAATGCGTACGCACAGGAGAGGCAGGATGTGATGAAGAAAAATAGGGAGGAGATCGAGGTATCTATGTATAAAAATACTACAGTATTTTCATCATGTAAATTCACGTCGGTTGCTCGTTTTATGTTGAAGATCGAGAACTAAATTGTCGTCCCAAGAACTCCACACATTCCACTACCTCTACCAACATCTCCACCACCATCTTACAAAGGCTCTCTTCGAAAAGCGTATGCAGATGGAGGAGTCGGAGTTTATGGAGCAGAGGTTGGAAAGGGAGAAGCGATTCAAGAAAAAAATCGACGACTTGCGGGAACAAGACGCTGACGAATACAACAATAGTCGGATTGCCCTGGAAAAGTCGATACAGGATCTCGAGGTTCACTTGGAGAAGATGATGGCGACATATCAGTACTACATTTGTTGTATCTTGATGTATCTATTATTAAGGCTCAACTTTCAATGGTCATTGGGGTTGGTCACGGAGATGATTGAAGAGGCGCCCCCTTGAGAGAACAGGGGAAAGCGAAGGGAAAGGGAGAGCTTTGAAGGGGGTCTCTTCCGTTCAGAGTCAGGGGCCAGCGAATGCTGAGCTTTACCCATAAGTAATCGCGTTTGTGATTGTGATACTTGAGGCAGTCGATCTCCATCTCGATAAGCTTGATTATTGCTCTGCTCAACATGTTGCCTGCTCATGTTCTACAGCAACCAAATCGTCCCTCCCCTTATTCCAGGTTAAACAAGGAGAAACTGGACTACAACCTCCAAGTGCTGATAGAGCGCAACAAAGAGCACAGTGCGATCCAGTCATCGTACAAGAATAGGCTAAACAGGCTTCGGGAGACGCTCAATAGCTTGCTCACCAAATACAACAAGCTAGACTCGAAATACAAACAAGAGAATCATTATGAAGGAAATATCCGATATTTGTGAAGCTGAACAAGGAGTAGAGAGATTTGCAACGCCAGGATTACACGTTGTAGTTTCAGAATGACATAATTCGTCGAAAATGAAACGACGGGCAACGTCGCTTCTCTAACTCTCGGAGCTAACAGACGAATACAAGAGGCTGACAAGGCAATTCAAGGACCTCCAGGATAAAAGCGGACACTTTGAGAAGGCGGATGAGACGAAATTCCAACAAGTCTGGTCAATGAATGAGGCTGAGGCCAAGACTGTTATCGGGCAGGTAGTTGACATTTCCTGCTTCTTGTTTTCACTTCGTCCGTTGGTACTAATAAACCAAAATACTTCTTGTAGTTGTTCTTGATGTCGCGGTTGTGAAACAATCTTCGTCAATTTAGTGCCACTTGACCACACAGATCCTCGAATGCGACAAGCTTATCCACGAGCAGCAACTCAGCCTACCATGGTCTAGTCCCGAAGAAGAGGTCCTCAACGAGCAGTTTGAGGCAGGAACCTCAACTGAGGCAGGAACCCAGACAGGAAACGGCACGAAGAGCATGTCCAAAAATATGTCATCAGCAGGTGGAGGGGACCAAAAGAAGGCTGGGGGAACTGAGTTTTTCGCGAAAAGGACGAAAAAGGTTTTGGACTTGATAAACGACGAGTGCAGCTACCTGCTGGATACTAAGGTACTTTAACTTTAGTGTTATGCTTATCATGGATTTTGAAGATTATGATTATGTTTTGCTCATGTATAGCGATAGGAATTTGATCATACCTACTTGCCGTTTTTGGCATTTCCTACAGCTTCTCCCATCTTCTTCTACACCTCAGATAAAAGACGAGATGGCAGCCGCACCAGATGCAGCACAGCGCGATGTAATTCAAATAAACGCAATATTGAACTGCATAGGCGTCGAATCGCAGGACGACATGGATCTCCTCACGTCAATGTTCTACCAAGGACAGGACTACGATGACGAGACACTGTACTCAAGCTTTTTTCTGCACATGTAGTCCTTATTCCTTCAAGTTCAAAATTAATATATGGGCTTTCACACACATACTTATTTTACTTTTCCACTGCCAAAATGATCATGACAGCTGCACCTCATTTTCGTACTTCTTTTGATCGAATGAGTTGAATTTTATCCACATCGAAAACCCACAACAGATACGTAGACGCTGATGATGTGCTACGAATTTTGAAAGATTTTCTTGCGGAAAAAGAGAACGTCCGATTAGCAGACTTGTCCGGGTCTGGTGGCAACAAAAAGCAATCCGAAGACGCGGATGAGAGTAGAGTTAAGGTTTACATTTATTATTTCAAGAAACTTTCATTTCTTAATCTTATATGAAAATGACTGAGTGGTCAGACTCAGTCATTGTCATATAAGGAATAGATTAAGTTGTTAGCAGTCTGACAAGTCATATTTCCTCTGTCAATTGGTCATTTTCCTACTTGTTCTTCTAACAAAAGCCTGAGAAGGAGACAAGAGAAGAAGTTCTGGGATCGCATGTCCCTATGTCTTCCGGAGTCGACGATGCGGGTGTGGCGCGCACTCCACAGGTACATGGAGAAATATCTTAAACTCCTGCATTTCAGGAGTGGCCTAGTCGACGAAGCTGTTGACCTCCAGAAGCAGAATGAGGAGTTAAAAAAGCTATTGGATCAGTACCTGGGTTCGAAGGTGAACGACGAACTCCAAATCCCACCAACGCACGTGATCAGGGTGGTCAAGTAGTCATCCTTGCATCAAGACGACCGGACCCACTTGATGTTAAGAACTAGTGGGCCACTTGATGTTCATCTACTAGTACAACTACCAATACCATACAAAACAACAGTTGTCCGGAATACAACAGTCGTTGAACTGTTAACCGGATGAATACAACAAAAGTACAGGAACCAAATTCAAAGTCTTCAAAAGGTAACCAAATTGATAGCCTCGTCTTCATCTCGTGATTCTTATGGGGAACTCGTCTTCTCATTCTTGTGTTTGATTTTTGACCATTAGCAGAACAAGCTTCTGCAGAACAAGAACGTGAACCTAGATTTTTATGATAGATTGATAGCGAATATGGTAAGTATCTACTCTGAAGCCTGTTCTGGTGGATGGTTTAGTTTTAGAGCGGGCATCCGAAAAAAATTAGCTTGGATTAATCGAATCCTCATCTTACATTCAACGAAAACGAACAGATCTTCTTCATAACAGTACTAGGGCAACCTGCTGAATTCGCTAATCTTACTACCTGCATTTCGGTGTCTTAAAAACTCTTCATGAAAAACGCAGACGTGGAGTCGTTGGTATGTTATTTGCATAAAATGTACAACCCGAACTTGATGATCATGTTGCGAAATAAGACATGAAATTACAAGGAACGCGCGCTTGGTGGTGAAACGACCAGAGCTATTCCTATTGTTTGGCCGGCTGTTGAAGCCGTGTTGCGGTGTAGAGGGGTCGATTAGTTGTGCTGCATGAGCGGGAGTTGCATTGGTTCGTGGAGTGCGTTGATGAGCGACTAGCTACGACTCGCAAGAGAAGGTGGGAAAAGAGACACCAGTAGAGGGACCAACAACCGAGAGACAGTACGTAGGCGTCCATGAGTACGCTTTGCAGCAGCAACTTTGCTGTTTAGACGAGGATGAGAAATGTGAGGGACGAGTGCAGCTTCTAGAGAGGAAGTGTGACATTCACTTCCTCCATCACTGACTTTTTCAAGAAGATGGCTCCTGCGTCGTCCACGGTGCTCATTTCGCCTCGTGGTGCCATTCCCCGATGGCGGATAGGACCACAACGGGTGAGCGGGTGGAAACCAGCCACCGTGGGGCAAGGCCGATTGCGAGTGGTGGTCCAGTCTTGCTCTTCACACGACCCGACCGTGGTGAGAACCCGAGGTGGCTCCGTCCTTGGAGACGGACATCTGCAACTACATTTAAGGCTCAGCTTTCATTGGTCATTGGGGTCGGTCACTGAGATCGAAGAAGCGACCCATTGAAAGAACATGGGAAGATGAAGGGAATAAAGGGGAGAGCTTTGAAGGTGGTCGCTTCCGTTGTTCAGCATTAGTGGCCACTGCCTGCTGACCTTTAATGCATCATCCTCGAAGGTTTTTCACAACTTCTACCAACAACTCGCCTCCTCCGAGTATCGCTGAGGGAACCTGGCCAGAGTTCTTATCGAAGGAAAGTTGCACGGCACCACCTGGTGATGATGGTGTCACCACGAGTGCAGATAGTTGTATTGCTGGACAAGAAGCAGACGGAACTGGATCGTCGAGTTCCTCGAGTTCTTCAACGTCAACAGCTTCTGTACCTGCAAAGCTGACCAAAGTCCATGAGCGCTGGTTTGTCGTCCCTGCAAGTTTCCTTGTTCAAGGATCGGTTGGCTCCGTTTATGCCTGGTCGTTGTGGAATGCGCCGTTGACAACTAGTTTGGGCGTCGTCGCTTCGGCCGGAAGTGATTGGGCATTACAACAAAGCGTAATGAATTTTACGACAATGGCTTGTTCTCTAGGCGTGACGACGTTCTTTTTGGGGCCTTAAGGCTAGGAATAAAAATTGTGATTCAGCTTGTGCATGTTCGGCACGACGTTCCGTTCCATCATGACTACGTATTGAGAATATTGCTTGTTGGAGAGACGGGCGCCAACTGAAGTAGTAAACTACAAAGGATGGGTCGTGAACGTGATGCGAATGTAGTATCTGAACTAAGTTCCATGGGCAGAGCGCGCCGGACCCAGGTATACAGCAACAGTGTCCGCTCTGGCCTACACAGCGAGTTTTTGTACGTGTGGCGCAGCTGTATCACTGCACTCACTGCCGCTGCTCTATTGCGGTGGCGTCCTAGGGGGAATCGGTTGGGGACTTGGTTACATATCTCCGGTTTCGACCTTGCTAAAATGGTTTCCAGACCGCAGAGGCTTGGCAGGCGGCTTAGCCTTATCTGCATTTGGAGCAGGAGCAGCCATTGCGGCACCATTAATTCGAGGAGGCTTGGATTATTTCAAGTTAAGGATTCTCTTTCTCAGATTCACGTTAACAACAACACCAAGAAATAATTTTCGTTTTTTGAGTAAGAATAAGTATAATTCTCATATCTGAAGAAGAGCAGACTAAAGTCGTCGTTCTCGTTTCAACTTCTACCTTATGTTGATTCTAAGCTAGAAGCCGCCAGTTCGTGCTCCCCTTGACGCGGTGATTCGTACCGATGTCTCAACGGGAACGCAGTATTTTGGGGAGCAGGAGGTAGTGTACGCCACGAAAGCAGATCTTTTGTCTTGGAATAAGCATCTGCTGGATAGTCTAGACACTCTGGAAGCCAGTGGCGTGAACATAAATCCGGAGACAGCGGCAAAAGAAGTTCAAAGCTTTCTTGGAGAGGGATTTTATCTAGTTGCTATGGAAATAGAATCTTTGTTCGTATGCAGCTCATGTTATTTGCTCCTGTTCGCAATCGCATTTGCATAGTGTTGGATTCTAGGGACTGGACGTAGGAGCAGTCTTCTGGGTTGATTTATATGATACAGCATCATTGTGATTGCCCGTCATAACGGAGATTTGGAACTTGTCTCACCTCTACTATTTCTAACTGCTGCACCGGCGATTCTGGAGCTGCTGGGATTTTTTTTTGCCTAGCAGGTTTTTACGGTGTAAGTATGCTGGCTGGCGCCTCGCTCCTCCGAACGCCTCCGGCCAATTGGGGAGCTGCTGTGCTGAAGAGCTATGCCGATGCTGAGCAGCGGAAGCACTCATTATGCCTGCTGGAAATTTGCACAGAATAGATATTTATAGGGTTAGGGGAGTAGTAGTAGACTTCGCGCTGCCATCGAAGGCGGCGGCACGCACGCCAGCAGCCAACGCACGAAGCCCGCCCGCCTGCCTTGCCTCTTGCGCGCGCCGAACGAAGAGGGGCCGCAGCAGTGGGGGTGCTGTCAATGGAGGCCTGTCAGATGCCGCGATTATTCGCCGAGGGCCGGGCGCTGGAGGCGCTCGCGCGTCGAACAAGCACGGGCGGAACTTTAGGGGCCAAGAGTTTCCTCCCGATCGCTCTATCTCAAAAGGCGGCGGCGAAGGTTTTGGCGCGGTCTGTCAGCTTTCCGGCCTACTTCGATGGGGCGAAGGAGGTGGCGGGCTTTCCTTGTGCGTAGTGGAATGAGCGGGCGAGAGGTGTCGGACCGACGCCGCGCTGGCGCAGCTCGTGCCGGTTCCCAGTTATGCAGTAACTAAGCAACAGGCCACCTACGCATGATTCTCTCTTGATATTTAGTCTTACCTCTAATACCACAAGCAATCGGCTCTCTCGCGTCGAAGAAGTTCTCCCTTTCTGGAACATCATCGACAAGGCTGTCTGGTCTCACGGGCAAAGACAAGCGCATGACGCTAGCAACCCAGGCAAGCCAAGGCGTCGTCACTGCTCAAGGGTTAAGGCTGCTCTTCTGTCCATGAAGCTTCTACCAAGTAACCGCCTTTTATATTTCTCAGTCTGCTCTGTCTCAGGCACTCGCGCTGCGGCATCAAACAGAAAATATGTAGTTGAGATCATCGATATTGAGTTGTAAGGAAAAATCGGTCTGCATCTTGACTCACCACGACTTCCTTCTGAAATCATCTGAGTAACGCTCGAACTGAGTACAGCTCAATTTCCGCTACCCTACTCTAATTCTCGCTCTCAGTACAGCTCAGTTTCCGTTACTCTGGGGCGTGCTCTTTTGTTACGCAACCGGCGGAATGGCTCTTCTGTCTACAGCCAGCACAGTGGTCTCAGAATCTTTTGCGCCGCTTTTGCCTCAAATTGTGAGTGCGTCTTTCGCGGCCAGCTATGTTAGCGCACTCAGCCTATCGAATTCAGCGGGAAGATTGTGTTGTTAAGACTGAAGAGCTCACTCTTCTAACTCATCAGACAAAACAAGGAGTTCTGGAAGCATACAGCAGCAGCAATGGACTAATATTAAAAGGATAGAAAAAAACATAACCAACAGCGTCCCCTCCAACCTTCGAATCAAAATGAAAAACACTGGAACCAAAAACACTTGGACCAAGAACACACCTGAACCAAAAACGCACTCGAACCAAAAAAACACTGCAGCAGCAGAAACGTGGGCCCATGGATGAACTCACGAAGTCATGAGCTATCAAGAGCTCATGGGCCACGGCATAGCAAAGATTTAAGCAAGTAAAAGCTTAAAACTTTATTCTAGGCCATAAAATTCAAAGTTTTTGGATTTTCAGAATTTCAAACTTGAAACGCTTCACTCAAAAGCTTTGAGTTTATCACTGGAAAATGAATTTCAAAAAATATTTAAGCAAGGATGGGTTTTAAGCTTGATTCTAGGTGATAAAATTACCAATTCTTGGACGTTCAACATTTCAAATTTGAAATTTATGAACTCAAATTCAAAACTTTTGACTATATAATAGACAACAAACAAATTCAGACTCAAACATATCTAGGCAGAGAGGAGCTTTAAGACTGATTTTAGGTGTCAACAGTAATAGTTTTTGGGTTTCCGAAATTTCTCATTTGAAACTCAAGGTTTCAAATTCAAAACTTTTGATTTTATCCATGAAAAATGAATTTAAAAAAACGCGAAGAACAGTGCACGCAGGCCGCAAAAACGTCAACCAAACCCGGCCGCGCCTCACCGCCAGGCGCTACCTACGCGCAGTCGCCGCCGCCTGCAGCACAACGCCCCCGGCATGCCACAAAAGCCGCAGCTGGCGGGGACTGTGGCGACCGGACACACCATAGTCGATCGCAATGAAGACCATAGCACCACACACACAGAGCACAAAGAAATCCGGCGGGATCGTACGCGTCGCTCGGAGCGCATCAAAACAAACAAACAATTGAAAAAAAAACAAACTCAAAGTTCTAAATTTTATCAATAGCGAACCAATTTTGAAAAAGTCTCAAACTTTCCGGGAAATGATCTGCAGCGGTTTTTTTTTGAGTACCACCACGCCCCCGCCCCGACTCCTTTCACGCTGATCAACTCCGCCCGACGGTTGTCGGGCGGGGAAGGAGCCGGGGAAGCGCAAGCACGCCGAAACGGAGGAAGGGCGTATAGGGGGTTGGGGACTCTAGTGTGAGGAGTGCTCAACTCTAGTAGAGTAGTTCTCTCCCAAGGCATATTACACTGTTGCTTATTATAGATTGTATTGCAGCTTGTGCTAGCGTAGTTACACTTAAGTAGCATAAGATCATCTACAACATCTGGTATGATTCACTTTCACCACGTCTAATTTTTGAGCATTTCGAGCGACACCATCGGACGAAGATGTACCTACTTCGTTTTCTCGCAGATGGGTGTTCTTTCCGTGCTACTCCTGCCACGGCTCAATAAGGCTTCGGCAGCTGTGTTAACGCCACTACAAGTAGACCCTGCATTAAACGCGGCGTCCGACGCAACGAGAATTACTGCAGAATCCTTGTCCCAGGCCAGTTTAGATGCAGCTGTAGTCCAAAGTTTTGGGACCACGCCATTCGCAAGTCTTGGCACAGCCTGCGGTAGTGTGCCGGAAGCAGGACCACTGTTTGCGTTTTGTGGTTTGACGTGCCTAGTGATGAGTTTCTATGGTGGAACGTTTTCGGTACTGCCAGGGTATGTAGCGGACCTCTTCTCCGAAAAGCACGCTGGTGCGATCCATGGCCGTTTACTTACTGCATGGAGCGCGGCTAGTATTGCGGGACCACAGACTTTGGCCTTTCTGAGAGACCGAAGTTATACGAAGGCGTGTCAGGATTTGGTATCTTTTTTGGGAACGAACCAAAACCATTAGAACTGTAATATTAAAAACTTGATATTAAAATTAATGAACTGTAATATTAAAAACTTGATGTATGTTAAACTTAGTAGAGTTAATGTCAGTCGTTATTCTGGCGAGAAAAAGTTATGTCTTCATAATAAACACTCTGACTTCTCTATGTTTAGTTCTCGGTAAAAAACACACACACCACGTTCTTTGTTCTGCTTATTCTTCTCGACGACCACAAGCACAATTACATGACCACAGGTATCTCACGTTTCACCAGAAGCTTTTCTTGAGCGTTTTGGCGCTTCGACTGAGGAACTGGATACCCTAGTTGGTGCAAAAACCGTCACTATTCAACGGTTGTTGGACCTTTGTCCTGCTGGCACGCCTGATCCTAGTATTGTTATGTTACCGGATCTTCGTGAGGAGCCTAGAGCTCAGGGTTTACTAGGGATTCCTCATGTGGGAATAAGAGGGGTTTGGAAAGTAGCGAGGAGCCTAGATCTCAGGGTTTAGGGGTTCCTCATATGGGAATAACAGGGGTTTGGAAAGTAGTGAGGAGCCTAGATCTCAGTAGGGATTCCTCATGTGCATGTGGGAATAACAGGGGTTTGGAAAGTAACAGGGGTTTGGAAAGAACATCACATAGATGAAGTAGAATCTGTGGAGACCTTGTAAACTTTACAAACCTGTCGCAAGGCATCTCCTGAGACACGATAAAGAACTACTCCTCATCTTTCCTCTCCTCTAATGACACCCTATACGACGAGAGTTTCTTGGGAATAGCAATTGCGCTCTCTCTTGGTGGCGCTTTCAATTCCTTTATAAGGCCAGTCGACCCGAAGCATTTTCTTCCGGGCACTGGTAACAATGCTGCTGGTGGAGCAGGTGGAGGGAAAAGCGGTGCTGTTGGAACTACAGGAGCAGATGTTATGGCGTCGACTGGTTGTGATGTTGGCGTCGACTGACTCAGTGATATGTTGTGTTGTTCTGGCGTCGACTGACTCAGTGATATGTTGTGATGTTGGCGTCGACTGACGGAGTCGTGATATGTTGTGATGTTGGCGTCGATTGACTCAGTGATATGTTGTTGTGTTGTTCCACTGTTATGTTGTTCCACTACAAGAACTTGTCGTATTATGTGCTACAAGAACTTACCAAAATGTAAAATAATATCAAAACTATATTTTTATAACATAAATAGTACAACCCCACAAGTTCTAATACAAGCTCCATCCAGACCAAGTTCGTAAGCGGACAAGAATACATTCCGAGTCGGAACGAAGAGGATGGCGTTGTACCACTAGATGCAGTAACGCGCAGAGCGTTGCGACGGGATCCGACATTCAGAAAGGGAAGGGACGAAAAAGGTGTACTGCGCAAACCAAGATTGCCAGGGGGAGGGATCACTCTGTGATGCCAAGCTCATCAGGATCATTCGCACACGTGAAGATCATCTCGCTACGATATCTGAAAGTGAAAGAACAAGAACAAGCACACGACATCCAAGTCAAACTCATTTTCATCGACAATCTTCACTCACATCGATCTTCGCTTTTTATAACTACTGTTACCTTGTTTTCCAACGGACGGACTGATCGAGGCGACACTGAAGTGGCCCTGGACGATCATGGGAAATCAGATCCCAATCTAGTATCTTGTCTTCATATATTTAAGTAGAAGATCCTCTGGATCATGTGGTCCAACATTTTGTTGAAGATCCCTATTGATTCGTAAACTCATGATCAATGCACTCTGTCCCTTTACATTCTTGGATGAGGATTTTTATAGTTGGCACAGCATGCCAAGCTGGATCAACTTCGTGAAGATCATGTTCTAGTTAGTCTTGTCTACGATAACAGCTACAGCAGTAGCAATAAATGCACTCATGACCAGAGCCGCAGGATCTTGAGCGACATTACATCAGCTCGATGAATAAACTTGCTACTAAGTAGTTGTACTATAATCATAGTGCTGTACCAATTGAATAAGGACACGTCCTGCTTCTCAACAGGTCTGTTGCTATTGAATTCTCTAAGATTTTCACAATAACTATCATTCTACACAAAAAATGTCGTTCGAAAACGGGTGGTTTTACGAGAAGAACCGCCAATGGCCAGGACAATGTCTTGGACTCGAGGTGAAACAAATCCTGCGTCAACAGAAGACTAAGTTCCAAGACTTGGTCGTTTTTGAGTCCACCAGTTTCGGCAAGGTCCTGGTCCTGGATGGCGTTGTCCAATTGACCGAGAAAGATGAGTGCAGCTACCAAGAAATGCTGGCCCATCTACCTATGTGCAGTTCTAAGAACGCTGCGGAGAACGTGCTGATCGTCGGTGGTGGGGATGGCGGAGTGCTGAGGGAGGTTTGTAAGCACGCTTTTGCTGCTACCGGTTCTGGTACAAACAGCAGCACATCGACGTTGAAAAAAGTTGTCATGTGCGAAATCGATGCCGGAGTTTTGGACGCCGCGGAAGAGTTTTTCCCTGAGGTAAGCATCTGGCTGAAGCGCGCGCGTCGTGTAGATGGGAAGGGGAATGTGCTGAGGGAGAAGCCAGAGACGAGTGCTGTTGGAGGTAATGCTGGTGAAGCTCATAAGGATGAACAGGATTCTTCCGGATTAGAGATCACAATCGTCGTCGATGATGCCATTCAATACGTCAAAGACCAATGCCAATCCGGTTCTTTCGATGTCGTGATCATCGATAGCAGCGATCCGGATGGACCTGCTGAAGGCCTGTTTCAGCCAGCCTTTTACGAACAAGTAGCACGCATTTTGAAGCCGGAGTCGGGCGTTCTCGCGGCTCAAGGAGAGTGTCTGTGGATCCATCAGGACATTTTGAAGCAGGTCTACTTCGATTGCGGAAAATTCTTTAAGTCGAAAGCCTATGCTTCTGTGCAGGTGCCGACGTATCCTTGTGGTCAGATCTCGCTGTTTTTAGCGGCAAACTTTCAGACGGAGTTGAAGGAGCCGAGGAGGAGCTTGATGAACAACACTGTGACTGAGGAGAAGGCTGGAGCTGTGGAGGAACCTGCGATGAAGAAGCAAAAAACTGAACAAGACGGGTCCTGCAAGGCCGACACAAAGGAGGACTCGTCGACTTTCCGTTACTATTCTCCCGAGATGCATCGTGCGGCATTTGCGTTACCGCAATTTGTCAAGGACTTGTTTAGGGAGGAAAACAAGCCTGCCGCAAAGGACCAAGAAGCTTCCCCAGCGTCTTCGATTGCCACAGCATCTTCGTCTGTGGAAGCATGAAAGATAGTTTTTCCAAATCCAAGATGACAAAATTGATGAAACATTGGCTTTCGCGCAATGCTACAACTTATGTTTCGACTGACCTCTCTCTCTGTCCTTCGCAAAAGGATTGGGAATGAATACGAATGTTTTTCGCACAGATAATGTGAACGTGAACGACGTAAATTAAGATTTGCACCCCGCCCCATTAAGTGCATCTCTTTTCAAAGATCTCGGTTTCTTCAATTTTGCTTATAATTCAAGCTTGCGTGGTGCTGCGTTGCGCTACATAAAAAAAAGCTTTTTCTGGCAGATGTTGTTCCCTGTCTGTGTGAAATACTTTTGCCGATCAGGTCATTCGGCCTGAGTTTGCTCGCTAAGACCTAGAAGAAGAGTACGAATCACGACGATATTTGGTGTCTTTCTAATGGTCAAAATCGGCATAATTTCGGCAGATCAAGGAATACACAAATACATCAACATGAAATCTGTACAACAACACGCCTGTTTTAGTAGTTAGTAACGATCGAAGTGAATGTGAAAGGACCAGCTAATCCTAATGTCACCCATTTTGACCCGACAAGCAAAGTGATCTTATTCTCCAGGTCGCTAGAATGATTAATTAAACTAAAACCAGCCATATGCATATTATTCTCGTGTATCAAGAAGGAAGATTGTTGGAAACGAAGTATTTAGGAGCCAACGCGCGATCAGGAACACCAACACCTCAAGATGCATGCCCTCACGATCGAATCCGTTGACGAATATGAGGGACTGTGGGCGGGTTTGCTGAAATGGAGGGACTCTGCGGTGACGAGTGATGCAGACGAAGGCCCGATCTTCCGAGCTTTCGTCGTTTCCCTGTCCCAGGGTAAACATTGGGTCGTGGTTTATGGAAGGAAACCTGCATCTGCTGCACATCAAATAAACGCAGCACGAGGAGCACGAGATGGAAGCTCAAGCTCAAGTACAGCATCGGCGTCCACGTCTCCAAGCATAGACCTGATTCTCTTCGACACCCTGGAGCTTGATATCGAGGCTATATGGCAAGCTGGACCATTCTTTGGACAGGACCTTGGCTTCAATTTATACCTCCTAGGTCCGACGTGTGACTACCAGCGACTGCAAATCTCTTGGGAGGATGTCTATCGACGCGGAAAAGTCGCCAATAAGGTCTACTATGGGCGCGCAGACGGCATGCCATATAGGAAAGTGATAGTCCAACCAACCCTCCAGTCACGGCGGGATGGTACATGCTTGGCGCGTGCTTTGGCCGCATTACTGTGGCTGCATACGAAAGATTGGGATGCTGAGCTCAAGCCTGGAGTTTTAGACAGGGACTGGAAGTTCGAAGCACCGGATTTGAGGGAGTCATCTAAGTCAAAGACGTGTGGAAGTGGAACAGGTGGTGGCAACATTGGAAGCCCGAATCATCGATGTAGCGTTTTGGCAGACGACGAGCCGAACTACCGATTGCGAACCCTATTTTCGACTGGCGAAAGGAACGCTTTTGGTAGGCGGTTTTATACTTGTATGGAAATGGAAGAGAAATGAACAGCTAATCTTTCGATCTACTAAACCCTGATAGCAGGATTCACAACCTAGCCTAACCTTGTGTATTCAAACTCGATAACTGACACGAACACGAACACGATCCGCTCTGAGTATGAAAATGAATTTTGTCCTTTGCCTTCATATTTGTGGTGCAGTCTATCGATGCTGGACCTGCAGTGGACCCGACAGCAGCTTCACCTGACGCAGCTTTAACGGAACACCTCCGACGGGAACAAGAAGATGACCAAGTGTCCGATGCGAGAATTGTTGAGAACGAGCAGCTCAGACGAAAACGGGCACAGCAACTGATACGCATACGCCAGTTGCAGTCTCAGGGGGCCCAGCAGTTTCAACTTGAGGCAACGACGACTGAACACGGAACATCCTTTCGCCCGGCACCTTTTTGCTCCAAAGGTGTCGAAGCATGGAGAGACATCGCAGATCCGCAAGAGAGGTGGGATTTCCTCGAAAGTACGTGTTTCTGGTTCGCAAATTACGATTATCAGGTTATCAAGAAAAGCGGATATCCCGCAGGGGAGGTGTTGAAACAAGTTGTTGCTGATAGTTCTTCTGGAACAAATGGCAGTGCTCCTGAAGGTATCATGGCTAGTACGGCGACTCCTGCCAGACAAATCTTCACTCAACAGGAGCATTTCTCCTCAACTGAAAGGATACGAAAGTTTCGTCGACGTGCGACTGGGCATATCACCCACGAAGCGGACCCAACCTTTTTTGAGCCTTTGGAATCTTGCTTGCGGTTTCTGAGAGTTTCGAAGCAGGTTAATAGTGGATCTACTGCGGCGTCGACCACTCTGCTGAAAGCGGTGTCTAGTGCTAGTCGACGAAATGATCTCGAAGAGGAACAAGACAATGACGAAGAGGAACCAAGCAAAAAAACGAAAAGCGAAAAGCAGGCTGACAGAACCGGCGCTCCTGGGTCTAGTTCCGCTCCAGCATCTTCAAGGACATTTTTAGCTACTTCAGCATCAGCTTCGTCAACAGTCCAGTTCCGAGTGTGTCCCTTTCCAGAAGAGTTTCAGCATTTGTCCCTCAAAGCTATGTTGGAGTGCTTTCGGCAGAAGAGGCCCGTTGGACTCCCTGCTGAAGAGGCTGGCAAGGCGAATGTCGTAGATGACATTCTAGAGCAAATAGCCAACCTAGAAGTCGATCCAGCCCATAGATCGGAACCCATATCTGACTTCGTCCTGTCTGGCGGAGGCTTCTTGAACGATCCTAGAGAGTATCTGCCTCTATTGCACAAGGAAAGACGCACGCTTGGCTCACAGGCAGAAGTGGAACAACTCTGGCACCCAAAAATGCCTGAGAAAAAGGGGTGATTTTTTTGCAAGATCAACCTCGATTATATTAGAAGGTTCTTCTACTTGTTGGTTTTAGTATTCCTCCTCTTCGTGTGAATATGATCGATCCCTGCTTCTTTCAACATTAATACTCAACTTGCGTAGTTGGCTCACTCTGGTGGAGACCCCACCTTTTTTTTCGACCAGTAGGTACGCCTGCCAGACTCTCGTGTCACTGTTCTTCTTCCCTGGCTTCCTTTTCCAGATTCAAGAAAGAATAAGCGATGAAGATCTAAAAAAACTTGCTTAGAATCAATGCCAGCACAGATCGTCATCTTTTTGTCCGAATATAGAGTTCTGTGTCCTGATGTTCCCCGTCACACAAGCGTCCAGCTCGAGTTCCATCTCCCAACCACCAAATTGTAACTGACCCACAATATTAAAAGCCCCGTTGTGAATCAGAATGAAGAGACTACTTTCTTTTACAATAAAACCGTCAACGACAGCACCGACTCACAGCCAGGTCAAGAAAAATGCACAGGAAGTTCGTTGGAAAGATACTGTTGCAGATCGGAAATTCATCAACTTTCTTTCTAAAGGGATCCAACCCATTTCGATTTACATCAGTATTTTCACAGTGTGTGTGTGATTGTAATTAGTCGTCGGAGAAAGACTAGAAAGTAGCAAAGCCTGAGTTTTTCTTTTATGCTTGATGCCAATAAGAGAAGTGACTTAATATTGTTCATCGATGTCGCGACTTTTTCCTTCTATGCTTCTTCTTTAAAAGAACATGACTTGTGCAACGGACAGCATTTCTCTTCATCTGCTCTCTTTGCCGGCGTCCACGCATAGTCGCGAAGAGGGGGTGCCCCGGTCGTGCGACACCTGCTTGCTAGACGCATCACGTCGCAACGATCCAATACGAATACCGACATCTTCATCTGCAATACGAATACAGACAAGGTGGAGGTGATAGGTTCGGTTGTAGTTGTGCTTGTAGTTGTGCAGCCGAGGCGAAACTCCTGAAGCTTAATATTAGCGCGAAGCTTATTACTAGAACTAGGTAAGAGCAGGACCCGCGACCTGCTTTATTCAGCGACCGACCTTTATCCAGCGAGCGACCATATCGACTTCGACTCCACAAGATGTTTGCTGCCTGTCGGACGTTAGGAATCACGTCTACGACGTCGTTCGACGATGCGAAGAAAGCCTACAGGAAACTGGCATTAACCAAGCATCCGGATAAACAAGGTGGCTCCAAAGAAGAGTTTCAGAAAATCACTGATGCTTGGGAATGGCTCAAAAACAATCACACAGCCTTTAAAAATGGTGGGGCAAAGGCTGCTGCGGGAGGTAATAACAATTTAACTTTATAATATCCTAACTAATTCCCATTTCTAGAAAATGCTTGTTGTTGAAATGCTGATGAAGTAGATCATGTTCGAAGATTTAGGTTTTGAATATCGGACTCTGCTGTAATATGATGATGATGTTGATGAGCAAGACGCTGTTGAGTATACTTAAAGTGAAGACGAAAGAAGTGCGTCGGATGTGCCTTTAGGTTCTTATCATTCTCATTCTCAAGAAATGAAAGGCGTTGTACAACTTCTAAAGGCACTTATCATTCTCATTCTCAAGAAATGAAAGGCGTTGTATAACTTCTACTACTTAACTTTATCAGAACGTTATATCTTACTCTTCCAGGAGGTCGTCCAACCACGTCGACCTCGCAACCCGCTGCTCGGCCAAAAAATGCTATGGCAAGGGGGACGACTACGGTCAACATGCAGAGGAATGCAAGGACTATGGAAGAGGGAATACGCCAAGTTTTTGGCGGATTTTCGGGTTCGCCAAGTAGTGATGATAGTGACGACGACGATGAAGGCCCTTATGCTTGGAACTTCGACTTGAAAGGAGGCCAGAATGGAGGCATGGGTGGCGCTGCATCGTCCAGTAGCTCTTCGTGGAAAGGCGGACCAAGTGGCCCTGGCGGGGGCTCGAACATGAACTACAACAAGGGAGGAAAGCAGGGCAAAGGAGGAGCATTTCCAGGTGCTAATATGAACACATCGTCTGCTTATGGTGGTAAAGCAGGTGGCGCTGGTGGTGCTTATGGAGGAACAAATAAGGGTTCTGGTAAGGGCTTCGACTCATGCGCTATGAACGAGCAACAATGGCTTCAGCAGCAACAGAGGGCAGAGGCGAAGAAACGCGAGAGGCAGAACTTCATGGATGACAAGTACATGTCAGAACCAGTACTGTTACCACGTGACGTTCTTTCAGCCAGATTGCGGGACTTGTTTCAGACCACCAACGAAGGGAGTTTGACCAAGCAGGTGGGCGTGTTCACCCTGGCACAGATGCAGCAAGTGGAGTTGGAGATCCGACGGGGTCTGGAAGAGAGGCTGACGAAGCACAAGATGATGGTGGAAGCAGAGACAAGATTGCCTTTGGATCGGTGCCGATTGCTAGTAGCGCATTTGCTGAGGAAGGAGATTCCGACGCTGAAAAAAGCGAAAAGGAAATGCGAAGCCTTGTTGAAAGAACTCAAAACGCGTAGTGCGAGCTCTGAATCGGCGAGTAAAAGTCCTAGACTCGTTTTCCTTTTGCGTCGCTGCGAAGAAGAAAAACAGCAGTTGACCGAGCGATTGGCTGCCGCACAGCATTGCCTCACACGGGTGCAGCCGGTTTTAGAGTTTTACCGCAATCGGGTGGAAAACTGTCGGGAGTTTACTGAGGCAGCCGCAGCTGCGAGAACCAGAGACAGTGGGGGCAATAGGCTTCCTGCGATTGACTGGAAGACGTGCGGTTTCACAGCACAAGAGACGCGTGAATTTGAAGCTATTCTGCAAGCAACAAGAGATCGCGGCATTGAGGAGGAAGATCTGCTGTCTAGTAGTGAAGGCGAAGAGCAGGAACAACAAAACTGGTCATGTGGACCGGCAGGTGGAGGTGTGAGCCCTTCTGGGCAGATGAAGGAGCCCGTCAATCCAATCAACCTCGAGGACCAAAACAACTCTAGAAAGAGTTTCCTCCAAGCCTCTTCCTCATCATCATCCGAAGATCTTAGACAAGAACCTGTGGTCGCTGCCGTGTCAACATCTGCGTCTAGCAATCAGGGAGCAAGTAACAGTCTAGCCCGTGAGCTTTTCTCAATACCTGAAGGCAACGAATTAGACTGGAATGACGATGAAGATCCGAGTCCACCGTCATTGGGTCGTCTAGCTAGGAACAAGCCAGCAGCAGGAGCAGGAGCAGGACCCAAACAAGGAGCAGCGCAAGCTCAGTGCTTGGGCAGCGGAGGCAAGTCAGCAAGCAGTGGGGCTGAAGATTCGTCGTCAAAGAACGAAGCTCAAGCAGATGGCAAGGATGAGACGAAGAACCAATCAGACGATGAATATACCTCGGACAGCGATGTTCCTTTGCGTGATGACTCTACCTCAGATAGCGAAATGGATATGACGATGTTTCATAAACCGAAGAAAAACGTGGTCAACGCCTACGATCTGAGCTCGGGACCTACTGGCAATGCCGCGCCAGCCTTTCCGCCAACTAGGGCAGCGGCTGCTGGAATTATTGGGACTGGTGGGGCTAGTGCCAGTAGCAGTAGCAGTAAACCTCCTCCGCAAGAAGGCCAAGGACAAGGAGAAGGACAAAGACAGCAAGGAGTAGCGGGGAAAGAGGCAACGACTTCATCTTCTTCGGTTCCACCAGTAGCTAGTCCAACTGAAGGAGGCGCGTTTTCGTCTAATAGTGCTGCCCCACCGGATAGTAGTAGTTCTAGTGCCAGTGAAGGTGCAGTAAACGGAAAGCGGCCATCCCCTTCCCATGAAGGAGCGGCTGCACCACCTGAGGACGCTACTGCCGGCGCTCAGAACGGCGTCAAAGTCAGGAAGTTCGACGCATCAGAAAACGACGTGAGGAAAGACGACGACCGATCTGCCTCTGCGCCAGCAACAGCACAACCGCCACAAGGACATCAAGACAAAAAATCTCCGGAACGGCCATCTTTGAAGCGACAACGTGTCAACAGCACCGAAGCAGAGAAAGGAGCACTAGTTCGAAAAATAGATCAAGATGCTGATAAAAGCAACACTTCTTCCTCTGATTCCGACGAAGAAGAAGAAGAGTCTGAAGAAGATACCTCAGATAGTGAAATCTTACAGACGAGAGCTCTTGAGCGTGCTAGTCGTAAAGCACTTAAATCTGCAGTAAAAAAGCAGACAACGTCACGAAAAGTAGATGAACACCTGCAGGGTACTCCTGCAGCAACTTCTTCTAGTGCAACGTCGTCTATCAAACGGCAGCTCACGAATGGGACCACAAGTGGGCCAAAATCAGAAGTTGTTCCGAGTGGAACATATTCTAAACCGACGACGGCCGTTGCATCACCCTCACTTGATGACACGACTGCAGAACAACAAAAATCTGGCGCAACGACTACAACGAAAATGGTCTCCCAACTGAGGCGTATGCAGTTTCGCGCAAATGCACCTGGAGTCCACAAGAAGCTCCTTGATTGGCACAAGTGCTTGATGGAAATAGTAGGAGGAGAGCAAGACCACGACAACGAGCAGCCGCGGTTTGAGATCCAAGAGCGTTTGTCGCTGTTGTACGACCTCTTCGACAACAAGTTCGCACTAGACAAGCGTCCACAATCACGAGCCTCGAAGAGGGAGCAGCTGACTGCGAAGGAGCGTGAGGTTTTTGACCACTGGACGAAAGAGGAGGCCGAATTTTCTGCGCTGTTGGATGGGCACGAGGATGCTTCTAGACAGCGACAGGTCTTACGCGACTTTTCTCCACGCAAGAGGGCCCACTTTTACCGGTACCTGGCTAGGGAAGCGGCCACTTCATGCGCGAAAGAAGCAACTGATGTACGAGCTGGATCAACATCATCCCCCGCTCTCGGAGGTGCGTTATCTTCTGCGTCGTCCTCTAGCAATGCCGCAAAGAATGTTGCACCTCCACCTGCAAATAAAAGTCAACAACAGCAGCATCAGAATCAAGTCCAAGCCGGCTCATCTTCTTCTTCAAGTTCTTCGTCTTCGACCTCTCTTGCTGCAAGTCTGCTCGCCAACATGCGAAAAAGAGAGAACGCAGAGCAGGTGAAAAATGGAGACATCATACCTTCGCAAGCGCCTTCTCATGACAGAAGTGTGCAGAACCTCATTTTTTCCAGAGCGGCTAAAAGCGGCCCTGACGTCACTTCCACCTCTTCACTGTCTTCTATCGGAGCACAAACGTGGCTCGCGTCCGAAAAGCATAAGTCTCTGCTCGAATCGGATGAGGAGTACAAGCAAGGAGCGTCGGTACTGCAATTTCTGCGGGACCCAGCACTTTCGGACGAAGAGCGCGGAAAAAGGATAAAGCTCCTATCCGAAAGCAACCGGAAGCACTTGCAGCACCTCTTTACACTCAGTGGACTGCCTAGCGAGTCGTTTCTTAGGGGTCTCAAGTTCAAGAAGAGTCGTGGTGGAGAGGAAAGCAGAACTGCGTCAAATTCAAAGAACAAGAGCGCTGCATCATCATCAGCATCGTCTTCGAAAAGTAAAGTTGGTCTACTAGTAAAGGATCTGGATCAAGGTAAGGCACAAGAACCACAACGAAAACCAGCACTTGAGAGCAAGCAGTCTGAGTTGACAGCTACTGCGAATGTAAAGAAATCATCTACTGAACCCCAAGCGACTGTCGGCATAAAGAATACGACTACCGCTTTGCCAGGTGGTAAAGAAAACGAGAAGAGCAACAGCACGGAGGACCACGTCGGCATGAAGAATGGGAACGGCGGTTGTAAGGTCGAAAAGAACTACCAAGACCAGCTGAGAACCAAGACCACTTCGAACATCAAGCCTCTAGCAACTTCCAACTCTTCAGAGGACAAACCTCACAAACCTCAATCAGCGGATGATGACGACGTTATTATTGTCGATGACGATTCTGAGGATGACATTGACAAATGGCAGGAGACTGCCCGTTCTAGCGATTTCTCGTCGGTTGGTCCCGGAGCTGACAAGGGAGCTCCGAAGCCTGCCATAGGTGAACATGAGCAGAAGGAAGCTGAACACGAGCAGACAGAATCGGAAGACGACATCGACGCATTCTTTCGCGACAAATAGGTCGCAAATAGGTCACCAAATAGGTCACAATCTACCCAGAAATACAATGTCTTTCCCAAAAAACCCTGAAAAAATTTCCCATTTTCACTTCTTCAGGAGGATTCAACCTCAATCAACAACAACATTGCTATTTCTCTTTCAATTTTTTTTTATTCAAAAAGCGATCAACAACCTCTGCCACCTCAAGGTGCGCGCAACAGACGACTTGGCTGCAAGCGATAGCGGATAGCGACATCTAAATGATAATCGAATAGCGAAGATGATCGGGATCCAGCTTCAATATCTCCGAATTGTTCTTTATCCACTTTTCAAATGACAATTTTCTAGCCCTAGGAAACGGATACGGATAGTAGTCCCTGGGCTCCTGCGTGAAGAGTAAGGTTGTCTGTGTTCTAGCAATGATGATGATCTTAATGATGATGATGATGAGGGGAATCAGTGCGTCTACGATGATGACCTTCAAGAAGAACTAAAATTATGTGAAGACCGCAAAGTCAAAGATACTGGAATTTAGAACGAAGTTGCAGCGAATAAAGATGGTGAGCTTATTTCCATTTATTACTTGTTGGCGTTGATGCGCTTCGTCAAAAAATTTCAATGTACTTGAGAAGACGTAGTATTTCCAACAAGAACATCACGAATCATGCAATCTTAGAATAATCACCGCGAGCGCGACCAATCCCTGTTGAAGACCAGCACACGATCAAACAGCATGACAGTGTCAACCGCGAAAGGAAATTGATCAATCTTGGTTCGAATTTCGTCTCGTCTTCCCTCCACATTCCGTCCATGTTTATGAAAGTGTGCGTCATGTCATTTCGTATCAGAAAAGAAAAACCATCTCAACAATCTTGTCTTGTCATATCGGAAGAAAACGTGTGTATCTTCTCCATCCTCTGAAGTGCTTTCCTTTTCCATGTTGCAGCTTCTGAATGTACGATGCGCGAAAACTCAAGCTTCAAAATCCTTCTTCTTCTATGAGTAGAAAGAGTGATTGCGATTGCGGTATGCCTGTGTTGCAAGCGTCTCTAGATTATTGTACTACTTTGGAAGACGGTTATTTTTATCGATATTTTCGACGAAGCGACGCAGTGGAGTTGATGACTAAGAAATTGCGAATACTAAGAGATGAAGATTTCTTGTGACTACTGAAATTGTGAAAATAAGTAGCTATTTGATAAAATTGAGGAAAGATGAAAAAAAAATTGAAGATAGCAGCGCTATAATTGTATGTCCTAATAGTTGTACTAGTCAACAGTCTAGTACTAGTATTAACTTCATCTTGTAGAATTAATCCAACGACGAGCTAGTACACGAAGCCACCCTCAGTACTTCCGGACTTTTCTAGTGGGCCCGCATCTAACCTAACCTAGTAAGGTAGAGGAGCTTCATCAGACTGGATCTCTCCGTTTCTATGAGGATCCCTTATCTGATTGAAGATATTCTTTATTATTTCCATTTCTTAGAAAGTTAGACTTTAATATTTTTTACCCTCACAAGCAACATTATAGTTATACCCTCCAAATCTATAAAAGCGTACTATTGATGGTTAGTAGCGCATACATAGACCACCTCCCATAATTTAGACTAGTACTACAACGACTTTGTTTCTATACAACCCATACTAGTAGAACAAGTACCCATTCTTGAAGATTCACAAGAACTTAGTTCTTACTCACAACTTAGTACTTACAACTTTGACTACTTAGTGTTATAACTGGTCCAGGGAAATTGATTCCGAAAGACTAACCCGTAAGATAACGACGTAGCGACGACTGACGACACGACTTATACTAATTTCCTTTATTGTTCCAATTCCAAAAACTTCATAGGTTTGAAAGAGAGAGAGAGGAACGGAAATACTAGCAAAAAAAACGAAGAGATAGGTGACATATTTAGAAGAACCAGAAGCTGAAGGAGCAGTTTTGACTAGAACGCCTTTCTACTTGTAGGAAGGCGGGCGACCAAAGAACGACAGCGACATACAGCAATACTTTTGACGGTTGGACTCGAAGATTGACTATTTCTAGCTTGTTATAAAAACACAAGTACAAGTACGACGAAACGACACGACAACGCAGAACAACTACTACTAGTCTACTAGTCTCAACAACATTTAATCCTCTTCGAGCAGCACAACTGCGACTAGGAACCATCTGTCTCGAAGTATATCAAAAAAATGGTATTGTCCCCGTCGTTTTCCCCATTCCTTGCTGGCACGATGCTGAACGATGAAAATAGCACAACTGGTCGTGGTGTTGGAGGTCCAATCGATGCTACTTCAGCTTCGACCACCGACGTTGACATCTCCTCGATCTTCCTTCAAAACTCAGCAAACACTTCTAGCTCTGCTTTTGGAGAGATGAATGCAGGTGCTCGGACGAATCAGCAACAAGAGCAATGCCTTCTACCGACATCCTTTTTTATGGCTACAGTTTATTTTGATTGAACTACTTTTTCTTTTTCACACAACGGTACCTCCCACTCAAGCTGCAGAAGTATCTTTTACTCAAGCTCAAGCAGCCCTTCCTCCGAAGAGAAACAGATTCTGAGCACAACATGTACTCAGATATTAAGCCTACCGAAGAACTACAGATAAATGAATTATAGTACCACCATCCTGATCCTGAATCGGAACTACTACTACTCTAATATTGCCACGACCCCATCGATCAACATCACGCCATCTTCGATGGTCGCTCCGTCGCCTACTCTGTCTGCGACTGGGAGTGAGTCATCCGGTGCTTCGGTTGACGCTCCATCCTGGCTTGTTGGCATGTTGGTCGGAGAAGAGGCTCCGCCGACCTTACGTACTTACTACAAGTTCTATTTGAATTTGAAGATGCAAGTGCAACCACCTTTGAAGAGTCATATTGTTGTTGGATGTTTCGGCTCACCATATTACGTTCTATGTGAAGAGTCATATCTGCATGTGCTTTTGGTGATCATGTGTATCTGATAAACGCTCTATTGGCTCTTCAGCTTATCCTTGTTGCTACTTCATCATCATTTGTGATCGACACTGGCGCCTCTAACGTCACATTCTCCTTCCTAACCCCAACATATCACAGCCCTACCCCCACGAGAGGGTGATCACGCAGCAGCTGCCAACTTCTTGCTCGGTGGTGGATCATCGCCGACGGGAACTCCCATGGACGAAACGACTCCTCGGGAAGCGAATTCCTGTCGCAGCAATAACATCTTCCACACCTCTAGCGCAGCTCGAGGCTTGCAGGAACTGGAGGAGATGCAAAAGAGGAATGCAGCTGGTCTTGCGGAAAGTGGAGTAGACGAGGAAAGTGGAGTTCCCGGAGTTGACGCAGTGTTGAACGTCAGAGAACTTGTCGAGGAAAATGGTGAAATAAACGATATCAACAAGAAGGAGACCACGAGGACACTTGTGGGCGTGAACGTGGCCACTCTTGAGGGCGTGAAAGCAGAGCAACAGGAGCAACAGGAGAAAGAAATCCAAATCCAGCCAGACGGTAGTTCAAACGGAGGAGCCGCACAGAGAAGCCATGATAGTACCCGATCCTACACCACCAGCAGCACACATCACCTGAACAACGGCAGAGATGTGCCCTCCTTCTTTCCACCTGGTAAGAACAATTTTGGACTTGGAGGAAAAAATAGTCATGTTGCTCCTACCTCAATGCATCTTCAGAACAGTAGTTATTCATCTTGTAAAACGTCAAAAGGCAGTCACAGTCACTATAATCAGCACAATATGAGCAAGAACAACATATTCCATAACAGTACATCGTCATCTTCATCAACATCCAGTACTACCTCAGCATACGGAAACGGATCAGCATCTTCAAGTGGTCATTTTCAACACCACTACCACAGAAGATATCAACAACAACATCCTACCCCAGGGACTACATCGTTCCATAGTTCTACAACTAACCCTGGAGGTTTTACTCATCTTCATGGCACTAGAAGGATAAATTACCCATATCATAATCATGGTCTTCATGGAACAAGTGCGTCCTCCTCTTCGACAGCTTCTTCGTCGTATTTCTTCAACAAGAACCCACATCAACCCAACAACTATATGGTTAGAGGAGGAAACCGTGGTTGGCAGTCGCATCCCCATGCGGTTGGCCGTGGTCGGCTTCAATTCTTTCCGAACAAAGGAGGAGGAGGTGCAAAAATGAAAATCATGAATTAGAATCTTCCTATTCGTGTGGATCAAACCATGAACATCCTCTTTGAAAAAAATGAAAATTCAATGTTGAAGATTCAGAAGAATTATAGATGACTATGACGAACAAGAATGGGAATCAAAATGTTGGCTGAAGGCAGCTGTGTATCTGGAATATCTTTCTCTACTCAGCATGAATGCGCTTCTAAATCTTCGAATCAATAGGAACGACGGAGGACAACTAATCTAAGCTTCACTTGTAATCTGCAAGATGAAGTTGCAAACTACACCACGCCCTCACTCATGAGGAATGTTGCACCTGCGTTTCTTCCTCAGCGTTACCCACCCCCCAACCCCAATTAACAACAACAAGTAACTAGAAGAATAGTACGTAATTCTTCTAGACCTCTAGGTAGTAATACGTACCATTGACTCATTCCATTACTACTCATACCAATTATCAGCGTTTTCCTTCTATAGACCTCTAGGTAGTAGTTCTAGTTAGAAGTAGTACAACAACAAGTACCTCGCACAATCGCCCTCCTACTCACTCCTACCTAGGTACAACAACCATTCCCGGATCAGCTGGCACAAGAAGCGCTCATGGTTCCCCCAGAGTTGGTGAGCCGAAGATGCGGGTTATTGTGTGTGAGAACGGCACTAGGGTCAACGTCCAGGCAGAAGGGGAATACACACTAGAGAAAATTCCAGGTTATGATTCTTTCGTTGAGGAATCGTGGAGAAAAACTTTGACATCTGCGAAGAAAGGTGGAGCTTCTAAGGAGACTAGTCGAACTGCGTCTGAGCAGGATCTTCATGCCCCTGCTGTTGTGGCCACTTCTGTGGACGTGGTGGAGACGAGCAGTGGAGCTTCTGCAAGCAAAATGCTGAGTTCCTCTTCTGTGAAGACCAGCAACTCTACAGCTTCGACTTCTTCTTCGACTACTACTTTGGTGAAAGAGGAGGCGCCTCTTGGCGAGGTGAACCAAGAAAGCGAACAGAACAAGGACGAGGTGACGAATAAAACTACTTCGAGGACGTCTACGGGGGCATCTACTCCATGCTCTTCAAAAGATGTAGTTGACCGGCCACCACAGAAAACGACCAGTTGCCCATTGGTACTCGCTAATATCGCGGTCTCTTCTGGCGATTTGCAGTCTCACGCAGGTCTGGAGCTGCCGATCGAAAAACGAACTTCCGACGCTGCTGAAATCATCAAAAATAGAGCCGCAATTTTAAGGCTTACCCCGATCCATCTTCTGAAGCATCTTAGACCTGTCCCATAAGAGGGGAACAGTAGGTCTAAGATGAGTCCCGCGGTGGATTAGGCGGAGGCTCTAACAGTTGCAGCAGAGGCAGCAGCAAAGGCAGCTGCTGCGGCAAATGGAACAAGCGTTGGTCTTGGTGTTGGTGTTGTACCATCTCCCAACCCACCAGCTCCACCTCCAGTAGTGCCAGAAATAAAGCTGAACTTCAAACCAGTTGTAGAACAACTACAGCAACAACAGAATTCCTCCAACACTTAAGGCTCACCATATTAAGTATTTCATTTCCACGACTCATTTCTCGTAGTTCTCCTCTTGGGATTCTGAAGAAATGGAGGGAAGAAGTGAACTCTTTTGAGCTCTAAAACAACTCCCCCGGTGTAGTTTCATGCACACCTAGTAGATCTTCGATGATCTCTGTGCCATCAGAACAAGGTCTGCAGCAGAATTATAAACGTCCTGCTGAATCTTGTGAACGACAGGAGAATGGTTTGTTCGATTTTAACAATATTCAACAAAACACGACTGCGCCTCTTGCATCCACTACAAATACAGCAGGTGGATCGGATTTGTTGGGGAGTTTGTTAGCTGAAGCGGACTTAGGATTAGGATTAGGCTCTTCAGCCTCAGCGGGAGTTCTAGGTGGAGCTGGAGGCTCAGCTGCAGTTTCAGAAGGGCAACAAGGACAACTAGCTCAACACCCATCTCCGAAGAAGCGGAAGTTCTCACGCTCTAGCCCTTTCCCGGAAATTCAAGAGCTTGATTGGGAGCAGGTCCCAAAAGGCGTGGACTACAACGTGGTTCACAATTACCAAAACTGGCTCCGAACGAAGTCCTATGGAGGCAAGGCTGGAAACGTGAACCCGAAGCAAATTGCTTTCCGAGTTCCGCAAGATTGCGTTGGACTTATTCTAGGGAAAGGAGGTACTGAGACTTACTGGCATGCATCATATGTGTCTTACTTATACTTCTGTCTGGACATGAGCCGCTCTAGAAGTCATGCGAGTGAGAATAAGTTGACGAGTATGAGGGGCTTTGATCTGTTTTAGCGGGAGGGCAGTCTCTTTGACTCAAACGGAGACGAGACGGCCGCGGATGTCCACGCTTTTGGCGGACGATGTCGAGCGACGTGCTGCGGGCTTCTCCATCCCAGCCCATGCGTGGCCCATGCATCGGGTGCCACGGCGAGCTCGAGCCACCAAAAGCCACGAGAGCACCAACGCCATGGCCAGCATGCTGACCTCAGGCGAGAACTTGCCGCCTCTCCCCGACATGATCAGAAGCGCCGGGTCTGCTCTCTTACAAAAACCTACGGAAACGCAGGGCGGGCCTGTTTTCAGGGAGCTGGCCCCCAACAAAGTTGGCGCGCGCGGGCCTCTCCTGGCTCGCCTCCAAGGTTCACCACAGAGCAAAGGGGCCCCCCCTCAGTTGTCTGGGTCCTTCGTTCGAGCTCACCGCGCGACGAACTGAAGCCGAAGCAAGAACACCAACGGAAATGGGTGCAAATGTGCACAGGTCTGGCGCAGACACTTATGACGCGCCCGCGGGGCAGTGCGCGCGTTTCATTTGTTACAGGGGAGCGAGCAGCAGGGAGCGGGTCGTGGCTGCACTCAGCGAAGACATGAACGCCTGCCGCTTTAGTTTAATCGCGAAGCAGCTGCCGCGACTGCTGTGCTGACTGGTAGGGGCGGCGCCGTTGGCGCGACGTCTTCAAAGGGCGAGCCGGCTCCGAGTGCTGTGCGAAGGCCGTACTTCGGCAAAAGAACAGGAAGGAAGGAAGCGGCGGCGGGTGAGCACGACCCTGGCGCCGCAAGGACGCGGCAGGGCACTCTTTTTGCGTGTGATGGCTGACGAATACGCAGCAGAAGGGCGCGCGGTGGCATTGTTCGCCACCATCCACAAGCGCGGCGGCCGCTGCGCTGTCACCGTGCCGCACGCGTGGGCAATCAAGGCGCCGCGGCGTCGTACTTCAAAGAAAGACGCTTCCAGCCGCAAGGTTTCTAGCCGACAGCCATTGAGGTGCTCAAGGTTTTCTTACGGCGAGGGCGATGTGTCCGCTCTCAGCCACATGCTCTTGCATATTGCTCGCCTCTCGGGGCATCTTTTCTTTGTGCGTCGCAGCCAACTATCACCCACCTTTCAAAAAGAAACCCAAAGAAACGATCACTCCGTCTCCCAAGGCGCCAGTGAGTGACAAGCAAATCGGGAATCATGTCACGCAGAGGATGAAACCCCACGCGGCGACTGCGTCACTCCCGGCGAAGGTTAGCGGTCGCCCGCGTCCCCCAACAGGCACAGCCTAACCGACGGTCGGCCCTGGTCTCTTTTATAAGAGGTACGACGGTAAGTTGGTTTACTTGTCGGCTTACGTCGATGACGGTTTACTGGTCGGGGCGCCAGAAGCTATGAAGAAGACGAACCTGGAGTCAATCATGAGAGACGTGCACTGGGGAAGTGATGGCGTGTGCTCCCACATGGCTGGGAAATTCGTGACAAAGAGCCCCTTGATTGCTGATGGGCCTCCATTCACGATCAAAGATGGCGACGCGAGCCAGGAACTGACTGAATTCGCCTACCAGGAATGGATCGAAAGAGAACTATCGACAAAGCTAGGGAGGAAGTACTTCGTCACTTCAAGGGTAGAAAGTTAGACCCTAAGAAACAGGAGGACGGTTCCGTAGTGCTAGACTATCTGGGATTTAATATATCTTGGACTGGTAAAGTTGTGGAGCTGTCTGCTCACTTAGATAAGTTGCTGAGTAAGTTTGACGTACACAAAAAGAGTAAGTGTCCGATCAGCAAGCAACTCGTGGGCGAGGGCGAGCCAGTTGATGGTCACCAGTATCGATCGATGGTCGGACACGTAGCGTGGATCTCAAACGCTAGACCGGAGATAGCTTTTGCTATCAAAGAAGTTATTCGCTTTATGGCTAATCCTACTACAGAGTCTTTAGACGCAGTAGAGAAGCTAGTTGCGTATATTAAAGACACCCAAGAGCTGAAGTTAGTTCTTAAGCCTATGACCGAAGAGCTTCTGCTAGAGGTCGACCAGGTGACGCTTACGGCGAAAGCCTGCGCTTGGGCTTCGGTCCCAGGCCAGCCATCTACGGTGGACACGCCGCCAGCCGAAGGGTGCGCCGATGTCCGGTTTTATCCAAGTCCAGGCTCCAAAATTGATTTGGAGGGGCGTGGTTTCATTTGGCTCCGTGACCAGACTTTTGCCGATCTACGCAGCTTGTTGCGTCCTTGCTTAAGGATGCGACAGGACAGCGTAGCCCTAAAGTATCACGTGCGGCCAGAAAACGTGTCAGAGGTGGGGAAAAAATTCTTCGCCATTCATCCACAATCGAGCAAAGCGAAAGCGCTGTCGTGCGCAGTTAAGGCCACCAATTCGAACTTAAAATACGCCGTGGCTGAGGTGCGCCTGGCCGAACTCAATTACAGAGGAAGAGCGGCCGGGCCGCCGATTTCTAAAGAGGAAAGCGCCGCGTCGTCAGATGAAGTTTTCGAAGATCCTGGAAACATTTCAACGCTCCCAGCGCACGGACCTGCTGAAACCATGGAAACCACAGAGACCGTAGAACCTCCCGTGGTGCGAGTCGTCTCCGACGTTTTCAAAACATTCCGGGATCTTGACGCAGCAAGGATTCCCGCAGTCAGGCTGCCTTCGCGATGAATAAACACAGCGCGCGCCCACAGAGTCCGGGCATCCGCACAAAAAAAGCAGCGAGGCGACGGCCTCGGCCGGGTGGAGCTTCCTCCATGTGCTCCGCTTTTCGAGGGCGTGAGAGCGGTCCATGTGCGCAGCAACACCGCGACCGGCTGAAAATGCTCCCCGCGTCTCGGCCTCAATTCGGCGGCTCTGCTTGATACGGCGGAAACCGCCGCCGACGTCTGCGCCATTTATTCCGCTGGCGCCGGCCTCACTCTCAAACATTTAGCCCGCGGGGGGGGCGTGAGAGTAGCTGGCACGCGGCTGACGCATAAGGAAGGGCAGGCTTGGGCCGTCTTCGAACTCGAAGCAAGGCCGGCGTCGCGCTTGTTTCGGAGTGAGCGGCAGCGGAGTCCCCGGAGAAGGGCCCCGCTGCTTGTGGGGGATATCCATCCAGGTGGACCAAGTAGGCACAAGGAAGCCGACGGCGGTGAGCGTGGCGGAACAGGACCGCGCGCGTTTCATTGTGTTGCGGCTGCGGGTTCGCATTTTCAGGCGTTGCTTGTGTTGCAGCCAATACGCTGCAGAAGGGGCTGGCGCCTTAGTTTTAGTCTGTCGGCCGGTGTATGTATCTAGAAGTAAGTCAGTCTTAACCATCTCAAAGCCTAAGGTAGACCTTAGCTTATGCTATAGCTATATACAGGAGCGTGGGAGTGGGTCTTCTGGTTTGTTTATTTTTACAAGAGTTTACATCTGAGTCTAAATACACCACGGCCTCCAGGTAAAACTTTGAACGGAATTCGCGATCGAACGGAATGCTTCATCAATGTGGACCAATCTTCTTGGAAGCTAGGCTACAGCGAAATTGTGGTGACCGCCTTACATGTCGACCAGTTATCGACTTGCTACAACGAGATCCATCGAACAATGGATGATCACAAGGTAGAGTAGTTTCTTGTTTCTTAATGTCGAACTTGATATAGATACGCAGAGGTAGAGTGAGGAGTTTACTCTTCAATGCTGTCGAACTTGATGTCCTTTCAGTCATTGTTGTCCACCGACTTTTTTAGTATCCATTACAGTCACTGGCACCGGCATCAATTGCTTTCGAGTTATGAGATGCTTATGCTGATTCGTTGTTGGAAAAATCAAGTAGACTTTTTACAACATTTTCATTTCTCAAATCATACATTTTCTTCAAAAAATATTTCAGGGTCCTCTTCACGCGACTATGGGGAAGGGAGCTCGCCCACGTGGCTACGTGCATGGCGGCTATCTGTCAGAGGGGCCATCCTCTAACTCTATGACCAGAACTACTTCTATGACCAGTTCATCTGGCATCTTCAACAACAACAACAACTATAGCAGTAGTGGTTGCAGTGCAGATAAAGGCAATTGTTTAATTACCAGCGCGACCAGAGACTATAGCGCATCGACGTTCGGCACATCATCAAACAGCATCCCTATTGGAGGTTCACTTGGCGGATCCTCGACGTCCATTGCTGACATCTTGGGAATGGGAACTGCAGCTGGTGGAACCGCCTCCACTATCAATATCAACAGTAAAAACAACTCTTCTTCTTCCTCAACGACGCCAGCAGGCAGCTCGATGGCCGCTGCAGCTGCAGTTCCTAAGACCGGCGGCATATCACCATCAAAACCTGTGCCACATCAAGATCATTCGGTCGTGGGCGAAGCAGTTCCGTTGGTTGAGAAAACAGCCTCAACATCATCAATCTTCAATGAAGACGCTTCTTCCAAGGGACATCAAGGTTGTCCACCTGCGGGATTGTCTGCGGAGGACCAGATGTTGAATACAAGTGGCGAAAATCCAAGTATTTTCGATCTTGGAATTGAACAACAACTAGAGGAGGAGGACAATTATGTTGACAAGGAGAAGGATAGACGTACTAGCATGATCAACATCAACAAGTCTACTCCTACAACTTCGAATGGCGCATCCTCCAGTGAACCAGAGGCAGCCGACGCCTTGAATGTTCCGGTTGACTACGTTGGGCTCATTATAGGCGCAGGTGGGCGCTCGTTGCAGAAAATCAAAGCGCATACTGGCGCTTCAGTGACGATTATCCCCCATCCGAATCCAGATGATATGAACTTCAAAAGTGCGCACATATGCGGGAACAGGGAACAAGTACTAGTGATAGAAGTTGTGATACCTCCAGACGAGTTCAGTCACTACTTTTGGTTCGTGTGTAACTTACAGACTTTAATATTTCAAATTCAACTGCTGGAGATGCTGATTTGTTCTCATGAGGAGGACCTTCCATTTCCAATCACTCTACTGAAACTAAGTCAAGTCCTCAACTCTCCACGACCCCACACCCACACCCAAACAGGTCACCCACGCCAAGGAAGTTATTTCCGCGATGATCGAGAGTGCACGACAAGCCAAAAACGGGCTCGAGGAGCACCATCGACAGGTAGCAAAGGGAGAACTCCCGAGAGATGCGAGATATGTCCCGACTAAACCAAGAGGCCTAGAATTCTTGGAAGACGACGATACTTTTCCAGAAAGAGACAATTTTACGCCGATGGGAGGGAAGAACGGGAGTACTGAAACTTCTTATCTTCCCTAAAATGTTGATGATATTGCTTTTTTGTATCGACATTCTCTTGCTATATTTTTGTTGCAAAATAGAGATAGATTTCTATCATGTAGTTTTGTGAGCGATTCAAATATCTAGTCCCAACCTAATCCCAACCATTTCCATCTACTCAGGTCCACACTTTCGCGAGCAAGGCTCATGGTACAAAGGTGCAGGCCCGTACGGAGGTGGCAAGATGAAGGGAGCTGCTAACAGTGCGTCGTGGTCAGGCCCAATTGGTGGAAAAGGTTCCCAGCACGGACCAGGCAGATATGGGAGCATATCGAAACATCACAAGTACAGCTACTAGCTTGATCGTGCTTGGCTTCCTCATTCGTGTTATCCAAATCAACTATGGTCATCCACCCTAACAGGCGTCTATACAACATTCCAACTAGTACAAGAATAACTAGAAGCACTTTCTTCATCTTCCGTCTTCCCACTTCGCCAGACGATCAGTGATCGATTTCTAACCTATCAGGTTCTACGACGAATTTGAAGTTCCACGTCGATACCTGGGTTTGTTTATTGGGAAAAGAGGCGAAAGCATCCGAACTTTCCGGGAGAGAGCAGCGGCACTGAACATCGAACTCGAGGTGGATCAGCAGACAGAAGCCTCCTCTGGCATTGTCCGCATCAGCAGTACTCCATTTACACTCAACATCACAGTCTCAGCCTCAGCTTTTCCTATAGTTTGGTAGGTATCCATCAATCCATCACTGAAACTTTAGACCTAGAACTAGGTGAACAGCATGTGCTTGTGGAGGTTCATGCTTTTGCTTTTCCACTCGTTGAATACGAATATGTAGATGAGTACTTCACGTTTTCGGTTATCAAATATCTTTCTCAGGTGACAACGAGACGGATGTGACGCAGCTGAAGCGCGACATGATGGCGAAGTTGCAACAGGATATCTCAACTTGCGAAGAACAGCCTAGAAACAAGTATCCATCTGGTACTGGCGGCGATCTGCGTGGTGGTGCAAAGGGGAACCATTCATCTAGTGGAGCAGGATACAATCATAGTGGTAAAGACCTCCATTCTGGTTCTTACAACGGTAAAGATTATTCTGGTTCTTACCACAACCACGCAGGCGGGAAAGATCACTCCGGTTACAATGGTAAAGATTATTCTGGTTCTTACCACAACCACGCAGGCGGGAAAGATCATAGGGACTATCGTGGTAGCAACAATTACCATGCAGGAAAAGATCAAGGCGGCGGCCACAACTACAGTACCAATCACGGCAGCAGGGACCACCAATATGGAGGGCAGCACCACAGTAACGGAAGTAGAGACCATCACCAGTACACTAGTAGTGCATCGTCTTGGGGCAACAATGGAGGTAAAGACAACTCTTCAGGTGCTTATCACAATGGCGGAAAGAACAGTGGTCCCTATGGTCGAGGAGGAAAGCACAACGGTCAACATTCAGCACCAGCAGGTGGCAAGAACTACACCCATGGAAATGGCGATAGAATGAATAACGGTAAGGGGAATGGCGAAGGTCAACGGTATGGTGGCAAGGCCGCCAATGGTGGATACAACAATCATAGCAATGGAGGATACAACCACCAAAATGGCGGCCAACATCAAGGCCAACATCAGAACCATACCAAGGGCGGAACGGGTGGAAACTACAACAACAACAGTTCCACATCCTCCGGTGGCAGTGCTTCCTACAACAACGATGCCGCTCAACATGTGGGCAATGATTTTAGCAATCAGCTTGATCAAATGATGAGCAACGTTTTCAAGTCCATCGCAGGTGCAGGGTTAGTACCAAGTAGTTCTTCTGCAGCTGCCACAGGAGTCGATGAGATCTTAGCAAACGCCTTGTCGGGAGTAACTGGACAGACGCAGAACAAGACGCCTTCTCCTTCTGACGAGTTACAGCGACTGCTAACTGGTGACCCATCATCTGGGGCATCTCACGATCAAGGAACTACACAGCAAAATGGAGGTAGCGCAACTGCGTTGTTAAATAGCCTTGGTTTCCTCCCTAATGGGGGAACATCTTCAACATCTTCAACAGGAGCAGCTGCGAATATGAATAATAACATCAGTACTACAACTAATACTATTAGTAGTGCTACTAGTGCTATAATTGGTGCTTCCAAGAATACGAAGAGCAGCACAGCCTGTGCTAAAGACTCATCATCGTGCTCTTGGCTAGAAGACCTTTGGAACTCCCCTCCAGCGGTTGACGCAACCCCTTCAACGACGATGAGTTTGAATACTAACGCCACGACCGGATGCTCGTCTGCTCATGCGGGCAACTCGGATGTCCCAATGGTGGGAGATATCGACTCAGAAACAGCTTACGACGTCCTGCAAGCTATGGCCTCTTGTACGACCGGGGCAGGCGTGTGGTCGTAGATGTAGTAGTAGCCATCACGAGCAGATATTGAGGTTGTCGTTAGTTGATGTGGAAATTCATATCTTCGTAACCCTATTATATTTATAGACTACTTTCGTAAAAACTCATCCTCATGGCTGGTGGTGGGTATCTAGGATTTGACTATATGGATGATGGTTGGTTGGTTGCGGCTATATAAGTGAGTAAGGATCAACCATTTTGTTATTTGTGTTGTGTTTCCTGATTAATTTTCTTCCTGTGTATAACGATTGTTTACTTTGGTGCTGGATATTCGCGTGCACTTCTCGAAAACTTCTCCATAGCATTCAGGTGATGACGATAACCATGCAAATCCCCTTAGGCAGCAGAGGACTGAAGCTACTTTTGTCCAAATCAGGCGTAAAAGATAAAGGACCTTTTTTCGGCTTTCTGGTCGTTGATAGGTATGAAATTAGAGAGAGTCGTAGTTCAGGACGATGAAAATTCTTGGAACGGAAATTTATTTCCACTGGAGAACTATTATAGAAACCGAAGATTCTATTTATATTACTTATATGGAGTCCAAGTCCAACACTTAGAAAATATGAAACAATAGCGGAGTAAAAAAGATATCGTAAAAGTTGTCCTCATTTAGGAACTGTTGTGCTTGCACGCCGTTCGAAGGGTCTCACCGAATACGTGATGAATACCCCCAAACAAGGGCAATCCATCTTCACATGCAGAATGGAATATCCTTGTTGATGCCAGCTAATAGCCGTGATTAAAAGAAATCGAATGATAAAAAAGTGGAAGAAGAGTGAGTTTTGCTTCACCACCGGCCAGTAAGGGTCACCTTTGAAGCACATGACTATGACTATGACTATGACATATAATATGTTGATCCACCTAGTCGTAGGTCGTAGGGTCGATGCCACTTGGAGCAGTCATGAATCCAAGGCGTCACCCTCCCTTTTCTGGTGATCCCTCTCTTTCCTGGTGATCATCTCATGGTGCTCATCGTCTTGCCTATCGAAAGCGGTATGCGAGTATACGGAGATGATTTCATCTGAAGGTCTTACCTCTACTTCCGCGTTGTACAACCACAAGTGCAACCGCACTCTGTCCCAGGAGGCTTCAAGGTGAATAGCCAGCATGGTGCACGAAGCTCCATGCACGATCCCCATAGATGAGCATGGAGGAACAGGACACAGTCACAACTTCCAATATTCGTAGTAGAAGTAGTAGACACTTTCACTTTTGACTCTGGATGATGATCTGGATTATATTTTGGAGAAAAAGTCCCTTGCTGATACTGAGGCGCCAACAGAAAATCATTTTTTTTGGCACTTTGCCAGAGAGATGATTTGGGCTGCCATGACTCCCTTATTTAGTAATACAAGAGAAAGGCTGCGATGATTACGTTGTAGTTTCCAAGCACATTTAACGATTTTTTTTTTGAGAATTTATATTTACCTCTTTCTTCTTCTTCATAGGACGAGGAAAAGGAAGAACTTTTTTGCTATTTTTTTCCCAGCACAACGTATGACGTAAGCCTGGAAGACGGAGGGCGCCGCACCAGGAACTTCTAAAACTATACAGTCGATGTCTTCAAGCATGAGATGTGCTTTTTAGGACCACAAGAATGCGGTTGGTTTTATGACCACCTTCTATCATAGAAAATAGTAATCCCAATTATTTTTTGAGAGTAACATCTTCTCTCTTTGAGAGGAAGGAACTAAGATATAGATAACAACTACTAATTTATTCTTTCCCCAGGATGAACAACATGGAGTACTGCGAGCAAAAAGAAAAGCGAAGAAAATACAGTTCGTAGTTAGTTATTGAAGGAGGTTGGTTATCAAAATAGGGAAAAAGATCCTATTCTAGATGAAGTTTTCAAGGTGACTCCCTTACCATGAGAATTGATTTATCAACTGAAGACAGTGCTTCTATAGCTGACTTCCTTGTAAGGATCGTACTGTAAGGATGAAGATCATAAATCTTGAAATTGTTTTTCCCTCCTTGATGGTGGTTGCGCACTCGCAGCAGAATTTTGCATCGTTGGCCAAATCAACAAGGATACATCGTTGGATAATGATGTCTAAATACGTAGCACAAACGTAGAACGGTCAACGCAAGCTCTACTGTCTACCTTGCGGAATGATGACAGTAGAGCTTGTGTTGACGAGCGTTCTACTTTTATCATGATGCTGTTCGACCTCGTGCTCACGAACCAGGTTCCAGAATCAACATGACTAGCACAACCATATTTAGGATGACCACCAAGAACATATTTTTGAGCTTCTAATTCTATGATCTTCAACTAGTACATAGATCCCAGGCTATCCCATCTTCAAGAACACATTGAATACATTACTTGCGTAGATGACGTACTATATACCTAATAAAGAGTGAGAATGACTAGTGTATGGATATTCTATAACATTGAGACGAAAAAGAACCACGACTAGACTTCCACAATAAATGTTAGCACGACAGAGCAAGTAGACGGTTGTTGTCGTCCTCGACGCAGTGTGAAAAATGAGTATCTCATCTTCAAATCAATGATGCACCTGTGAACTGTGATGATCTGTGAGCTACAGCAAGAGGAGAAATAGTTGGTGTCTCCCTGTTCGACTTGAGGAATTGTTGCAAATATCGATGCATTCCTAGAATATTGTTGATAGAACGTCACGACTCCCTACTTGGAGCATGATGTTATTGTCGATGCTCGAACAATGCTCCTGCTGAACATCAATGTTGACATGTCATAAAGAATCTTCAACAACATGTTGAATCTTCATGCATAATCCCGTGACTACCACAAACTCAGCCATTAATATACGCGGACTTCGTGGCTATAATGTCCCATACACTGTAATCTTCGTCCTCATACAAGAACGCGATGGTGAAAAAAGAAGGTTTCGTCACGCATTCACCAAAGAACTTCTCTATGCTGCAACATGAAAAATATTTATCTCCCGAGTGTTGATGTGAAAATGCAAATATTTTTCAAAAAACTTCATTGCATGCGCAAAAATTCCATTTCTAAGTACCACCCAGACCCACGCGAAGAAATGAATCTATCATCATGACAATGAGATGAAATCCAACTTCTACTGCGCCTGCATTACTACTACATGTGAAACAAGAGGTCAACCCCTACTACGTGCTGAAGATTGTCCCAAATTCAAAGGTCGGACTCTGCGAGAACAAGAGTCGGCCGTGAAGGGTGACTGTGATCGATGGCACTCCATTGGCGGTGATGGGGGAAAGAAGTTAGTGCCTGACGTGAGGTGACTACTGACTGCCGTGGAAATAAAATCCAAAGGTGAGAGTCCCCTCTGTGATGCGAGTTGTCTGCGACATTCTTTGTGCGTCTTTCAAAAACGGCTAGAAGAACTTGATAAAAGAAGAGCATAGAGATAAAGGACGTGTATGCCTAGTAGATCGAGGCTAGTACTACTACTACAGTAGAATTCTTAGATGAATCTCATTCTGTTCCTTGAATCGACTTCTGTAGTCTTAATAGTTTCATCATTTTCATCCCACTTCGTTGTTCATTCCCACTTCTGTTCATTCTTGTTGTACTAGGAGTCTCATCTTCTATTTCATCAGTTTATTGATTGTTCTTATCAATTAGAACCTGAAAACAAAATGGAGGACGAGGATGAGCATCAGGACGAATTTCCCACGACCTCTTCCAAGACCAAGAGAAGAAAAGTGGCGGGACCTGCTGCAAAGGATGGAGACGCTGAAGATGAGTCTACTCGGTTGTTGGACAACCTAGGAAAGGCGTCTTCTTCTAGTACAACCCGGAACAAAGGGGCTGCAGCAGTTGATAGACTGCTGCCTCCTGACGAGGACGAGGTCGAAGACGATTAAGGGTAGGTTAAAGGTGCTTTTGTTACCGTTTGTTATGGGTCTCCTAAGGGGGACAGCCATAACAAGCGGGAGAACCCACGAACACCAAAAAGCTACCTCTAAGACGAGGTCGAAGGCGATGCTCTCGAGGGTTCTGACGCAGTATCTTCCGATGAGGAGTCTACCGTAGACCCGCTGAACATCCTTCCCTTAGAGGGTCTCGAGTATTTGACGATTGAGAACTTCAAGAGCTATGGGGAGAAGAAGGTGATTGGTCCGTTTCAGCGATTCACATGCATCATCGGTTCGAACGGGTCTGGAAAGAGCAATGTCATGGACGCTCTGTCATTCGTACTTGGTGTTAATACCAAGGTTTTGCGCAGTAACAACCTGAAGGAGTTGATCCATCGGAAGATCACAGAGGACTACGATCCAAGGGCGAATGCGAGAAGACAAGCGAAGTTATGGATGGTGAAGATGTTAAGTATCTTACTACTTTTTAAGTAGGTAGAAGTAGGTGGCTAGTACTACCTAAGTAAGTATCTTACTACTTAAGTATCTTACTACTTAAGTATCTTACTACTTAAGTATCTTACTACTTAAGTATCTTACTACTTAAGTATCTTACTACTTAAGTACTTAAGTAGAAGTTAGTAGGTGGCTCGTCTTGACTCTCATTCTATCACCTTCACCGGTCTCTTCTTTGTGAGTGTTGCTAGGAGTCGTTTTGGTTCGTGTCGTACTCCTCGTGCTTGAGGCTTGTTTATTACGGAGGTAAGAGTAATCTATCACTACCACTAGGTACTAGCCTTCTTCATGGGAAGCTGATCCTCTAAGCACAGTCGTCTCTTGTTCTATCACTTGGTACTAGTTGGAAGTTGATCTTCTAACCACAGTCTCCATGATCTTCAAGCGCGCGACACCAGAGGAGAAGGCAAGAGCGGCGCATGAGCCTTCTCAGAGAGCTAGTACAGGGATGGCGCCACTGGGCAAGAAGGCAAAAACGGAACCACAAGAAGCACCCGGAGAAGACTCGTCCTTTAAGCGTCGCACGAAATTCACGCGCACTATTTCGAGGGCAGGGGTTGGAAATTACTATCTGGACGACAAGGCAGTCGATGCCGCTGTTTATCACCGGGAGCTGGAGAGGATCAACATTTTGAGTAAAGCGCGGAACTTCTTGGTTTTTCAAGGCGATATTGACGGGTTGACGCGAAAACAAGGTCAGGAGCTGACGAAGTTCTTCGAGCAGATTTTAAGAGTGCTTGTTTTTTCAGAAGGTACAAAGAGGCAGCTCAAGGACCTCCTTATTACTTGACCATGTACTCATCAGATGTACTTACACGACATGCTTTCAGAAGGTACAAAGAGGCTGAAGGACGGTCATCATGAACGGTGGCAACAGGGACAGCAGCATGCATGAAGGACCTCCTTACTACTTGGTCATGTACTAGTTCCCGAGGTAACATGACATGACACTACGACTACACATGCATAGCTTTCATTGATGTTGTGTTAATTTCTATTACTCACTCGTAGGACCAAGGACTCACTCGTGGGACTGTTTTTAACCAGGATCCCCCACACAACCATACAACCACCTCTAAAGCGCAGTGGTAGCGACTACTATCGAGAAGAGTGCGAGAAACTGTTACGCGAGAAGCAGCAGGCAGAGGAGACAGCACGACTCAAGTTTACGGAGAAGCGTGACGCGCTGGAGAGAGAGGTTTGATTTTTTTCTTCTTAGCATGATGCGGCGTATCCATAATTTAAATTTCCATTTATATAATGTCATCTCAGCTTCTCTGGAGAGTCAAAATATGCCCTGCCAAATGAGCAACTGCGCGCGAAATGTTTCATATCAAGAATTTCATAAATCCCTCTCCACCTCCTTCTCCTTCTCCGTCCACAGAAAAACGTCGAACGGCAAGCAATGGACGCACAGGAATACATGGATATCAAGAAAAAGAAGGACGCACTGAAGCAAGAGCAAGGCCTTTTCCAGCTTCATGTGATGCAGGGGGTTGTCCGCAAAAAGGAAGGAGAGGTTTTAGAGGTAGCGAAGCAACTGTCTGAGTTGGCTGATAAATTTAAGGGTAAATGTAGATAAGTCGTTACTCACTATAGTTTCTTTGGTCATGTATGTGTAAACAAGAAGGTGACCTATCTTTGGGTGGCTTAGGCTTGCGTTTACGACGAATTTTCAAAGTAGGCAAGTCCGAACAACTAGAGAGAAATTTAAAGAAGGCATCAAGTCATTCAGAAGTTATCAACTTCAACCACGGATAGTTTTATAATCAACCACGCCGGATATTACTATTAGTTGTGATTGACTGGCGCTAATAAGTACAGGGAAGAATTCGCGGAAGCTAAAAGGAAGGAGGACGACAAGAACATCAAGGTTATGGAAGTCGGCCGACTGCAGTTGACCCAAGACGAAGCCAAGAAAGTTCTAACGAAAGCGACAACGGCGCACAAGAAGAATATTAAGGCTCCTGGTAGTTGTTCACCTTCACCTTCACTAATATCCCTAGAAGCTAATGTTCACTATCAATCCTGAGTTGAAGGCGTCCCTCCCTTGATTTGAAGGCGCAAAAAGGGCAACTCACTCATTGATAGGGAGTAGAAGTGAAAAACTAGCGTTAAGAATACGGACGAAGAGGAGAAGATTAAGGATAGACTTGGAGCGACGTACGAATCGGCGGAAAACATGCAAACCAAGCGACAAGTTCTGAACAATCAGCTTGCTGTTATGACTTGAAAAAGATGACGTCATTCTCTCTCATGGTTCTTGTAATATTGAAACGAGTAGGTTTTATCTTGACGGTCTCGACGTCATACCTGTTCTTCTTGAGTGGTTCCAGTATTATTTGGTAACCTGAATTCGATCACAAGGATTCTCTTCGTGTTTTCCCTTATGATCAAAACCAGGCTACCGAATACCAGAGCAGTACGACCGTTTTTGGCTCATCCTTCATCTACTATAATATCCAGTTTACCTAAATGTCCAGTTCAACATCCACACCTCGACTAGTCACAGTCACGACTTCAAGCACCAAAGTAGTTCAAGTTAGTACTCCTATGTATCAATCTCTCTAATCTCAAAATGGCTTCCGAGCTGGAAACTATCAAGACGCAGAAGGGGGTGATAGAAAAAAACATCGAGACCTTGGAAACAGATATGTGGACTGCCGATCAGCGCGCGATCTACAATGAAACGCTAGCCCAATCGGAGATGAATAATACTTATGAAGAACTACAAAGGGCACTGATGCCGACAGAATGACTCACATTCAAACCTAAGTAAACATCCCGAAGATTTGATCTTGCCATCACGCTACAAGAAGACTGGGCTTCACATTATAGTCTACATTCTAATCCCCAGGTCTCACGGATAAAATTAACAACTCTCTAGACTACTTACTCTTCTAATCCGCAGGTCTCACGGATAAAATCAACAAGACGAAAAGGGAACTAGAGGAGACACAGCGCAATCGTAGCGAGGTAGAAGGAAACGAGTCACAGCACCAAAGAAAGACCGACCGTGTGCGAGCGCGTGCATTATGAGCTGCGAGACAAATTTTCTACTTACTTAAACTTATCATCTTCTATTATAATATGATCGTGTTCCTGTTCGTGTCTCTGTTAATGCTACTAGATGCACTTGTAAGAAGTCCAAGCATACATAGGGTCAACACGATGTGCATCTACAACTTTTCTCATCTCGATCTCGTCCACGTCAAGGTCAACCCTGTTTTCATCCAAAGAAAAGGAGAAGAATGATGTGGACAAGCTCACTAGCAAGATAAACAACCTGGAGGCACACGATCCAGCTGCGCACCTGCAGATCGTCATCCCGAAGCTGAACAGCTTAAATTATGTGAAAAGCTCTTCTTGCGTCTATTTTTCGACGAGAAGGAAGGTAGATGTAGATCATCTTCTGCAATGAAAGAATTTGGTGTCTAATTACAGGAGAAATATGCGGAGGTGAAGAAGAGACTTGCCAAGTTGGACGAAAAGGTAGACGAGGAGAAGGACAACCGTTACCAAAAGAATTTTCAAAATTCGCAACTACAGACAATCAAAAGCCTCATGGAGAGGTTTCCAGGTACTTGATTTTCTTGGTTGTAGATACAGACGCTTCGACGACGTACACGTAGTTGTACACGCACTCTTCAATATCAGTTGTACATCAAGGTCCTAGAAGACCTAGCCATAATGATGTGAACAAGGAACAACAAGAACTCACTTGCAACCTTAACAAGTTCCACGTGGTCCACGCAAAAATATCAGGTGCTGTGTACGGTCGAGTGATGGACCTGGTAAAACCGACACTGAAGGAGTACGGCGTAGCGATTACTACTGCTATAGGGATGAAGAATTGCCAGACTGTAGTCGTAAAGGACCAAGACGCAGCGCGACGCTGCGTCCAGTTTCTCATTATGAAAGTGAATGAGATTGTCCAGGTTCTTGTAGCGATGCTACATAAGCAAGAGCAGACTCAAGAGTATGATACTTTGAATCGAATAGCGAGCTCGACTTAATCATGAATGTGGAAGTTTAAGTACTAGAGATGAAAGGGAATGTTTGAAAAGCCTCGCATTTTGTGATTGTGCGTAGTCGAGGAGTTCTCAGAATTTTCTTCGTTCTAATTTCCAAGACCACGATCGAGGTCAGATGAGTTTTCTACCGTTGGAGGGTTTCCGAGCGCCACGAACGCAAAGCGCAACTCAAGGTGAAGCAATGAGAAAGCTGAAGAATTGCAAGCTGGCATTGGACTGCATCGATTACCACAAAGACTACGCAATCGTTTTCCAGCACTTTCTGATTATGGTGGACGAGGTTGTAATTTGTGCTAGTACAACATGATGTACAACTTGTTGTAATTCTTGCCATATCTTCTATCGTTTGTCACGTAAACATTATGAGAGAGTAGCATATAATTCATCTCACTCAATGAGTACTGTGAGTCATTGTACTTGTCGACGCCAAAAAAGTAGGATGCCCTAACAATACAAACTTCTTCTAACCTTTGCAACAGCGTTATTTGCCAAGACGTGGACGTCTCCCGCGATGTGAAATTCACCCAGGGCAAAAAGTTGAAACTGCTGCATTTGAAGGTCGTTACTTACCACGGTCAAATGATCCGCGAAAACGGGAATATGGTCTTCGATCCACAGTTACGATGGGGATGAATTTTAATTAGCAGTGTTCCTCTGCCTAAGGTACTAAGTATTTCTTGCCTAGATGATCCACCATTTCCAAGTCCTCTACTAATTTTGTTCCACCGCGTCTTTATTAATAATTTCCCTTAGACTTAGACCTCGTCTCCCAGAGGACCCTCCCGCGATTCCGTATGCTATCTTTCCACTCCATTTCATAGCCAAGCAATTCTTCGCAGATTGTCTCCTTTTTGTTCTCCCTATCGTCCCACACCCACCACCCTTCATAGGCAAGCAATTCTTTGCAGATTGTTTTTAACGAGCTCGAGATTGAACAAGCGAAGACGGAACGCGACGACCTATCCCGCGCACTCACAGGCCTCGAGCAAGAGATTGGGTCGGTTATCAACGAAAAGCGGAAACTTGAGTTATGTTGACCATTCACGACCCTAAGTAATTATGAGAAGCATCTGAAAGTGAATAAAGATGGTTGCCTGTTGACACATGATATGGTCACTCAAGATGCCACAGAAGTGACACTCATGATACTCAGCTTGATTTGGATGTCACTTTCTTTTATGAATGGTTCCGGTATTTGGTAACCTGAATTTGATCATAAGGGAAAACAAGAAGAGAACCCTTAGGATCAAACTCAGGTTACCAAATACCAGAACCATACACTTTATACTTCTTGTGTCTTACACGTACAACCATGACAACTTGTTTTTTAGGCTCATCTACCGCATCAACTTCAGCACGGCTTTTTCCTAGCTCGTTTCATTCTTTGAAGAAAGTACCAAGCGGGAGGCTAATATCGAGCACGCGAGGAGGCAGCTCCATTTGGCGAACGAGGTGTATGAAAAATCCAAAGCCGAACAATCCGAACTGGTGCAAGAGGGGATGACACTGTTATGGAGCTGGCATTCACTCATCCACATTCGGTCATTGTGCTTGTTGTTCTCGTGGACCAGCTTGACTCGAAGTGTTTATCTTCCTAAGAAAGTAAGAGATCATGGACTCGAACAATACTGCAGTCGGTCGAAAGATGGAAGCTTCTTTTGTGGGATCAGGTTCACAAACGACGATGGCGAGAAACACGAAGACTTTCATTTTCTAACATCTACAGCACAGAAAAACGCATTATCAGCGGATGAGATGGAGCTCACGAAGCAACGAGTGGAGTTGTCCGAGCAGCAGAAAAACAACGACAAGAAGCTATGGGCGGAAGCCAGTAAAAAGATCGGGAGGAAAACAGCGGATGGCAAGGTGGATGCACACGCCTATAATTAAGACTTCAGCAGGTGGTAACCCATCTCCAGAAGCATCCTGGGACTTTCCTCTATAAGGGAAAAGGCTGTGTACGGTCGAGTGATGGACCTTGTAAAACCGACACTGAAGGAGTACGGCGTAGCAAGCCCAGGATGACACTCAAGATGGATTCATCATCCAGGAAGCCCTAATATAAGGAGGAGCAGGATCAGAAAATTCATCATGAAAAGGAACAGCTAAAAGCGCTGAGGAAGGCGTCTGAGGATATAGATCACGAGACGCAAGTGAGGAATGACGAGCTTACCAAGCTAAACGATGCTACGTTGAAAGCCGGTATATATTTACATGTAATTCAGCATCGAAACCACTTTCTATTTCGCTCGGTGTCATCCCATTCCAGCATTTCTCACGTGGAGGGATATGGTTTCCGTTTCGCATGTCGAAAGACAAAACATTTTTGATATTCGTTCAGTGTATGAGATGTACTTCCTTGTTGTGGTTGTAACTATATATTACCAGCAAAAAAAGCAATCTTCTATCCTGCTACACCCCGCTCAACAGAAATCGCTTCTCTCGAGCACGAACACAAAGCCATCAAGGAGAGACTTTTTGCTTCCGAGGCAGCCCTTCAAAAAGCAAAGCAAGCGGAGTACGAAGCCAGTGAAGCAACGAGAATCGCGAAGATGGAACTTGAGCAATTGGCTAATGAGCTCCAAGGTCTCGTAGAGCGAAACAAGGAAGCCACGAAGATAAAGGAAAAACTCATTTATGTCAATATGGTTTCTTGATGTTGGCAAGTAGAACTGAGTCTCTGATGTTGTTATCACACAAGAATTTACTCGGTGATCTTCTACTCCTTGTGATCATCTGTAAGAGGACTTGTTTGAAGAAAGATCTTGCTCTAACACAAGAAACAGCGGAAGGAAGGCGACAAAACGTGCGCAGACATGATGCAAGCGGTTGTGATGTTGGTCGACTCGCTTCTGATTGAGCATAAGACAGACATCCCGTTGATTCCAGACTCTGTCAGTATCATGCCTGGAGAAGAGGAGAAACTGCTGGAGAAGAGGGCGAACGCAGCGGAAGAAGCTCCACACCCAGGAGACGCTGTAGCGGTCCAGAAGGAAGAAGAGAATCCCCAAGAGGCCGCGGACGAGGACGAGGACGAAGATAATAGAGAAAAGAAAAAGAAGAACGCAGCAAGTAAAAAGAAGATGGGAGCCGCACCGAAAAAGAAGATGGCAAAGAAAGCGCCCGCAGAAGAAGCGGAAGAAGAGGCACCGCTAGAGCCACCTGTTATGCATTTGGAGCCATCATCTACTTGATCGATTCTAACGCTCTATTTGGAAGTTACTGTTCAAGAGGGCTGAATGCATGGCCTCAATGCCGTTGGTTAAGACGGACACCGAGGTATCATGACAAAACGTGACAGGTTATTTACCACAGATAGTGGTCACCTATTATAATTTCTCTCTAAGAAACCAGAGGAAGAAAAGCCCCCAGAAGAAGCCAAGGATACATCCAGTGCGACTGAAGAAGACAATGAGAAGAGTCGCGCAGTGCTCATTTTTCTCGATTATAAAGCGAAGATAGAAGCCCAAGAGCTGAACGCCAACAAGCTCACGCTGGCGCAGTTCGAAAAGGTATACAGCTAACTTTACAAAACCTGGTACTAGAGTTTGAGAAGTTTTTCTCTGTAAGAAGTATTCATTTTTTTGCACCTTTACGATCATCTCAACAACATCATGACGTCCCTTATTACATTACTGAGACTGAAGATCTTTGCTCTCTACCTCCACAACCATTCACACGACCAGATGCTTCCCTGGGATTTTTCGTTACTTGATGACGATAAGCGAGCAGTTACGACTCATGAAGAAGCAGGACCAGTGAACCAGCGTTTAACAGCTGAGATCAATCGATTCGACTCTTAAGGCTTGTGGTCCGCAAAATAATCCATCTTGGTTGTTGCTTAGGACGGAGGCATCGTGCCCTCGAGGACGAGGCTTTTCAAAGAGACAAGCGCAGCCTTACAGATATTATTTATGTCTCAATAACTCAGTAGGTACAACCACCTGAAACAGGATGCAGATGCTTCGGGGACTTGATGGGCGTCCTCTTACAAACTCACTCCATAGAAATACTGACTTTGAAAAGTCCTAGGTAAGCCTCATTATGTCCTTAAGATCGAGTTCGGAAGTATGGACTACTTAGCAACAAAAGCGACACTTTATGGTACGCTCTAACACGGTCTTCTATCAGCGCCTCAGTTTCAAGACCCGAAGAGGCTCTTGCGGTCTTTGGAAAAGAAGCATCTGGTGAAGGACGATGCGAAAGCGAAGATGAAGGAAAGCGCCGACGCCCAGAAAGTGAATGATGGTTTCGAGCTTAAGTATCTCGAAGTGAAGGAGCTGCGCCGAAAGAGGTTCATGGATTGCTTTACCATAGTCAATTAAGGCTTCCCTTAGTCCATCTCTATAGACATCCCTCAACAGTATGGATGCGCCCCAATATAAGGGCAATAGTGACGCAGACGCTTGCGGGATCCCTACAAGGATGAACTAGGGGAAGCTCTAAGTCAAGGGTCAGCTGGATTCGATTTATAAGGAGTTGACTAGTACCGACACGCTTGAAGGTGGAAGCGCATTCCTCGATGTGGAAAACGAAGACGCACCGTTTGAAGGTGGAATCAAGTACACCACAATGCCCCCAGCGAAGCGATTTCGTGATATGCATCTTTTGAGTGGAGGAGAGAAAACGCTCGCTGCTCTCGCGCTTTGCTTCGCGGTGCATCACTATCAAAAGCCGCCGTTTATTTTATGGCAATCTCTTCACATCCACTAAATTCGTGAATTCGACGAAATCAACATCCAGTTGTATTCTACTATTCCAAGAACCCGCCACTCGTCATGATCCAGGTTCCTCTGTCTAGTCCAACCAAGAACCCCGTCTAATCCGGATCCTCGACGAAGTCGACGCCCCTCTGGACTCGTACAACGTGAAGAGTATCCGAAGGTACCTGTCCAAAAGCAGCTTCCAGTCTATCGTTATTTCGTTGAAAGACGAGCTTTTCTGCCAAGCCGACGGCCTTTTTGGCGTCTACAAAGACGAAGAGAAGGAACAAAGTGGAACACTGAGCTGTCGGGATTTTCGCCTCCCGTTTTAAGGCTGTAGCTAATGATCCATCTTTCTTGGAAGCATCCTTGAAGAAACGTCTGGGGGAGTATCACATTACAAGGGACTGCTTCCCCATACTTTTCAAGGATGCACTTGAAAGATGAACTGCGGACAGTTCTAACCGTTGGGGGAAGACGCTGAGTGACCTCTAGAGCCAGGACTTTTTTGATTTTTTCATACATTCTAATTCTAACATTGATGTTGAATCTCCATCAAAGATTCAAATCTATTCACCGTAAATCGTAATCACGATGAAAGAGGAAATTATAATAAGTCTTTTTTTTTTTTTGGTTCAAACAGCAACGCCCGTTGCGATCTGCTCACCGAATTCAAGAAGCATTCGTATTGTTAGTACTTGGGCTATTCTCACAGTTGAAGAATCGTGAGTAAAAACTCGTGAAAGTAGTGAATGAATGAAAGTAGTGAAACTACTTCTCCTACCCTGTGGTCCCCCGTAGGGGTACGTACACACACAGACACAACTAATATATGAAAAAGTATGTTGATGATATCCATTTTGAATTCCAATATTTGTTCCACCCCGTCCAAATCGCGCACTCGTCGCGCGGCAGTGCATGTTCAAGTGCAACAGCCTCGGAAACGGGAACGAGGCGTTGTTGTGTCTCTCAAATTCTTCAAATTCTTCAATCACACTCTCTGAATCTGAATGCAGACAGTTCTTTCAAGTGGATGATCCTTCAAAGTCCAACAAGGGAAATAAATATAATTGCCTCATCAAGAAGTATCCTGATGTTATGTCGAATTTAGAATCAGAATGCACACGAAGCAAGGGAAGCCTAAGAACTCTTCTGAAAGTCTGATTCTACGAGACGCGGCTCGTCGAGAGGAACAGTCTTCATGTCAATGTCTTTGTTGCACTTATTTGACCGGTCAGTATCAACGACTTCAGCTGCACAATAAGGGCACCTCAACAAGAACCTCAACAAGGACTTTCTTTACGCATAGGGATTCGGCTCATATTTCTTGCTCAGCTCCTACTCATTCTTAATCTCAGCGCGGCGAAGACGAATAGATCTTGTATTATGTTGTCACTGTAGCTATAATGATGTTGCACTGGGTGGATCATTAGGTCGTGCTCGTCGTGTGAATATTTTTAGATATGTTGTTGCATTATGGGTGAACATGAAGTAGGTGTGATGAACAAGTTACTGATGTGATGAACAAGTTACTTGATATAATATTCATCCCTGTCTTAGACACTTCTAGATAGTTCTTGAAATATGACGGACAAAATGCCTAGCACATCGACGTCTTCGTCTCCCGCTGGGCCTGACTCTCAAGAGTCCCAACAGACGAATACGAGAAAAAATGGAGGACGAGGAGGTGGTGGCGGTGGTAAAAATAACAATAACAAGGGCGGAGTCGCAGCAGGAGGTTCAAATATGAAGCAGCAACAAATGAATGGTTCTACTTCTACTGGAGGTTCTGGTGCTACGACTGCTTCGTCTAGTGCCCCAGTGCCTACTTCAGGTGCTGGGAGGAAAGGTGGATCTGGTTCGTCAATACAAAACGATAATAGTTCTTGTAAAGTAGACGTAAGAACAAATACTAATACGACAGGAGGAGGTGGTAAAACAAAGCCGGGTGCTGAAGAAGGTGAATCCTCTTCGCAACCGCTTAGTGGGCAACAGGGTGAGCAAAATGATCTGACGTCAGGAGTCTCAGGTGGGTCATCATCAACTCAAAAAGCGAAGAGAGGTGCGCGTAATCGGAATAAGAAAAAGGAGGACGCTAACGCGAGCGCGGCAGAAGAAGGTCATTTCAACACAAATACTTCCAAGAACAATGCGACATCAGCAAAGGCTACTAGCGACGCCAAAAATACGACTTCGAAGGGAAATAGTGCTGCGCCCCCTAACGATCTCTTAGCCAAAAAATCCTCTGACTCGACAGCTCAACTACCTCAAGCTACAACTATTGCCCAAGGCTCTTCCTCCACTGAAGCGACGGGGGAGGGTAAAAACTCGACGCAGAGGAACAGGAATAGGAGTAGAAAAGGGTCAAACGTGAAGTCTCATCACGGTGATGGCACTTCGAAAGAGCAACAAGTTCGATATGGTGGAAAGATGAACAAAAGCAACGCATCAAAGTCGATAGGCGAGGTTGTGGTTGGACAAGTCGGAGATGCAACAGCTGAAGATGCCTCTTCGTCATCATCAAGAAAAGGTAGTGCTAGTGGCTTTACAACACCAAAAGCGGGCAATGCAAACGCTGCTAGTACAACAGGTGGAGCGTTGTTTAGCAACAACAATAACTTCAAAGGTGGCGTAGGATCGGTTGGACGTTACAACGAATATCAACAACATGGGCATGGCGGTAAGCAAGGCGGACACCAGGGTAAGATCAGTACAAAACTGAACGGGCATCTCGCTTCCAACGCAAAAAATAGAGGTGGCAAGCAACCTCCTGATCCGACAGGTCGCTTCTCAAGTCCTGCGATCTCGATGAAAGGAGGAATTATTCCTACCTCTAGCCCAGTCGTGGCGTCAAACTTAAGCGCTGCTGCAGGAGTTGGCGGAGGAAGCAGTACTATTGATGGAGGTGGAGCGTCTGCATCTAGTATAAACACAAGGGGTGCCTCTTCTGGCGCGACATCTCCTGGAGGAGGTACTACTACTAGCTCTTCGACGAAGATCACTAGCGCAGCACCAGCAGTTACACCGACAGGAAACAGACTGACGGGCTCTGCATGGGGCTCAGAGAGTGCTAAAGTTAGGGCACTTCGAGCTGAGACGCAGTCTTCGTCAGGGAAAGGAACTCCAGGCAGTGCTGGAAACAACACCAAGAAGGGAACGTCGAGTAGTACAGCAACAACCAATAGTACTAGTGCAACACCGGTGAGAATATTTCCCAACTCAAACAGTGGCGATGCTCTGAATAACACCACCACATCAGCGACAGCATCTTCACCATCCTCGGCTAAAAATGTCAATCAGAAGCAGAATAACGCTGATAAGGGTGTCGCTGCATCCGGTGCCACTGGTCCTTCAGCGTGGAACAACAAGGGAAACAAGAATATGACAACGAGCACGACGAGTGCTAGTGGTGCCTCCTCCAAAGGAGTGCTAGAGGTGCCACCACAACCGCCTGTAGACCTGGTTGCTGGTTCTCCAGAGGTAAAGATATATCCTTCGTCCAGTGACAGTGGAATCCTTGGCAAACCTCTGGGCTCAATCCCCTCAGCAATGGACCCAATAACGACACCGAGCAGTGGGGGAGGAGGTACTTCGTGGAATTTTTTGTGTGCCGTTGCGGTAGCGGTTGCCCTTTGGTTTCTTAATATAGGTCTTTGACTTTGTCTTATAGATCTTTGTCTTCTAATAAATTGACATAATGTTTGAAGAGATAGAAAGATCTTGGTCTTCTCGGTTCAAAACATCTTAATCATGTGCTTTGTTACCAATTAGTTCTTCGACAAACTGCAGCTGCTCCTACACCCGACAGCGGCATTAGTACTAGATCAGCATGGGGACGAACACAAGATGCGTCGGATTCGAAAATGGCGCAACATTTGATGTCCCAGAGGGGTGAAAACAGCTATGCTTTCGCACCGACTGCAAGAGTTGAAGCCGCAAAGACGGAATCACAGGTAATTAGAGTTTCAATAAATGAGTAGGTTGAAGTTGAACGTCATTTATTGACCTACTCATACAAAAGATACCAGAGGACTTGTCAATCAGATTCGATTGGTACTTTTCCTTTTTACGCCAACGAATTAAGTATCAACCACCCTCCTCTACTCCTAGGTCGCCGCCGCATCGAGGCCATGGCCAGCTCAGACAGCGAAAAACGTGACTACCCGAGATGTGGAAGATGTAATATTGACGACAGCAGAGGAGTCGTCCTATGCGGGTAAGAAGTACCTCGCCTCCATTGGCATCGTAGACGAGGAGCCATCACCTGTGAAGCCGCGAACCGCAGACCCAGTTGGATCGGGACAAGATGAAGGTGCGAAACTGGACAGCGTCGCAGTGGAGGCTACTCCAGGAGGTGCAGGCGAGAGTGAAAAGGCCGCTGGAGAACAAGCCACTGCAGAAGGATCAACCACTGGCGGGGAAGCTGCTGACACGACCTCAGCGAAAGAGCAGGACGGTGAAACAGGAGAAGAAAAAGAGGCGATGCCACCTCCGGCGCCTTTGCCGCCGCCATCCTCTTGGGCTGCTTTGGCTAAGCGAAATGTCGACCCATCTAAGCAAATACAGGCTGGCGCAGTCCCCTCTGCGAATTGCAGTATCTTGGATCATTTAGCCTACCTAGCCGACCAAAAGCTAGACGAAGAACATCCGAAAAAGCAACATCTTTACCCCAACCCACTCTGGGATCGCAAGTATGGTCCTTTTCTCGCGAATGGGGTAGAGCTGAATCAGAAATGCCATGAGTACATCAAACGTGGACTGGAGAACGCGCGTGGAACAAACCAGTGCTACGTGAATTGTGCCATTCAGATGTTGCTCACGTGCAAGCCTTTGGTAACGATTCTCGCAAATGCGGGTGAGGGAGATGCAGCGAGGCCAGTGACACAGGCGTTACGTGCGGTCATGCGGGAATTCCATATGCCTCAACAGACAACTAACATCGTCACAACAGAAGGTACAGGTAGTACTGGTGAAAATTATAGTGCAACATCTTCTTCTTCAGCATCCGTATCCGAGGCAAAACAAGGAGCAGCGTCGAATAGTAACACACCTGTATCAGCGGGTACTGGTGGAGGGAACAAGGGTCAATTTTCAACATCAGCATCCGCTTACAGCAAGTGCACGACTCCATCCAACATGGCAGCAGCAGTACTAGCAGCAGCACCTAGCTGTACTACTTCTAGTACAACTTCTTCTTCTACTCCCTCAAACATCTTTACCACGAAACTAAGCCCCAAGGCGGTCGAACGAAGATGGATGCTGGGAGTTCCGTTTTTAGTACGTGATAAAGACGCTTTTCGAGACAAGGTCTTGCGTAAATTTAGAAGCAGCAGCATGGATTCTCAGCAGGATTGTGCTGAATTTTTGCTATTCTTGCTCTCGAACATGCACGACGAGGGCAAGTGGTATCTGCCTGCTGAGGTAGAGGCTAGCTGTACTTTGCAACGCGCGAGCAGAAGACAGTATCAAGCTGTAGTAGGGCAGACAGTGTTGACAGGAGCAACAGGAGCTCCTGCAGGTGGTTCAATAGGAAAAATAAATGCTTCTGCTGCTCCTCAACCAAATGGTGTGCAACAGGAAAAATCTTCTGCTCCTGGCACTTCATCTTACCAACAGCACCTCAACCAAATCAACAAGCAGAATGATGCCCAACTACAGCAGCAACATCAAAACTACTACACTGCACCCGCTGCAGGGTTTCCCGATAGAACTTATTCTAACTCCTACTCCGTCTCGGCACAAGATGAAGATACTTTGGCGTCCAGCGCTACCGAAGCCCCTGGGGACTGGGAAGAGGTCGGAAAAGCCGGGAAAAAGATTGAGAAGCGTAGCCATCAAATGCTGGAGGATAGTGTTATTTACCGCATCTTCTCCCACACAGTGCAAACAAAGACCCCTAGTTTGATCACGGAAGAACCCTTCCTGATTTTGGACATACATTTGCCGAACAGCGACAATGGAGCCTCTCACACGACAACCTCATCAAATCAACAGCCAAGTGCGCAACACACGACAACCTCGTCAGCCTCTTCAAGTTGTCAACAAGGTCGAAGTCCTAAAAAAGATCAGCATCATCAACAACAAGGTGGGGATCAGACCTACTTCAATCTCACTGCAGCTGGTAAAAACAGCAGTCCCAACTCCAGCATGTCCTCCGTTGCAGGCCAGCACTTGACTCTGTCCTCTCTGGTCAACCAACAAGTGAATAGCGTCGAGGAGATACAGACTAGTGCCAATACCGTCGTCCGGAAATACGTCAAATTGCAGAACTATCCGCCTTACCTCTGCGTGGTGCTAAAACGACAACGGTACTGCAACACCACTGGCGTCACAAGGAAAGTCCAGCGGCCCATTTCGTTCCAGGAACGACTCGAGATCGTCCAGGCGAAAGAGGACGACCACCCGACTTATACGTATCGATTGAGCAGTTTCATTTTGCATTTTGGGGAGCAGACGGAGAGCGGGCATTACGTTTGCTACAACCGATGGAACGACGACTGGTACAAAATTGACGACAATCGGGTCATCCGAATCACGAACATTGCGCAAGAGGTCTCTTTGCCTCAAGTCACAACTAGCGCATACGTCTTTTTGTATGAACGGGAGGCGATGGGACAGAATCTGAGGATTGCGCCATAAGATTGGAATAGCTAGTACCCACTAAAAGTAAAACTGCTCGCGAGGAAGAGGATTCTACATCTGTGGTTAAGAGTTTTGGATTGTTCTTGACCCTGCATATTACAACTTGCAGCTTCAATAACAGTTGCAGTTCTAGAAGGAATATGTATATGAAAGTTGGCCATAACCAGAAAGTGTAGTTGTTACTTATACTCACGTAGCTCCAGCTCCTCATGTTCATCTGTTGCTCTTTGTACTACTTGCAACAGTTCTACTCTCACTCCTGGTCAACATCGCTATGCAGAATGAGATGAAGCAAGAACATAGTCATATTTATCAGATGTAGAACGTAAAGAATTGTTATTGTAGGAGTCCTTCGAGGTTTGACTGCACCTTCTTGTCCGTTCATATCCTTCCTCATCGTGCTAGAGGAGGAGTTTTTAAGCTTTCTATATTTTCCATATTATGATCGAGTTTCATCATGGTGTTGATGCTAATGTACTTAGTCATGAACCCGTACCATTTTGGTCTTCACGTTCACACGAGCGTCACTCACCTATTTCACATACGAGAACCAATTATTCGCTCTATTTGTGATTATAGACCACAAGGAATGACAGTGCCGAAAAAATACGCACGACCAACAAGATGATGAACTATGTTGAAGCTGAACGCATAACACGATCTTGTAGAAGAAGGTATGTTTTCTGTTGAGATATCCAAAAGACGCGCTAAAGTACGAGCCAGTACTAAAATGAAGAAGCTCCAGCAGGTACTGGACGCGACGGATTTGTGAGTGTGTAAGTACTCTGAAATGGGTGCTGAAAAGAACGACTGTGAGTTGTACGATGATGATGTATTGAGAAAATCTTGCTGGCATGTCCTAGCCGACGAGGGAAAGAAAATGACCAAAAAAGAGTTGGTAGCTCGCACCTTTATTTGAGGAGTCAGATCGTGCTGTCGGAGCTAACAACCATCGTACATTGATTGTAGTTGACCACAGCCACAGGATGATGTTCACACGACGACTCACTGGGCGGCACGTGATTGTTCCCTCCTCGCCTGATTGCGATAGTGATAGGCATCATGGTGAAAACAAATATGCCAGCGAGGACTCAGATCGAAAACAAGCTGTAGAAGAGGGAGATGCCGATGGCTTGTTTCTCCAACGCCTTGTTTTGGTGAAGCAAAAACGACACGACCTTGCGGCTGGAGAATACATCAGCACGTTTCTTTCTGTGCCTGTCCTGCAGGAACGATGGGAAAAATATAGGAGTTTGATCATCGCCGAATCCGAGAAACTTGGGACGAGTTCAAGCAAAAGTGCAGCTAATGATAAAGAAATGCATTCACCAAAGAAATCGAAGATTCCAGGTTGACTTTTGTCAACAACCGGCTTTCGACATTGAAGCGGGTTAATGGGCCAAGCAAGTTCGGCAATATGAAGAAGAGTCCTGGGTCTCTTGGGGAGTTTGCCGTGTTCAACATAGGCCTGGTAATGTGCGCAAAGGCTCAACGCTTCTGCTCAAACCTCCCTATGATTAACATTAAGGCTAACTGTCAGTCACTATCTGGTCCTAAGCAGGTGAGGTATCCTGAGTGAGGTGATTTTGAAGCCAAGAGGGATACTCTTACTCAGGGAACCACGAACGAGAGTAAGAGTATCCCTCTTGGTTTCAAAATCGGACCCGTTGGATCCCGGGATCGTAGATGACAGAAACTTGTTGCAGAAAGAAGTGATCAATCTCTACTTATCCGATTTGTTTAAGGGTTGTTCCCACATTAGTTACATCCATCACTAGCGTCCCGGACTCTTTTTGCAGTAGCAAATACGCCAGGTGGGATGTTCGGGGAAGGTAATTCCGTAGCCTCTAACTTGTGCTTTATGTCTTTCCTCAGTAGTGCGATTTCGTTGGTCAGCTTGCTCTGGGTCTGCTGGCTAATGTTTGTTCTAGGTTTCAACTTGCTCATACACAAACACATTGCGATGTTAAGTTTCGTCTCCGGCGCGAATAAGTGGTATTTAAGTTTCTCTACAAAGAAAGCGATGTCGATACTGAGGCCAACGAGGAAATTAGCGTCCTCTTTGGAGTATCCTTGGCGAGCTTTCTCTTTGTGACGTTTTGGTACTTCGTGGGTTGGGTTTTGTTTCGCTCGGTTTTGAAAGTTCCGAGTCCTGCTGCCTTGGTTGCCTTTCACTACCCGAACTGGTGCAGAATGCTTTGGAGCAACATTTGCTGCGTCCTAAGACTGCAGCAAATCTATCCATCTTCATCCATTTTCCCCAGCATGCTAGCGCCGTTTTACAAGGGAAAAAAAAACACGAAGATGGTGCGGCTGAAGAGGGATTTGTGCACGCACTCTTGGACGAGCATGAGGTTGAAGGCTTGACGAAGTGGAGGGGAGGGCTATGTCAGCGTCAAGAGGTTGATGTACAACTTTTATAACGGGGAACTTTTATAACCTGCATCCTCACAGGAGCTTATTTTCTCCATTGCGTGAGTAGAATCCTGATGAAATTAACTACTCAGGATATGAATTATTGTGGGCGCTAATCCATCAGAATCATTCCACAGATAATTGATATGTCTACTAGCTGTACAGGTCGTCATACTTTGATATCACCGAGGAAACAAATGAAATAGTTAGCCGGCTCGTTCGGCGACAAGAATCAAAATGGAAAAGAGACCAGAATCCACGTGAGATGGAGAGCAAACTCAGTAGGAACACTATCTAACAGCGTGGTTTCAAAAACTGGCACAACCAACCTCAGACGGTTTCTAAATCCTCCCTTGGCGTTACTTGTTTCTACAACGATAGTCCCAAGCGAGCATGCTCGGCTTCAAGTAGTTTTCTCGGCTCCATCAATCAGAAATTATCCAGATCCATGAACAATCACTTCGCGTGGCGTTGGAAGCATAAAAGAGACACGAGTTGGGGGCATTGGTTGTTCTTTGAGTAGTGAGTACTCCTAGACACTATAAGTCATGAATCCTACACTGAAAAAAAAGAAAAATTACAGGGAGTTTATATCTGTTTATTTTTCGGAAGCTCTGCGCGCTTGCGCAGCTGCGGAATTTCAAATCCTTGAATTCCAACAAAAATCTTGAACAAGAGTATTATTTTGTAGTCAAAATATCGGCAATTTTTCCTACCTATACATGCATATTTTTACTGTGCTGGCATTGTCTTCGGTCTACACTCCGTCACACTAATTTTATTGTGATTTTACTTGATCATGTAAAATTATATGATATCATAACTAGGGAAGTTGCTCCTCTGGACCCCACGTGGCAAATATAGTGGGCTAGGAAGTTCCTCCTTACTGCAACAAGATTTTTTTAGCTTCCTTGACTATTTTGAAAACGAGAAAGAGAGAAGTAAAACGCTCAAGCAGCTTGAGAGGCTCAAAGAGTTGCAACGTCGAACGCGAACGAGAATAAGCGTGAGCGCTGGTTTTTGTTGTTGTTGCATTTTTTTAAGTAAGATGTGAAAGCCTTTACGCGTGTGCAGTAATGTAACCCGAGGCCATACCTGGCTCAGCCCGCCAGAGTAGCAAGCCAAGCCACGAACCCGAGAGGGCTCGCCGCTGCCGTTTCCGCCGCGAGCCCGATTCGGCCCCGTCTTGCATGCTTCGGACAAATCAGCCTCGCGA